CAATATAATAGACTATTTAGTGTATATTACAGTTAGGTGACATTGGCATATTAATATTTACTTTTCTTGTGTCATGAGATGGTATGCGCTGTGGATCGAATATCATTGAATTTAATGCTATAAAAAATTGTGAAAGGGCTTCCAAGTAGTGCTGTCATCTAAGCGTTGGTGCTATCATTGGGAGACTGCAAGTTTGATCTATGGCAGTGAGTCCAAGAGAGCGCAAAACCCTAATTGCATCGGTCTGTGTTGGGGTGGAGCGAGATCAGTCGAGTATGTGTGGTCCTAATGTGATGGAGGGAACATTCATTTGCATTGAATTTGTTTGCAAGATGAAGTTAGACTGTGAAGCTCTGTAAGATTTGGGGATTTGGAGACCTCTCTGGTGGAAATGTGTAATTGCATGCAATGTGAGGGAGAACATTTTGTAAAATGAGTTGTGCTTCAGACCCTTCACTGAGGGAATGAATCTGATGATTGCGAGTGTGTTAAAAGAGAATTCAAAGAGAACTCAGTCAAAACCTGGTGAAGGACGTGTCTTCTGGGGATGTGAGTGAATGATCTACCATTGTCATCATATATTCATCAGTACAATGTTAATTTTGCATTGGAGACCTAAACATTGAGCCAGGACTTTTGAGCCTGTGTGTGACTCACAGCAGTATATGAACACCATATTCCAACATGTTTTTAGTGGGTATTGCTGGCAAGAGAACATGATTTGTGGTATCAAACTTACTGACATACATTGGAGTGATTTATATTGTTCCATAATACAAAAATCCCATGTGCTCTGAAACCATTTATATTATGTATATATTTCCATTTTTAGTCTAAAGAAAATTACCTGTAAATCTTATGGGCCTGTTTGGACCCCCACCTACATAACTTGCATATTGTCTGATTAACAAGTCTTAATCCTCTGAAGTCCACCATGTCCCCATGATATGTAAAATCATGCCTCACATATTTTACTAACTCTAAAACCATTTAGGATAGAGTCTTGCTTTACATTGCGTTTTGCTGAGGAGATCTGCCAATTGAAAGTCACATTTTGAAATCTGCTCATAGCTTTTGCAGCTTAGTGGTGAAATACCATGCTCAATAAAAAGCACTTTGTGTATACTTTGCACTGTTATGTGGTCAGCGTTCAGTTTTCACGACAGTGGCAACTGTGAGCAGCAGTTAGAAGGCTTGTTATTTAGTCCCTACACCAATCAGCAGTTTGCAGCTTTACATGTCACCAATGAAAAACGTGGTTGGATCGAGTAAAACATGCTATCAGAGAGGGTCTCTGAGCTAGATGATTGTTTTTTTATTTGATGATAGATGGGCTGGTGGGAGGGGGACACAGTCAATACTCTTTGAATTGTGATTAATGGAACCAGGGACCAGAACACGGTAAAGAATTGATTTCAGGTTGACTTTAAGATTAGTAACTGAATAAAAACCCGTGCAGTTTCATTGGTTAATTATGCTTTCACCACATCAGAAAGATCTTGTTTAGCAATTAGACTTAGCATTTGTTTTTACATGTGTACTGAAAATGTATTATGTTCTGGTTCAAGAATCACAATACATATCACATTGTGAAATTTATATTTCGTTACAGCTCTAATGTTGTTGAGCACAATGTCAAACAGGAGTTTCCTGTCTGTATGGTCTGTGAACTCATCTCACCCTTCGTGTGGTAGCCCCTCATAGCTTTTTGTGTGTAGCATTGCTTGTGTCAGTGTGTCATTTGTCAGATGTGCCCCTGTTTCCATAGCGAGCAGAATAAAAACACCCATACATTTACCATCACAGTAATGCCTGATATTACATGCTGCTGCGATGTTTGAATGATAACGTCTCAGGGTGCGGAGCCACAACAAAATCTAAATGCGGCTCAGCTCTCCGCAGGTTCTTGGGTTTGTGCAGGTGCATATATCTGGCTCTCATTGAGTCTTAATCACCTGTGTAGACCAGCATGAGGGCTGACTCATCTGCTGCTGATTATGCTGTTGCTGCTGCGGAAATCAGGCGTTCTTAACGGTGTAGGAGTGGCTCCTCTCAGGACCAGCATTGTGTAACAGTGTCTTAGAGGATAATGAGGACCCAGCTGAGGCGTAATCCTGACACCTGCGCTTCTCCATTTGGTTCAGTAAAGCAGCGTGGGCCAACATAGACCCAGTATTCCGATGCTTCACACTAACGAGAAAACCCAAAATAGACCACGTTAAATTAGCACTATGGAAACACTTGCCCTTTTATATAAACCAAAGCCTAAAATTGCCATCCTGATAGTATTTTCTAAGGGAATAGAATCACTTTAATACACTATATGTCAAAAGTATCCTAACAGCTAAAAAGTAACCTTTATATCTGAATTGATTAGGTATAGGATTATAGTCAATAGACTGACCACCCCAGAGTCCAGACCTCAACATCATTAGATGTATTTGAGATTACTTGGAAGCAGAAAATGCAACCAGCTTCTAAGACTGACCTTTGGAGATGTGGAAAAATATCCCTGCAGATTTGTTTGAAAAACTGAAAGAAGGTCTCCTGAACAGAATGGAAGCTGTAACAAAGACAAAGTGTGGACACACTAAATACTTAGATCTTGTACTTAAATGCTATTTTGACTAAAAATTAAATAAAGGAAGGGTGGTCTTTTTAGACATGGCACAGTGCCATACAGTATATGTGAAATAAATATTGTTAACTAATGTATGAACATTTGATGTGATTATTTCAATATACACTCCGCTATTTACAAGTGGAATTTTTTGTTCTATTGTCAGTGGACTGACTTTCCTCAGTATAACTACTATAGAGATTTCATTTGAAATGCTCTTGTTGCACCTTTCACATTTAATAGCAATCCCTTTCTCAGTATGAGCACTTTTGTGAAAATTACTCTGTCCCCTAACTCTGCTATCATGTCATTTCGGTTTAACAGATAGCGTGGGCTGGAGCCATTAGGAGTCAGTAGTGCTGATGGTAATGCTCTACTGTGAGTGGACTGTGTTCCATAAAAGGGAAGCCTGTCAGGGTGTTGTTTTACGCTAACACCGGTAACATTATAGTGACATTGTAAGGTTAATTAAAGCATGTATACTGAATCCTAACTATTTTATAACAGAAAAGGCCCTTTAGAAGTTTATGGCAGTAATTAGATGCATGTGGGTTATGTGTTAGCACAACCTTCAGCTGTAAGTTGTCAAACATGATGTTAGACGAGTGTTTCATGTCAGTATGATCTATGTACCATTTAGAATCTCTCCCCTTCATGTGTGTTTCTCATGGCTGTGTTGTGCTGCTCACGTTGATGTGTCATTCCTCAGGAATGAGAGCAATAAAATAGCGCATCCCATTTGTGTTGATGGTACTGTCTCAGTATGAGTACTTTTGTGAGAAAGACTCTGACCACCAACTCTGATATCATGTCATTTCAGTCATGTAGGGGCTGCAAGGCAGAAAGTGCTTTAATCAAATAGGTAGCAGAGCGATTTGGCACTTTGATGAAATGTTAAGATGATGTAACCTTTCTCTGTGATCTAAAGATTTTTTACTTGAATATGACTCCATCAGAGCAAATACAACTGGACAATATTAATAACAATAATAATAATGATAATAATAACAATAATGTTTAATTTATGTAGTGCCTCTCTGAAACTCAAGAATGTTTTACATTTCCAAACAATTGTCAACAAAATACACACACACACACACACACACACACACACACACACACACACACACACAGAAACACATGCATACAGTTCCCCAGCTAGCAAGGAAAGAAACTCTCCTGACCACAATGTATAGTTCCCTGGCTCATGATCCAGTCAGACTGGTTCACAGAAATGACCCTGGTAAACTGTGCTACTGTATTAAGAAATGTCTCAGCTTGTGACTTTGTTAAACTGTGCTACCATTGTAAAAAGTGTCCCAGCTCAAAGCCTCGTTAAACTGTCCTACCATGGTAAGAAATGTCCTGGCTTGCAGTTCTGCTAAACTGTGCTAACTTGATAAGAAGTGTCCCGACTCTTGGTCTTGTTAAACTGTGGTACTGTGGTACAGCTCACAGCCTTGAAAGCAACTTTTCAAGAAATTACCATAAATATATAATTGCAGTATAATATGTATCATTTAATAACTTCTTTAGTACATTTTACAAAATCAATCATTACTATAGTGAATCCAAAGGAAATGTGTATATATCCAGTTTTTCCTATGTATTTAAAGAAAATGTAGATAATATACAAAACGTATTTGTGCAATACTTAAAACTGTATCATGTTTGTCAAGTGGCATTTATTTAAAACAGATCGTTACAAGACTTTGTAAAAGGTGGCTGGTGTGTTTCAGATTGTTATCATATAAGCAATTTCTTTGCAGACTTCTACAGGTTTACATTCAAAATATTTTTTGAACTTCTGAGTTAATGATTCTATCAGACTCACTGACACCACTGTAAGAAAAACAGCCCACACTCCTAAAAAAGAGAACCATTTTCTTTACTAAGGAACTCTTGAAGCACCATCTTTTTTTAAGAGTGCAGACTTTGAGGTTTCCACCAGTGCTTTGCAATGCTTTTAGTGCAGTATGGTTTTTGCTCAGTGTTTCTCTTTGAAACAAACTTTATTTTGTTAAATTTTATGAAGAACCTTAAATAACTTTTTTGAAATTTACCAATAGTTAAAGTGTCCAGATACTTTTTTGTGCAAACATACAATCTATCGGTGCATAAACATCTTTACGTCAATTTCTAATATTTATCTTCAGCAAGCTATGTCTGATAAATGATGCTAGTCTATTTAAAAGCTGTATTATTAGACCCAGGATGGGTGTAATGGTTTATTGATTTGCAGCTATTTTCCCGAGGAAACCGATTCAGAACAGGCCGTATCTCAAATAGCTGGTTGTTGATGATTATGCTCCTTCTGCTTAGAGCAGTGCACCACCTGAGCTGTCTTTGGGTGTTGATGTCTTTGTGGTCTCTTTCACAGGCAGGGTCCCGTGAAGCCCGAGGTGCTGTCGATTCAGTGGTCAGGAAGGCGATCCAATCGAAGACTTCAAAGGAATAACAGCTTGTCTCCAAACAACCCACTTCTCAGCCTTGTCAATTCAGGTGTTTATTCTTAGCTCAGGAGCTCCAGAGGAAATAGTGCTCGCCTACACTGCTTTGGCCCATGCATGGGGAGGGAGAGTGGGTGGGGGGGGCTGTAGGGAGGCAGGGGTCATTCATCTCTGTCACCCTGTAGTGATGGAGCTTCGAAATTGTAACATTTGTCTGCAACATTTCAATAGAATCAGAAACAGAATCAGAACTGTTCACAGTGGTGGTGATAGGAACCAGACGTCTGGAGTGTTTAATGCCTCTAATGGCTACATCACAGAAAGCTATTAAAACCATGACATGGTTATAAATATCCTGCCCGATGCCAGGGACATTGTTTTATAATCGTTTTGAGCAGATTTTGTTTTAAAACATATTTTTATAGTCCATTCATGATGGAGAGGTACATGCAAGGCATTTTTTATTTGTTTAGAATGTTTTCTATTTTTTATTATTTATATTTTTTGACTAAAGATTTTACTACTATTTTTACCATCATCAACATTACATATAATAACTAGGAAGGAAAGTGTAGATTCACTGGTCATTTTGGATAGTAAATAAAATGGCTATGTTTTCATCATGTATAAACATTGCAACACCTGGTTCCGATCACCACACTGTGGAAGTCAATTCCACCTATTTTTAGATAGTCAAGCTCAGTGCTCACTTCTAAGAAACCTTTAAAAACATATCTTTTCAACTTAGTGTTTAATTAAACTATAGATTTTATAGTATTTATCTGTTTAATTTGATCTGTGTCATTTTCTGATAGAATTTTTGAACAAATACTAATGATTTCTTCTATTACTGTTAAGCTTTAGTACCTGTCTGTAAATTGGCATGAAAAGTGCCAGACACCACTACTACTACTACCACCACTACTACTGCTAATAATAATCATAATAATAATAATAACCTTTATTTTTATAGCACTTTTCATGCCAGTCCATTAATAAAGATGATTATTATTATTATTATCCCTGACCTCACTTTTTAATTGATTACGATTCGGAAAGAATTCAGCATCATCAAATCTCAAATTACACCAGAATTCATTTAGATTATTTTGGTTAGTATCATTTATTATAATCCGTTCTAACATTCCAAACTCAGTGCAGTTTAATGGCCATGATCAGGTCAATACATTACACCAGCAATAACAGATGTTATTTAGCAAGAGGCTGCATGTTATCTCAGTACAGTAGCCCCAGGTACAGCATGAGTCACTACTTCACAAGCACTCAGTAGAACAAGCGTTGTGATTCATATCTTTGATTCTGTTCACCGAGTCATTTTTCTTTTCTTTAATGCACTGTTGTGATTTGCTATTCGCTAGAGTTCCTATCAAGGGCTGTGCTGTGCCTCGAGCTACCGCTTAGTCGTCCTAAGAGAGAAAGGAAAGCTTTAGATGGCTCTGAATTCTACTCACTTTGTGCCGTGACCCTGAAAATCTGTTATACACTAGCAGACCCCAACACCATTCCATTTCATTTAAGCTCATTCATTTGTGAGAGAGTTCTGTACAGAACCAAGGTCAGGCTCTGTGTGCTGAAAAGTCTGAAAACGTCTGCTTCTGTAGGTTTGTATGAGGAGGACAACCAGTGGATGACCCAGATCAACAGACTGCAGAAGCTGATTGACCGCCTTGAAAAGAAGGTAACGGCTCACACAGAAACTGGTTTGGCCGTATTTAGCAGAGATACTTGAGTAGCCCATGTCCATATTCAGGCACTGGTACTTTGGCTTCTGAGTAGGGATGTGCATTCGGACTTTGATTTGATATTCAGATGCCTGTAAGAGGTAATGAAAGGATATCCGGTTAACTGCAAGGAAGGAAAAATCAACAAAAGGGGAAAAAGGGATTTAGTGTAAAGCTGTAGTCTTACTTTCCAGGTTATAGCACAGGAGTATAACATTTTAAAACATGTTATATCATTCAAAATAGCCATGGGAAATTGGTAGGTTTTGATGTTAGAGGAGTATCAGAAGCTGCCTCTTCAGATGAGCTGATAAGCCAACACCAACAGTACAATATTGGATGCCAATAAGGACCCATTGTCTTCGCCACAGTGGACGATGTGCCAACATGTTGCTTTGTCAGGGAAACATATTTCCACATATTGCACATATTTTCAAATTTCTCCATCTTCCAGTGATAAAAAGTAACAAATAATTGAATAATGAGTTCAGTGTTCAGAGCCCTTGAGAACTCAAGTGCCATCGGGTGCCATCCCTACTCTGCAACCATCTAAGCACTGGCCCTGTTGTGGGTAAATAGAGAGTTTGATCCCCGGTGATGTCACAGTCATCCGTGGCTGGAGAGCATAATAGGCTTCCCTCTCTTTGGGTGGGCAGGAGGGTCCTCCCTCTCCCCCATAATTGAGGTCAATGGTAGCCGCTTCACGTGTCGCAGAAGAAGCACAAAGCAGTACAGATGAAATTAATGAAATGAATCTACGGAAATTAATCAAATTAATGACTGAAATGTAACTGAATAAAATGTATATTGCTTTTCTCACTTAACAAAGGATTATCATTTGGAAATACTAAGGGAAATAGAATAAATTTTAATATTAATATTAATCAATATTATATTTGTGTACATGTAATGTAAATAGTTCTTTACTGTGGTATTTTGGGATGTTCTATTTGACTAATTTGTATTATATTCAAGCGTCTGTTAACAATCTGAATTGACAAATGGATATTCGGTTAACCCTGGGTAAGAAAAGAACAGCTACAGGGCTGCTTTTTTTCTTCCAGTTGGTGGTGCAAGTGTTAGTCACAAGTAATATAGAATGTATGAATGTACATAAGAATTTACAGCCACACTTGTATATAAGACTCTCACTTATACATGAGATTTTCCTGAAAATTTTATTCATATTTATTTGCTGAATTTAACATATTGGCAAAAATAAAACATAAAAAACTCATAGTTTTATTTTTTCCCAATATGTTAAATTCAGCATATTAGAAAATCAACAAAGCATGTAATTTGTCCCAGGTTACCAGGTTTTTTGTGACCCCGACACAAGACGTAACTTTTTTTCTAAGCTGTACTTTTGTAATGCAACATGACAAACACCCAGATAGTGATTTTTATGTTCCAATGCTGGCACCTGGAACAGTTACTGAGTGTTTGTTATGGAATATTAGCTGACTCGTATTGTCATCTGCATAATTATGAAATGGCTTATGATTCATGCTGGCAATGTCACGTTATCTCTCTCTTAATCTCTCTCTCTCTCTCTCCCTCTCCATCCTTGCTCATGCACCCTTTGCCACTTTTCATTTACACTGTGCTTTCGTGTCTTTGAGTCATGGTGCAGGGTTAATTATAACGGAGGCATTTGGCTTGTTGTGACTGCGCTGTTTATTTTCTTTTCGTTAGGAGCTGCGTCTGGAGCCGGTTGAAGAGGAGGTCTCGGAAGGCACCACCAAATCAGTAACTCATTTACGGCTCCCTCTCTCCATCTCTCTGTGTGCTCCCTCAGCGTTCCGACTCATTACTACTCACTCTAGATGCTGTTGTCTAGGAAACAGTGCGGCTCTCGAGCTGTTCTTTTTTTCAGATGTCTATCCCTCTTCCTCTCTTATTTGGCTGTTCTGTCTTGTCGCAAAGTACTTTTTTGATTCTTGCTGGGCTCATATGGCAAAACCAAGAGACTGAACCGAGTGTGTTGTCTGTGTATGAGATGGAGAGAATAATAAATAGCCGTGAGCAGTTCCGTGGCACCCTGTGGTGAGTGGCAGTGAGCTCAGGAATGCATGAGAAGCAGCAGGAGATCTTGTTGTTCGCCTAAAAACATGGAATCAGATAGTATGAACATGCCCACGTACACACAATCATCCAGACACCAACAATTCTGGAGTAAACCTCAGCCGCCGTTCCTCAGGCGCTAGAGGTCAGTTTTCCAGACATGATTATTAAGCCTGGAAAAACACTTTTTTTAGTGTAGGTTCCTGGTGGCGATGAACTGAAAGGAAAATTCTATCTATTTGTCACAATTTCTGTATAATTATATAGGCAAGATGTAAACAAAGTCATTCAGAGCGGTTTGATGTGAAATTATCTGTTCTAGGGAAATTACTGAGCCATAATTGCTCATAAGAGCAGTGATAGAAACCTGATGTCAGAAGTGTTTAATGTTTATGCTTTCCCTCAAAAGTTCTAACACAAATTGGCAACTTTTCAAGAGAAAAGAAAAACATTGTTAACTTTCAGTGAAAGATAATGTAGAAGTATTTTATTCCAAGCAATATTGGGTCATTTCTATTGATCTGTTTATCATGAAACTTTTGCACAGTGTAAAAGATAGATAGATAGATCTAGACTATCCCGCTGGGATAGAATCAGTCGATCGATTGATTCTATGCCAGAAGGAAATCGTCTATTACAGCAGCACAAAGTATAGTAAAGAGCAGAACAAGAGCAAAAACATTGTTGAATGCTATTATACAGATACACAAACACAAGAAGAAGTAAAGGTATATAATAAAATATACCAAAACAACCATACAATATATTGTGCAGTACGAAAAGAAGTAAGTAAAATTGCATAAATATGCAGGTCACAACACAGTGGTGCATATCACGTCCAGTGAATGAACCGAGTAACTACACACTGTAAATGATAACATGTGTTAATAGTTGTGTATGTATGGGTGTATGCAAAGGTAAAAGGTAGATCATGCCATTAAATGAAAACAACAAAAATAGAGGCCTGATACACTGTTTTATAATAATTTTGTGATGAGGTTTTGTCTTAAAACACATTTAAAATCCTTTTATGGTGGAAAGGCACACAGAGGGCATTGTAGGCAAAATAGTTCCCAAAGAAAACATATTTTAGATTAACCACAATTTTACCATTATTAGCATTACATATAAATTTGGATAGTAAATAAAATGGCTATATTTGCTGTGTAGTCATGGTGACCCTTAGTTCCCATCACCACCACTGTAAAGAAAGTTTGAGTTGTTAAGTTTATTCAGTGCACCATTTCACATTAAACCAATCTGAATGACTTTGTTTGCATCTCAGTGAAGCAGAAATCCTGAAACTGGTGGACTTTCCCTTTAACATATGAACAGATAACAAATATTACAGAAATTACTGAGCTGAAATAGCATCGTAATGGAAAGAGCAGGTGGAAATAGCGTCCTGGCATGACCTGCGTTTCATTTCTTATTTTTTCATTCTGAACTGATATTACATTTCAAAACACGTTCAAATCGAACACTTTTGCAAACCACTTGACTGAATGTGTGTATTTGTGAATGTGTGCACATGGCTGAGGAACACAAAAAGTTTAATCATTTATGCTTCATGAAGTAATTTTCTCCGGGTGAGGCTTAATTGCACATTTTGTAATGAATGTGCATGAAATTCTCTTCTCCAGATGAGGCTTAATTTCTTATTGTCATAAATTAGTCTTTGTGAGACCGTGACGTAGCCTTTAGAGCAGACACTGTGTGCTGTGGATATGTGGTGCAGAAACTGAAGCCTTACTGTTTATGCATCAACAGTGTTAAGATTCTTCTGTTATAGATCACCCTCTTCTACAAATAGTACATAGACATTATACATTAATGTGTGTTTATGTGTATTTGTGAACCACTAGTTTCACTAGTTAGCTCTTATTTCCTTGTCAGTGATGAGCTTGGGCAAATAATGAAAATCAGTATGTATAATAATAATAATAATAATAATAATTATAATAATAGTATATGAGGGCTGGGATGTAAAGAAACACAAGTTTGGGGAATACATATTCACAATACAGAAACATATTCAATCTGCACTAAGTCCAAATTACATTTTGAGAAGGCAGTATTCAGAAAACTGCTACTTTTTTGCACTTTTAAGAGAGTACCTTTAAAATTCTTACCTGGTAAATAAAAAAAAAAAAACTTTAAAATGACACCATCAAAACTTGATTATTGCCTACTATAAATTCAAATATAGAAAAACACACTGATTAGACAAACTCTAAAGGAGAAGAACATAACAAACTTCTCTACAAACACTGCAGTTCCTGCTAAAGCCTGAGTAGACTGACAAACCTAGGTGATGAGTCAATTTGTGAACTTTCCGTTAGTTCACAAATTGCTCCCGGCTGAGCAAAAGTGGGACAACATGTATACAGTTGTATGCAAAGGTCTGAACACCCCCAGTCAAATTACATTGTTGATTTTCTAATTGAAAATAAGTGAACACATTCTTTACAGAGAAATCAGTGTTTACTTCTCTACTGATAAACTTAAGCATAGCACCTGAAAAATTAAAGATAATACTATTATTAATTTTGTCAGCTGCGTCAGGCCCATTCAAACTGACTCTCCCTTTCCTTTTATACATTTTGAAATATAAAATACTGTCTATACTGTGGCTTGGCTGAATATTTGATGGTTATTATTTACTGCGAGATGTGTATCCATATTACCCAGCATGCCAAGTTAATCAACATTTTAAATTGAATATTTTGTTAATAGTCAATGTCAATTCATTGCTTTCTATTTTGCATCAGTCCAGAGTTGTACCTAAACCTTGACTAAAACACTAGATAATCACTGTCTTAGCACCTAGGAGGAGAGTGCCATCACACCCATATATTGTCCGGACTGGACTGGTCTCCACAGAGGCTACTGCTGCAAAGCACGAGTTTCATTTCGTGCACACGCAGATGAACACATTATCTTTTCCAAGCTGCAGTTTGTAAACACCGTCAAACCTAGCACATCAACTTTATTTGTTATACATTACTGTTATTTGCTAATATCAAACTCGGAACGCAAGTTTACCTGACTGCTGTTCATGCAATTCAGTTTCAGTCTTTTGTTTTCTTTTTTCATGACCAGATGGATATTTTCACTTAATCCTCTCATCGAAGTTGTGAACAGTAAGCCGCTTTGACACCAGGGGGAGGAGGGCGCTTGTGAATTTTGCAGGGCCCTACGCAACAAGCGTAGTGAGCTTATAGGGCCGAACAGCTCTGTACATACTGGAATATAAAATGCATAACTTTTGCACAGGCCATATTTTCTGTTTAATTTTTTTCGTCCAAATATGTTACTTTCAGCAAATAAACAGTAATTGTGTATTTAAAGTGTGCAGAAGTGTGTTCTCTGTAAAGGATGTGTTCATTTATTTGACTTAGAAAATCAACAAAACTTGTAATTTGGCCATGGGGTTCCCAAACATTTGTGTATATTTCATCAAAATTATATTAGTTATTTGAAAACGTATATTTTAAGTACCGTCCCACTTTTGCTAAATATGCTACAAAATGTGAGACATCTGTATTTATTATCTGAATTTATTCAAGTTGTATTATATGCTGAATATCTTTCTGGATACATGTGGGACAGAGCATTCAGTATTCAGCCATCAATGTTTTTTTAACAGTGTTCTGCCTGACTCTGATAATAATATGTTTTATGTCTATAGCACCTATAAAAAAGACGTTTTAAAGGGTAGTTTAAATAGGAATTAAAAACAAACAAAATACGGAGAAAGGAAAGAGAACAGATAATTGCAAAAAAAATAAAAAGTGAATAAAAAGAATGATATAAAATTTAACAGAAAAATAAAACATAATAAAATATAGCCCCAAGAATATTTCGATGTGTGAAATGTGGCAAATGCATCAGTATCAGCTCATACATATGTGAGGCTGACACAAGAGGATTCTGGATATGAGTGTGTATATGTGCATGAGCATGTGCATATGAGCATTAGGAGGTGCACAAAGGGAGAGTTTATGGGAGGTGGCACCAGTGCAGTGCCTATGGAGAGGTCAGCTTTGACCCCAGGGAGAAAACTCTCACTTCCTGTTACCTTCAGTTGAGCCCCTATCTGCCCATCAGCTGGCCTCCAACAGCACTGCCTGTCAAAGACCAGCCATTATTCCACTGTTATTTACGGCTTTACCTGCTACTGCAGCCTCAGGGCCTTCCTCCCTGGTTGCTTCTGCACTAGTTGTTCTGAGTCACTGTGACATGACCATTGGCTGCATTAACGAGTGAATGACAGAGCGCTTTGGACACATTAGCCACATTTCGCCCCTTGTAATTGTGCCAGACTGGTTTAGCACTATTCCTGCTTCTGGGTCTTTTTCTCTGTTACCATTCCATTCCTAAACCTCCTCCAGTCAGCCGTATTTGCCCAAGCTTCATCCCTCGTGTTCCCATCTCGAATCTAGTCTGAGTCACTTTGTCACATTCCCCAACCTCATTCTTGGCCCATACCCCAGTCTCTGTCCCTAGACCTTGTTCTCTCTTCTTGTCTCACAGCTACTGTCACTGCACTGCATGTCTGCATCCTCCCTGTAGGTGCACTAACCCCAGTCTTCATCACTGATCTGGGCCTGTGTTTGCTTGGTTGCTTTGCAGCGTCAGTTGTCCCATTTTTTATTTAAACGTTAAAGAGACCACCTCATGGAAATCAACATTTTCCTTACTTCATCAAAATAAAAGAGTTGAAATGTTAGCAGGAACCGGCAAAAGTGGCTTGTTTGTGATGTCACAACCACAAAACATACAAATGAATGCCTATTCAGTCTACAGCAATTTAGCCACCTCTTTACATTAAAGCGATGAGAAGTGTTGCTACTGCAGTCAGCTTATAGCAATGTTATTGGAGCAGAAGATGATTAAACGTTGTACTGTTCATGGCTGTCAGGAAGCAAACATGTCATTACAGCCTTCTGGAGGACCTAGATATCCGAACGGAGTTGTTTTCTTTTTCCAACACCCCTGAAGATTTAAGTCCAAAATCAGTAGTTTGCTATGTCCATTTAAGCCTTGACTGCTTTTGAAAGATGCACTATACAAGGCTGCCAATCAGTACAGAGATAATTTACATATAGCAGTCTTATAAGGCAATAACAAAAAAACAGCCATTTTCTAGTTGATAAAGAGAGGTTTAAAAATGTAAAAATTAATTGGAGCATGTAAAAAGATTATGGCTATTCTGGACGCATCAAATCACACAAATGCTATCTGTGGGCTTCAGGGACAAAAATAAAACACACCAAAAATGTAGAAAATGGGCCCTTTAAAATGTGCTGCAGAGCTTTTCTGGTCTGGCATCGGTTCTCCTGTGCTCAGGTGCTTTGAGGTGCTTGTGTAGCATGTGAGGCTCCTTTGTGACTCATGCGTTCTCTCTCTTTTTTTAGCACATTCTGATTGTCCAGCGGCAGCTGCCGGTGCTGGAGGACGAGCTGGAGGAGTTCCGCCTGGCTCTCCGGCAGTACATCGACTGTGCCAGCGCCCAGACTGGCTGTCTGCAGTGAGTCCACACACCTCCAGCTCTGCCACCGTGCCGCCTCTGTGGCGTACAGCCTGCATCCACAAAAATATCACACAAGTGTCAAAAAGTGACAAAAAAAAAAAATTCTTTGGCAGAAGAATGTTCTAGGCTTGGCATTCGCTGGGTAGCAATAAAAAATGTATGGGGCGCCTCGTGTAGCTTCAAAGAGGTTATGCTGGTTCATGTCTCAGTTACAGTGCGCAGTGATGGCGTATATTTACAAGCCCTGGAAACAGGTTTGACTTTTAAAACTGGGGCATGACGAAAGTGACAGACAGCATGTTAAGTCTCATCATTATATTTCCCCCGTGACCCAGGGGCACTGGAGGCGTACTCATCCACATGCCAAAAGCTTCTCCAAGTTTGACATTAATTGGCCTCTTCCTATTAGCAGAAGGAGCTGGTGCAAGAAAGCACGAGGATGAGGAGAAACACAGAACGATGTGTGACTACTAGATTTGGCCTATACTGACACTCACATAGAAATGATCCTAAAGGATTCAGTGACAGAATCTAGTTTTATTTTTGCCTTTTTGTTGCAATATTAACCTTTTCTTTATTTTATTCTGTTATATTGTATATAAAAATAAAGCTAAGGCTCTCCTCAGAGGTGAGTACGGCATAAATCCACCATGAAGTAAAAGTATTGCTTCAAATTAAATAATGACTCAAGTAGAAGTAAATGTAGCTTAGCAAAACACAACTTCAGTAAAAAAGTATCAGCTACTAAAACTACTTAAGTACTGAGGTGCTTGTAGAACTGCAGCAGTACCTCCAATACTTTTTATCATAGGAACTGAACTTTGCAAGGTGATATTCCTCTATTTTGGGGCTCATTTTGGTCTAAAATAAAATGTTAAAGCCCTCATAAAGACTCAAATTTAAGGGGATCACAGATTTGTCAAAATTTCTGTATAGTTTGATTGCTGAGATGTAAATAAAGTCATAAAGAGTGGTTTGATGTGAAATTGTGAATTGCAGAAAAATTTACAGAAATAGATTTCTTTACGTTGGTGGTAGGAACCAGGAGTCGTAATGTTTATGCCACAAATGTAGCCTTTTTATTTAGTATCCAAAATGATCGCTCAGGCTACATGTGTCTTCTGAATTAATGCCGATTATGGTAAAATAGTGGTAAATCTAAAAATTGAGATTTCTTTGGGGATCATTTTTGCCTTACACCAACTTGCATATCCTCTGCCCGGAACGTATAAAAGTACCTTTTAAGCCAAAACCTTATCTAAGAATTATGGTAAAACAGTGTCTCATGCCTCAAGCAGCATATTCATAACCATTTCATGCAATAGCTTTACCTGATGTAGCAGTTAGAGGCATTAAACTCTTCAGACATCTGGTTCCGATCACCACTGTGGTGATCTTCTGACTCTGAGTGTTTCTCTAGAATGGTGCATTTCACATCAATCCACTCTGAATAACTTTGTTTACATCATAACTACTTAATTATGCACATTTTTTAAATGGAGGAATTCCCCTTTAACTCAATGTGTATAGCTAAGGTGAAACTGAGGAGAAAGTGTAGTATTTTCCTTACAAATATCCTGAGTAGAACTAATATTAATAAGTATTGTCATCTGAGAATATTCAGAAAAGTACAAAATCACTAAAGTTTTATTTCAGTTCATGTAAATGAGTGAAAGTAAGTGGTTAAAGTTTGTCTTTGGCTCTCTTACAGTGTTGAGTTGATCTCTTTAGAGAGAAGTAGGGCTGCACAATATATCGTCCCTTAATCCCTAATCATTATCGCAACGCCAGACTTCGCAGTACTGATACAGAAATGTGCTGAACAATCCAAACCCCTTCAGAAACCAGGGAGCAGCCATATGTCTGGAGAATTTAAGTTTATTTCTTGTGCACAGGTACCAGACATTTAGGCAGCCCATAATACAATGGACTGACACAATTTTATAGGCTGGACTGATGTCAAGATTAGGCCAAGCCTATACATGACAAGTGACAGGTGTGATAGACATGGCCATGTAGGGGACAACAAAAATAGGCAGAACAGTATGTTCTACATACAATCACAGCACATGGACACACAATACTGTGTATAGTAATTTATAACACACCACTAAACACATTGCACAGCAGTACATTCCTTCAGTGCACTATGCAAACCAGCCTCTAACCAATCACTGGATGTCTGTGTGTGCATCCTGACCAACCACAAATGTTTTTTAGATGTTGGGATGAATCAAAGCATTCACATGATCCAACAAACTCCAACAATAATTTAAGCCAGTCACAACAAGCATTCACTGATGCGTGTTTAATACATTGGAAAGTTTACTGCTATTGCAATATTTAGCCACCACTTTTTAAAGTTTTATTTGATGTGAAGTGGTGCATTGTTTACAAACGTATTGACTTTAAAATTGTCTTTATAATTTCTTTACAATAGTGGTGTGAAGAACAATTGTAGCCATTTCATTCACTATCCAAAACAACCCGTGAAGCTACACGTGTCTTCTGAGTTTTGAAATGTAATGTTGATGATGGTAACATGGTAGTGAATCCGAAATAATATGTTTGTTTTGGGGACTGGTTTGCCTTAAAATGCCCTATATGTGTTTCTTCACCATGAATGAATATAAAAAGGCCAAAATTTTATCTCGAAACTATCATACAACAATGTCTCGTTCCTGCATTAGGGCAGGAAACACATTCAGCTCTGCAGTGTTGTTGTTTTTCTGGGTCCATGAGTCAGAGGCACTGTTGTAGGTGTTTGTTTGTTCGTTTGTTTGTGATGATTCCATAATTGCAGCATTAAGTCCTCCAGAGGGAAACTGAAAGAAACAATTTAATGGATTGTTGTGCAAAGTTAATAATCCTACACTGGTTACTGTGCTCTGTTGGCAGTGTTGCAGTTCAGAGGATTGCTAATGAATCTCGCTTCATACTGTACGAGTTCTGGGAACACAGCAGTGTGTGGAAGAAGTAAGGCATATTTTCATTCTAGTCAGTTCCTAATGTGTAATCTTTATTCTTTCTCCAGAATCTCCTTTATTAAAATTAGACTGAAACTAGACTCAGAATGTAGTTATTTTTAACTCTTGAAGGGGCTCACTGGCCAGACTAGGAAAACACCCTTATTTGATGTGCTTTAAATGTGGGAGGGCCTACAGTTGTTTTGGAGTGGCTTATTTGCGGGCAGGCTGTTTGACATGCATTCTAGTTTTCTTGCAGTAATGTCAGCTATCTGGTATTCTTTTGCATTCACCAGCTAGCAAAAAAAAATAAAACTTCAAAAGGCACATTCAGTATCCAATTGCATACCGGGCCCTTTAGCAGTCCCTGCAAGCCTCCCAAAAATGCACCCTAAAGGAGTTTTTTCCAAAGTTCCTCCCACTATTAGAAGGGCTTTCCTGTTCTGGCTGTAGTGGCTCTTACAATGCATGTGTGCTTTGAACTGTTTATATAAACTTCAATTCCAAAAAAGTTAAATGTGAAATGCCAATAAAATCAGAAAGCACCCATATGGAAAAAAATATATGGACATATATTTTTAGATATTTGAAATCCATTTTATATGCATTCCAGTCCATGCTAAAACACATTTCACACACTAAAATGTATTTCAGAATATATTGCCTTATTAAAATACATTTATTTTAAAATGTATGGGGGAAATATTACACATAGAAATGTACCACACTAAATGCATGTATGTAAATGTATTTATCAAATACATTTGAAAATGTATGAAAATACTGTCTAATCCACTTTACTGTTTGGATACCTTTGAAAACGAATTTGTATTCCAGTATCTTAATTTAAATATTAGCAAATGAACCTTTAACATGACAAAAGCAAGTGTTGTAGGTATGGATACTTTGTGAAAATGCAGTTTGATATCTTGTTTATTTGAATACAAGTTGTGTGAGTGTCTCACTGCATATGTACGATACATATTACATAATGCAAAGTCAGTATTATTCATTCAGCTCATGTCTATTTAGTTATATCTGTAACTTTTGTTAAAACTACATTAGATTAATGTAAAATACATAATAACAAGTACAAATAAATGCATTTTAAAAAACATGTTATAAATAAATTTTTTGGCCATTTTCATACATTGCAAAAATATATTTGATGAATGACAATACATATGCAATATATATATTAAAAACGTTTATTGCTAATTTTCATACATTGCAAAACATATTTGATAAATACATTTGGAATCTATTTTTTTCCATATGGGCAGGTATTTCTAATGGCATGGGTAACTTGCACTTCTGTGAAAGATATATACACATTTTGGTGCAACATGTACCGCCTACACCACCTTTTCAGGGATGTCCATGCTTATTTCACCATGACAATGCCAAGAGCATGTGGGTGCTAGACTTGCCTGCTCTTAGTGGAAATCTGTCTCCTATTGAAAATGTGTCATATTATAAATCACAAAATACTACAACAAAGGCCTCAAACAGCTGCACAGCTGAAGACTTTTAAGAATAAATGAAAGAATGCCAAAAAAATAAACACTGGAGCAATTGGACTCTTTAGTCTTCAAACTTATTAACCCCTTACCAAGCCATAGGCCCACCAGTGGTCCCCAAGTTTCATTACACACTTCTATATCTTAGGAAAAGCTCCATTAGTTTGCATTGAAGTCCCTGTAGTTAATTAATAATAGGCCATAGTATGTAATAAGCCTGGAATGTTAAAGGGGTTTGGGGTTGTTAAAAGGAAAGGTGATGTAACACAGTGGTAAGCAAACTTTTCTGTGCAAACTTTTTTTTGTTGGAAAGTTCTTACAAAAATACCAATCCAGTTCATGCAGTACAACATCAAATATTGTGTTTTTGTACTGCTTTCAAGTTAATACAGGTCAAACAGTATTTACTAATCACTGCTCTGTTTTTATTTGCATTTCACATTTCACATGATGTCCAGTTGTTTTGGAATTGAGTTTTATATGTATATTTATGTCACGGCACTTATATCAAACAGAAACTGATCCACAAACTGCCATGAGTGTAAAACATTTTACTGACCATATATTTTATTACATTTTGATATGTTATCTCTTATCTGAAAGAATGAATGAGGAAGAGGACCTGAAATCAGATTTCAGGTCATTAGCATTGTAAGGTTTCCATTTAAGGGTTAAATAATACTGATATTATAGTCAGGCTCTAGTATATGTCCAAACTAGGCCTTTTCTGTGTGCAGCCATCTGCAGACAAACTACAGCAAAACCTTCCAGAGGGGCAACGTGGACTTCTTAGAGACACCAGAGATCACAACAACTATGCTGGTACCAGGTGTGGTGCATATTCTCTTTATTGGCCCTTGCATTAGACTGACTCACTGTGCTATCCAAGAACCATCTGATTAAAAGAGCATTTATCACAATCAGAGAATCATGGCTAGTGATATCACTTGTAATAACTGATGAGTCTTACATACTTTGAGTCTAATCAGTTATGTTTCTACCCGTAGCGTCGTGGTGGGTCCTGAACAACAATTAGAGCTGTTTGACTCCAGATATCCGGACACGAGAGCTTACAAGGACCAAAAGGGAAGCTAGTTCGACATCGCTGTTTCTTAATCTTCTGGAAGTGCACCCTTGTGTTAACGCTTGCTGTGAAGTCATGGTGAATACCATCAGACATCTTTGTTCCCTCATCATTAGATCTTTAAACTGAGTACACTCCTAGATGTAACCTCCTAAAGCAATGACTTCACTGTTCCAATGATGGTGCTCAGTGACACCATCACTGTGTTGATGTTTCTTCAGGATTAGCACTTTGTCAGCAGTACAGCGAGTGTGAGCTGCAGCGTCCTGTACCGTTTTAGCTAGTCTGTGTAAGTGTCAGGACTCAAGGCCTCATGCCTTATGTAGCAGTACTTGTACTACCCTGATAAACCACAAGGTTTTGACTCTAATGTTTCTGTATAAAGGTACACCTCTGTCGCTGTATTTTATGTAGTTTGTCAACTCTGAATAAATATAAGGCTGTAGTCATCCTGTTTGTTGTTTCATGTGTTTGGGATGCAGTTGTTTTTGTAAGATACTGCTGTCTCTGCTGTAAGGTCTGTCTCTTTCATCATCTCTTGGAATAGGAGGGTTCCTTAGTCTTCATATGAGGTCATACAGTACATTTGGATACTACTCATAGAAGAGTTCCATTTACTTTTATGCCCACTATTTTTACTGTTTAAAAATAATAGAAAAGACATCAAAACTATGGAACTTATGGAATTATGCAGTAAGCTAAAAAGTGTTACATCTTCTAACTCAGACTCTTCAAAGTAGACACCGTTTAACCTGATGCAGCTTTAGACACTTATTCTCTCAAGAAGGAATGTATATTGTATATTAAACATTTTGTTTTGAAAATAAATTCATACCTAGGTTTATATATCTTTGCTAATTGCAGTGCTCAAAAAACATCTCTTGCTTTATTTAGAATTTTTGATCATATTTTAATTGGATGGTCCCCCATAGATGATCTACAGATACTTAAATCATGAACAAACTTTCTGCTGATACTCAGTTGATTATCAACACCATTATGGTCAGGGTCAGGGTTAGGAGTGTGTTGTTTTTGCACTGAGGTTAGGGTTAGGGTTAGGTTTAGGGTTAGGGATAGATTTAATTCAATCTTTCACACTCATCTTCAAGTTCAGTTGCATTTAGTAAATATTTAGTTGAGTGTCACTTAAAGACAGACTGAGAATCCACAAGCCATCTACAGTGGACCATCTAAATGAAGTGTTACAGAATTTTTACATTTGTTAATGTAGTGTGGAAAGTATGGAAAGTATGCTTGACCATATTCAAAAGTACAGCTATATTGTGACTTATCAGTCAATTCTTTGTGTCTTATTGAGACAATTTTCATTCAACCCCCCATTTTACTTTAAAAAAATGGTTGAGACATAAATCCAAATGACTGTCATCTTCAAACAAAAGATCTCCAAGGCTACACCTGGCTCAAATCACTCAATCAGTAGGAACCAGGGGTCGCAACATATCTACAAAAACAAATACAGCCACTTCATTTAGTATCCAAAACCACCTGTGAACCTGAAGGTGTCTTCTGAGTTTTTATATTTAATGCCGATGATGGTCAAACCTAAAGGTAAATCTGGAAAAAAAAAGATTCGGTGAGTCTTATTTTGCCTTACAATGCCCTGCATTTACGTCTCCACCATGAACTGATTAAAAAAAAATCATTTTAAGCCTAAATATTATTTCAAAACTATCATAAAACAATATCTTAGGCATCAGGCAACTTGTTAGTAATCATTTCATGTATTTCAACTTTCTGTAAGGGAGCTTTTAGAGGCATTAAACTCTTCAGATGTGTGGTTCCTATCACCACCACTCCAAATGACTGTTTACATCTTAACGATTGAATTCGGTGGAATTGTAAAAAAAAATGGTGGAATTCCAGTTTAACACTCTAATATTACTTCAGAAAACCTGAATATTGAGTAGAATTAATCTGTCAGAGAACATATAGTCTCTTGGTAACAGCATGTCTGTGAAAGATTGCAGTACACTGAAAATTCCAAAATCAAGATTAAAATGTACTGAAAGTGTGGAAAGAGACAGAAAGTGTTCAAAACCTGCCACAGTCTGTTCATCCAAAAGATCCAACAAGCATCAAAACTCATGCAAACTCACACACTCTATGCCTAAAACACTTCAAGCTGTCATGCAAAAGAAGGGATTTGCTGAAAACCTCCAACCTAAATAGAATACTATATATGCTAACCTACATAAAGACCGACTTATGTTTGTCCCACTAATGTTTGAGTACTCTGGTCATTATTACTGGTTGTTATAACTTTTCTGATGTATATTTATCGTGGAAAGTTGTACACAAGACATAGATTGTATTCAGACAGACTGCTTTTGAACACTGCATATCAGGGGACTCAAATGCGGTGGTCCACAGCTAAGCACTCTGGATTCAACTCATGAGGACTAACTAATACCTGATGAGTAGAATTACTGGTTAGGGTAAGAGTAGAGCACTAAACTCTGCAGTTTTGTGAGCTGTGAGTCTGATCCTTTATATATACATGAAATGTGAGGCATTTACATATGTGCTTTATATCACAATATCTTTATGATTACACTAAAAAGACATCTAGTCTGCTGGGTCCAAGCTTCTGACTGCTACTGCTACCTGGAGTCCACATATGTTTTACACTACAGAGGAGGAGGTTACTCATCAGTGAAGGTGCCTGGTGTTTGGTGAAGAAACACTGCCTCCCTGTGGATGTTCAGAGCACTCAGAGCCTTGTAGATCACAGCAGTAAAACTGGTGAGGCAGGTGGGGCTGTGTAAATAAAGCACTTCAGAGAACCACACTGCGACTTTTTTGTTCTCCCTGTCTCCTTCATCTCATTTGTGAGTGACCCCTTCTAAAGAAATCATTGTGCTGGCGCAGAACTGACACATGACCTTTATTCCATCTCTGTATGTCAGTGTTCTGCAATCACGCTGCCTCAACAATGCGACTTCACAGAAGTGACATTCAGAATGTATAAGAAAGAAAAGGAGACTGGTGTAGTTGTGTAGCTGTTGTCCTTTAGCTTTGTGAAGCAGTTTGCTCTGTGCTAGCCGCCAAGCTGGCTATAAATAATCATGAAGAAATGCAGAAATCAGAAAAAAGTGGAAGCACTATTACACGTGTGAAAAAGTGGAAGCACAACACAACAAATCATGATAAAATACTTTAGACATTACTTTATAGCTTGTAATAATTAATTTATAGATGATTAACTATAAAAGGGGAATTTCACATATTTTTAGGAATGTTTTTATTATTAATTGGTTAATATGTGGACAAAAGCCGTTCAGAGTATTTGATGTGAAATTCTCCATTCTAGAAAAACGTACAGTCAGAATGGTTCACAGTGGTGTGATAGGAACCAGACGTCTGAAGACTTTAATGTCTCTAAAAGCTCCATCACAGAATATTACTACAATACATACCATAATGCTTTATCATTATTGTTACATATAAAATCTCAGAAAACACATGCAGGTTCACTGGTAGTTTTGGATAGTAAATAAAATGGCTATGTTTGCATTGCAGACATCACAAATCCTGGTTCCTATCACCACCACTGTAAAGAAGTCTGAGTCTGTATGTTTCTCTACAAAGAGCCATTTCTCAGCAAACCACCCTCAATGACTTTGTTTTCATCTCAACAATTGATTTATGCAGGACATTTGAAAACTCATTGGAATTCTGCTTTAATAAACACAACAATGTATAATAGTGTTTTTAAGGAAGCTACAATATATATATGTGTATATATATATATATATATATATATATATATACAGTGGTGTGAAAAAGTGTTTGCCCCCTTCCTGATTTCTTATTCTTTTGCATGTTTGTCACACTTAAATGTTTCAGATCACCAAACAAATTTAAATATTAGACAAAGATAACACAAGTAAACACAAAATGCAGTTTATAAATGAAGGTCTTTATTATTAAGGGAAAAAGAAATCCAAACCTACAGGGCCCTGTGTGAAAAAGTGATTGCCCCCTAAACCTAATAACTGGTTGGGCCACCCTTAGCAGCAACAACTGCAATGAAGCATTTGCGATAACTGGCAATGAGCCTTTTACAGCGCTGTGGAGGAATTTTGGCCACTCATTGGAGGGTTTCCGAGCATGAACCGCCTTTTTAAGGCCATGCCACAGCATCTCAATCGGATTCAGGTCAGGACTTTGACTAGGCCACTCCAAAGTCTTACTTTTGTTTTTCTTAAGCCATTCAGAGGTGGACTTGCTGGAGTGTTTTGGATCATTGTCCTGCTGCAGAACCCAAGTGCGCTTCAGCTTGAGGTCACGAACAGATGGCTGGATATTCTCCTTCAGGATTTTTTGGTAGACAGCAGAATTCATGGTTCCATTTACCACAGCAAGTCTTCCAGGTCCTGAAGCAGCACTTTTTCACACCACTGTGAAAAACACCATATATATATATATATATATATATATATATTCTATGCATATTATCTTTTGTAACCAAGAACAAAAAGTAATGCACTGAGACACAAACCAAGCACTCCAGACAGGGATTTTTCTCTCCATTTTATTGATAAATTATCAGTTTTAAAAAGACCCAGGCCATATTCCAACTCAAGCTACAGTCTCGGTGTACCGAACAAACTATGTACAAAGAATTTTCTTGTTTGTCACATTCAGAACAAGATTAGTAACTACAGTTGTGCCCATTTGTCCTGATGAAGTTAGGGAACTACTGCGACGCTAGCAAGGATTGACCAAGTGTCGGAATCAGGCAGATAGCAGAGGCATGTTCATTCTACTTATAGGTAACAGCACTAGATTCAGGGCCTAACGCTTCAACACTGCCCTGTCAGTGACAGAGACATAGAACACTGCTCTGCGGTACAAAATAATCAAATGAAAATCATGCATGTGCGATTTTCCCCATTCAGTACATGTACATCTCGCTGCTGACTGACGAGTCAAATGAACAGGTGCAGTGTATGTGTGAGCATGCTGTTTTTCTTCCTCTGAAAGCCACAAAACTAAAGATTATTGCTCACAGTGAGTTACAGCGGCTTAATCGAAATGGATTTGAGAATACTGATATATTTCCTTGGAGGGATCTCCCCTAAGAGACACATAAACAGGAACATTGGCACAGGACTAATAAAGAATATCTGAATATTTAGATGCAACAGAGTACCTTGTTGAGTGTGGGCAGGTTTTCTTAATACATATTAACTTTCAGCTTTTTACAGCTGTGACAGCTAGCAGCAACAGAACAGAATAATTGCATAAAGGTGTAGTGCAATGGGCAAATTGTTCATAAAAGATCATCTCTTTTGGTCAGGTCAGTAACAAAATGCAGTAACATGTATACACTGTCCATCCAGTAGGGGTCATAGTTACTCGAAGCCGGCCAAAATCCATGAGGCGTACCAAGCGGACTTCAATGATTCCATCTCATCAGCACTTCATTAATTGCCAGCAATACTGATTTCAGTTTATTCAGAACTCTACTTTCATCATAACCATTTACGAGCTTAATTCTGCAAAGAATAAATATCAGAGCCAATCAAGTTTAAAGTTCAACATTCTTAGTCACCTCGAAACCCCAGACTGGATTTTAGTTCTCCTACACAGAATGACCATTCAAATGTACACCTGTTAAAATCAGGATAAAATGAAATACTAAAAGGACTCATTGAATGACGGACACTGTCTATGCGAAGGTGTTCTCTGGATAGCTGACTTTAATCGCTCCCCAGTAGCAGGCCCGTACCAGACAGATAAGACCCAGCAGATACGCAAAGGCCCAGGAAACGTAGGTAGCATGGTAACGGCTCGCAAAGTCTTGAGTGCCCACCTAGCAGAAAACACAAAACCAGAGAATGAGACAAACAGATTATGACATGAGATAATGTTTGGAAACACTTGTTACATTAATAAATTGTGCTATTTTATATAGAATAACACCTTATACACTGTATATTCGAAATAATTTAAACCACACACCAAGTTTTATTCAATATTTCAAGGATTTTTATATAATTATATACTATAAATAAAATGCTATAAATTCAAAAAATCTATTTACAGCAGTTTTTGTCAAGTTACTTTTCAAAAATGAGGCATTTTGATGTTAAATTTATTCATTCTCAATATTGTACAGCTCAGTTATTGTAGAGTTATTGCAGAGTCATCTACAGCTCTGTTCATCATTCTGGGCATACTGAACATTTCTTAATTTTTATTTACAGGTTCCTACTAATAATGATTTGAAACCTATAAAGTTATGCAGGACCAGTGTACTAAAATCATTTACATATTTATCTTTAACCAAACTGGTTTTATGTTGTTAAAAATGTTGATTCCAAAGTTTTGAACAGTAGTAAACTTTTTCAGTGTTTGCAGGGACCCACTCTTAAATGGGTCAACGCAAAGTGGCTTATTTTGAACTGGGTGCCAAATATGCTGAGATTATGATTAGTTCTCACTGTTAATCTACAGTCACTGAAAGAAAGCTCATTCATTTGAAGGTCTCTTTATTTGAGCTCTCTTTTGGGGAGCATTTTAATCTTGCGCTGTCCTGGCAGTGGCAATTTCTTAGAAGCCCTAAACAGGTCTTTGTACACTGGTATCATTATAGAAACATTTGTTGTTTCTATAAACCTTGTTTTAAAAGTGCATCTCATTAAAACATAACATCCAAGCTCAAGCATTTTGCTATGCATAATTTAACTTAACAAATGAAGCTGTTTGTTTAAATATTCTTATTTGTAGAACCTTTAATGCAAATTCCTATTGTAACACAATAGAACAGAGTAAACAGCGTGTGTGTGTGTGTGTGTGTGTGTGCGTGTTGGGGGACAAAACAAAACAAAGACTTTGTTGTGGTTGGAATCAGTACTCACTGTTAATCCAATTCCAATGAAAATGCAGATCATTCCTACTGTGATGTAGGCACAACAGCGCCTCCTAGGCAGGGCACTGCCAACAGATGAGCTGAGGACAAGGAGGGGATACAGGGTTAGACTGAGGGCAAAGACCAGAGCCCCAAGAGCCACATGAATAAATCCTTAGATGCATCTATACTGACTTGGCATGGTCACACTAACCTCGAGTCCTGGCTACTAATTTGTAAAATTAGCTGTTTATAATTGATGCATTCCACTTAAGAGCATGTAAATTAGGCTACCAGTTGGCTAATTGAGTGGCCGAATAGGACAAACTACAGTTTAACTTTAGTGCACTAAAATGTAATATTTAAGTTCTGTGTCAAGTTTAAAAATACCTCCTCATAGAAAGGTTTTCCTTATTTTACACCCACTGTTTTACTCATTTTACAAAAAAGTAGGAAATCAAACTATGAAACAGCACAGATGGAATAATACAGTGAGTTATTCATAAAAATCACACTTTTTTTTCCGTAACGTCAACTTTATGCACTGTCTTTATGCATTCTCGCAAGCAGCTTCATGAGGAGCCACCAGGGATCTATTTGATAACAAAGTGAAGTTGAAAGATTTAGATTTATAATGAGTTTCATTTTTAAATAAAAACCTTAGAAAATAGTGACATTCTGATTCTGAGCTTGTGCTTAAATTTTGTTACGTTAAGAAATATAAAGTGCACAAGTCATACCTGTATGTATGAACTGATTTCCAAAATAAAATTGTTAAATTAATTTCTGCCTCCAAAAAGTAGTTCTGAGCAGCAAATGAGGTTTAAGTTGGAATATCTTCAGGTTAGCTGACATCAAGACCAAAATTGGTCATTTTGGTCACTGCATGATTCCATGGGGCAGATTTACTATGTCAAAATGTTGAGACAATAATTCATTATTTTCATTATAATAAGTCATTATTTCAACATTATTTCAACTCATAGTTTGAATCTGAAACAGGATGATAAAAAACTGGCTTTTGTTCGGGCTTCCATACAAAAAGCATGTGAGCCAAACACGTGGTTATGTTGCGCTGGTCAAATGTTAATTACAAAGCTGTGCCACAATAAATTGGCCATCCCCATCTGCTGCACTGGTAGACTGTTGGTAATGAGCGCCTATTTAAGTACATCTGCCCCACATGTGTTATTTCGTAGTCTGATGTCTTCACTTTTATTCTACAATGAGTAAAATTTTAGACTGAAAAACCCTTCTATGAATAGGTGTGTCTAAACTTTTGACTGGTAGTGTATGTGCCAATCTTTCCCTTACACAAATTGTTTGTTAACCTCGCCCCACACTTCTATCTAACACCAGATAACACAATCTAACTGCCTGCCATAATTTATTTGCTACATTTATTTACTCAGTAAAGCAAACATAATCAATTTGACATTTGATTTGGTGCACTTCATGAGGTACGACTGCATATGTAATTCTTTATACATCTACTATATAAACTACTCTGTGTGGGCCAGATCTGGTGAACTGGTGGGAAAGAAGGTGCCAATTGGCTGTATTACAAACGTCTGTAATCAGCTGAGAATTTCGTCAGCAGTCACATGGCTCCCTCCTATCCCTGCTGGGTCCTGTTAAGACTCAGCAGGACCCTTCACATGCCTCTCATGTGACTGGGTTCTGAAACATTCTTTTGAAATCACACAAAAAAAAAAAATCAGATGGCTTAGGGTGCTTAAGCCTCTTACATTTCCTCTCTCTATCTTCCCTATTTCCTTCCTCTCTTGTCCTCTCGGCACAAGCAGAACTTTGCTGTTAACTTCCCATTCGTGCAAGTCATAACATCTGGAGCCTCAGTGGTGGCTCTGTCTTGCAGCGTCATCAGCGTGCGCAATGCCGGGGTTACATTACGTCAGCATGAATGTGCTCTCACTCAACTCAAGAGACCCTGGCACTGGCTGGGCACTGGGTCCATGGCATCACATTACTGGCACCACAAACCCAGTAAATAAACCCCGAGTTTATTTATTCTCTCTCTCTCTCTGCAATACCCTGTGGAACTAAGGGCTGACCTCGCGCCAGTAATGCGCGTCACACATTGAGATTTATGAGCCATGTCCTGGGAAATGCAAATCGGATGCCAGTATGAACTCAGTGGAATACAGACACAGCAACTCCACTCATGAGAGATTCAATGCACATTATAGAAAGTAATAGACTGAATTTACTTGATTCAAATGTGTACATTATTTCCACACAAGTAAGATACATCAATGTTGTCTTTCTACCTACTTACGACATTAATAATCTTTCCCAACATATTATATTCATGTGAAAATGATGTAAACATTTGAATAAAGTCAAGTCGATGTGTCACTTTCTTCAGTGCACAGCACAGTTAACATTTTTATCAACCACCGCCAGCAATCTGACATAAACCTGACAATAGGGGTGGGCGACATGACACAAATATAATAGCACAACAAAACATTTTCACAATACACAATATTCTGACACAATGCACCAGCAGTTTTAAAAACTGCTATCAAAAACTATGAGCACAATGATTTGTATTTTACGTTTCATATACTGCTGCACTAAATTGAATTAAACAGGACTAATTATGCTTTCTTTCCAATAAAACCTACAGTGGGTCAGTGATCTTTAAACATGACATCTAAGATAAGAGAAAAACAAATTATGGTGTAATTCATCACGATGCCCTCCCTACATGACCATATGATAAATGTAACTCACATTTTTTTGCAGTGTGGGCACTTGGCCAGCGTATTAAATCGGAGCTCCATCCACTGTGGGCAGAACACAGAAACAGGGTTTTTAAAGAGTACATTGACATCAAATATGAACATTAAAAGAAAAAAAAGCCCACTCACTCTACTAATCTAGTCTTGGGTTAATTGGACCTCTAATTTGGCATCAGTCCAGAGTGCTAAAATGAGTTAAAAAGACTACCAGTGATTCATCAAAATCAGTTTCTAAGATGGCAGCCTCTATGGGTCATTCGATGTGTAATTTATGTAGGGGAAATGAACTGATTTGGGGTATTTCAAAGGCAAAATGCAGTAATAGTGTATATGTGGGTAATGCTTGATTTGAACCCTGCTACATAACAATGACACTATGTTCAATAATATAACCCAGGCGGTTTACCATTATTGTGTACCGTCATGACAGATACCGTATTGTTTGATGTCAGCTTATGTCACATGCTAATATTTGCTATGCAAACGCTCATTATTGGTCATTGCATCATACATTATGACATCTGTCATGATAATTACCAGTAAGGGTAACATGACACTGTTATACTTCTAAACAAACTCTGTCACGGCTCATTTGACATATGATATGTTTATGGTACGGTTATGTCAATGTTTTGTAGCAAGTAAGAACACAAATGGTTTTACTGAAATCTACATGATAATAAATATAAAGGCATCCTTTTTAGCCATTTCTGCATCTTGCCTTTGTAGGGCAGATCAGTGGTGCTGATTTCAGTTATTGGCCATTTCATGTGATCACTAGTTGGGTAGATGTTATTCAGTCGTTCCATAAGGAACCTATGGAGGACTGAGCATTCTGAGCATTAGGACCTTGAAGGGAGCAGAGGCACCATCAATAGGCAGGCCAGAGGAAGGCTGGGACACAGCATCGCTGCCCTAGAGGCCACAGGCATAACAGGAGCATTGAAAACAATGTCTACCGCAATGAGGGATTCTAGTCTTCTGCTACATATGGCAGCATTAAAAAGTGCATTCCATGCAAAATCCATCATGTACTATGTGACTTCCAACAGTGCCGACGACTTGAAAGACAGTGTTACCCAGGAACGTTTACTGGTAGACAAGCTGGCAATAAATCAGGCCACGTGACCTGATGCTATGGTAGGAAAGGCAATGTTACACTTTGTTAAATCTTTAAAATCTGCAAAATGACAGTAACACTTACATACACTTGAGAAACTTCAATCACCACTGCAAAGTCATGGGACCATATTATTGGCTTAATTCAAGGTGCGATATCATGTAATGTGTCAATTTTGCATGGAACACTTCTTTAATAAGGACCCATTCTGCTTGAACCATGAATGAGGATTATAACAAATGTGGTCTACCGTACGTACAAGGAACGTGTTGCCGCAGTGGCCACACACCACGCGCATGCCTTCGGGCTGAACAGGAAGGGCCGGCTGCGCAGGCTGCTCCTCCGGGATCACCATCACCGGGCTTAGGTTGATGATCCGTCTGCTGGGGGTCAATAAAAACAATAAAGTCAAACTTAAAGGTCTTTTCCCTCACCATGGTCTCTGCTCTGTATTTCACTTTGATGTTAAAGCATGCACTGAGCACAGCTCTCTCTCAGCTTTGTAAAAATATCTCAGCATTACTCTCTCATCCATTTAGCTGTGCTTCAAAGAGCTGAATGCCTCTGTCTCAAAAGTCGGCACTCTGTGATCACTGGACAGTGGCCCCAAAGGCCTGCTCTCTTAGTCTTTCTAGTGAAAATTCATGCTCATGTAGTTGTACTGCAGTCGGGATAGCCTTTCTTACACTTACCAGTTGGGTCGAGGGCATCCTATTCTTCGAGATGTGTCTTTACAGATTAGCAGGCAGTTGCAGGGACATCTAACATACTTCTTTCCTGTTGGTGGGTTCTTGATGGGCTAAGAAAAAAAAAGAAATGGAAAAATTTGCAGCCCTACTGACTAGGTGCACTAAAAGCATGCATGCATTGCAAAATATAAGATTATTCTTCTCATCTTTTGGAATTTCATTTCACAAAGTCTAAGCCCAAAATCTCATTAAGAGCCTTTGCCTAGATACTTTCAAAAACAAGTTTTAGATTGCAATCAGTTTACCTTATTTGGCAGCTCTACAAAAATATGATCTGTAAGCATGCTCCACCAGCTGCCCCATATAATAATTCCATCATTAAAGCATATATCCAGATGCTGTATTATTGCATCAGCAAGACTAATTACTGAATATTGTGCTGAGTCATAGCTCAGGAGCTTTATCAAACAAAGAAAGCGCCCTCATGTGAGTCAGAACACCATGCTGTTACCAATGACCCTTAATGAGCTCACTTCAGCACGGAACTGACTGAATATTTGATCTAGCTAAGCTGGGTAGCGGCAGATAAAGGCTAGGAAGGAAGCTCTCAATTCCTCCTTTCAGAAAAGAATAGAAAAGCAGAAAAGAAAAACTCTTTCACATTATATATTTGTGCATTTCACAGTCGTGCAATGTCAACATTTTATTAAGGTCACTGGGTTTCAGGTTCACGCAATGTCTCCAAATAAGCGAAACATTTTAAAAGATGGTATCAAATATATTTTAAGATGTGTACAATTAACTAGCAAAACAAAGGGAGTTCAATTATAAAAACATGATGCATAATTTCTTCTAAATCTTCCCCATAGCAACAATTCAAAACATGCAGTGCTGTGAAAAAGTATGTCCCCATTTCTGATTTTCTCTGTTACTGCATATTTGTCAAAGTGAATACTTTTAAAAGCTCTAAGGGCTCATATATGGATCCACACTTTAGTTTTTCGCTTTCTAAACTACATAGCTTATGTTTTTTATATCAGAGATTAAATAATTTATATAAATAACTGAAGAATATGTCCTAATTGCTCCTTTTAAATTCATATCTAATCTATTATTGCCATGCCATAAAACTGGAAACAATACTAAGTCTAGGGTTCGAAGGGTTATATAAAATGTAATATAAGACAAAGCTCTATCTACCAAACCTACCAATATTCAAATTAAAGCACCTTCTGCAAAGATGAGTGGGCTTAAATTCCTCCACAATGTGAAAGGCTAATATCAAACTGCAGGACAAACTGTTGACTGCAGTTATGGCTGCTGAAAGTCAGAAATTATTCAGTTATTCATTTTAAGGGGCAACTACTTTTTCACATGGGCAATTCACCTGTTGGATATCTTTGCTCCTAAAAAAAAAAATGGATAATTTTAAAATATGTTTTGTGTTTGTACTTTCTTTAAAGATCTAAAGGCACTCACTGTGACAAATATGCCACAAAAGAAAATCAGGAAGGGGGCTAATATTTTTTAAGGCACTGTATTATATGATGGAGCTGAACTTCACTGGTTTACCCCAAATTCACACTAGTACACGCAGATACAATGCCAGAATGTGCTCTTCTTTTAAAGTAGTAAATGTGTCAGGCGTAATTAAATGTTTTTTCCTAAGAATTATGTATTTTTGCAATCTCATCCACAGCCAAACCTCATTCCTGTGGGATTCTCCATGTCACACAACAGAGACTCAAAGCTGGAAAGATGAAGGATTACATACACCTTCCTCCGAATCGTGTGAAATCTGCCACTGCAGCTTCCTGAACGCCCAGCCATGAAGCTCTGTTGAGCATCTCAGTGCACTTGGCTGCACTGCCAAGTCTACATGACTAAGCAGACAAGCCGATTGGCTGGTGCGTTGCTTAGTGACAAAGGAAAATGGCAGTTGTCCTGGGTGAGCTATTATTTGAGAGTCTGTGTATTAAAGTAATTCAGATACAGAATATTCTTCTGCTTCAACTGGTGAAACAAATCAAATTACACATTTTGTAATTACATGCTGCATCAACAATAGCAATATGCATCAATGCATAATCCTCAATACATGATTATGTACTGTTACATCCTGATTTAAAGGCCCTTCTGTGACAATGGAAATCTTGTACAGTAGCAAACTGTTTATTTGGCATGTTAAAGGGGAATTCCACTGATTTTTTGAATGTACAGAAATGTACTGACTCAGATTTGTTTACAGTGATGGTGACACAAACCAGGGGAAATGATGTCTACAATGCAAATCATGCTGTGTTATTTACTATCCAAAACAATAAGTGAATGTACTTGTGTCTTCTGAGTTTTTCTATATAATGTTGATAATGGTAAAATAGTTATAAATCTGACAGAAATTAGTACTATTTTGCCTTACAACACCCTGCATGTACCTCTATGCAGTGAATCTCAAAACTAGTGTAAAACAATGTCTCAGGCATCAGGCAGCATATTCATAACTTGTAACAGTTTTCTGTGATGGCATTTCAACAGTATTAAGCACATGGACATCTGGTTCCTACCACCACCACTAAGAACAATTCTGACCCACTAAGTTCTCTCCAGAACAGAGCATTTCACATCAAACCACTCTGAACGGCTTTGTTTACTTCTTAACAGATTAATTATGTAGACATTTAGAAAGCGTAAGATCAGAGTAATTCTCCTTTAAGTAAGGCAGTTGGGAGTTTCGAGTCCAGTGGTGAGAGGGTGACTGATGTCTTCTGTTCTCGTCAGGCACACTGAGATTAGATCAGCTGTGTATGGGAGTTCCAACTACCAACAGCTATCAACAGCTTTCAGATCTCAGCTTCTAATGTGATCTGCTCTGTCTTAGGCCTTCACTTCAAAAACACTAATGCCGTTCATGATGTGGACAAAACGTCCCAAGCAGAGTAGGAATAAAACTACAATAAACATCAGTTTCAAAGAGGAAACACAACATACTAGGGTGGAGGAGCTGTGTGTAGCTCAAAAAAGGGAGCGAGAGGAAAAGAGAGAGAGATAAAAAGATGCCAGAAGCAATTTTCTCTTCCTGTTTAAGATTGCCTTGTTTCAAGACATCATTCAGGACCGTATAGTGGCTAGAACCCAGAGGGAGATCGATCCACAGAAAGCAGAAAAAGAGAGCAAGAGAAAGTGGTTGAGAGAGAGAGAGAGAGAGAGAGAGAGAGAGAAAGTTGTGGATGACTAAGCATTAGTGGTAGATGATAAGAGGCTTTGTTACCGTGGCCTCGTTGCAGACAGTGCACTTCACCACGTGCTGATGGAGCTTGCCATCCAGGTTTATAAGAGACTGGCACACTCGGCAGTTAATGACTGGCACCCCTCCGGCATCTGGACTGGCAATGGCTGTGTAGGGCGGAGGAAGCTCAGCTATAAGGACAGAAACACACAAACAGAGGGTGGTCATTCCGCAGTGTTGTACACCAGCTCCATCAGCCTCCTCCATCCAAATAAAACCTGAGATAACGGGGAAGAATAACCTAATGTTGGATAAAATGTTACATGGATATTTTATGTGGTTCAAAAAGGTTCTAATGTGCTTTTGGTTAGCTTCTCATGTTCCCATAGCAATGTCATGTGCGAATGTTGACAGGAACTGAACGGATATTTCTCAGGATTCACCTGTAAGACTGTTTTCGCACCAAAAATAACTGATGATTACTGAGTTGTGTGAAATAGTCACAGAATCCACATCTATATTATTATTATTATTATTATTATTATTATCACTCTCTTGGTGGCTGTAAAACATAATTTTGAAGCATGTAAACAACTCACAGTGAGAGGCAGCCAGACTTAAATACAGCCTTCACCCAGTGGGGTTAGTTATAACACAGTATTACAATGAAGCCTTCCAAAGTAAACAATAAGAAAAGTCCATTTTCCCTCATATAAGTTCACAAAAGTTTTTTTTAGTGTACAGATTCATCTGACATGTACTATAGATCATTTAAGTGTAAATATAATATATTTTAGTTTATTGTGATAATATTTGCATTTATACTTTGTGGTCAAAATAAATTTGCAAGTGTTCAGATTTATCAATATGCACAGATTTTTATGTATTAAGGTTGGATAGCTCATCTGTGTCAAACAGCTTGAGCGTATTACATTCATTATATTTGCATCAATTTACCAGACTTTTTTTTACCAAATGTTGCAACTAATTAATTACAATTAATCCCATCTATGGGGTAAACTGTAACATTTGCACTCACCCTACTTTTGAATGAACTGTTTACAAAAAGCAACTGCTGGAAACAGTTTATGTGTTCATAGTAAGCTGAAAGGTGTGTGTTGCTTGTATAAAAAACATCAATCTTGTTTAAATACTTTTAAAATCATTAAGTAAAGAGACTAAACATGTTGTGTCCCACTCTCCCCTTGTACATAAAGTACCCATGAAAAACTCAGAATCATTACTGAAGCTACACTTTAAACATTTACTCAGTGCGATCCTTCAAGTGTTCATGAGCAAATGTATGTTTTTGATTCTGTTGTTTGCAAAGAGTGATAACAATTTGATTTTTTTCCCTCTATCAGGTTACTCAGTATTGGTTCTAGAGTTCTTTCAATGAGATCCTTGACTTTAAAGGGGAAGCAAGGCCAAACCTTATTCTCCAGCTTTATGGTAAATCAACTAGCTGGGTCACCACTTTGTTGTTTAAAATAATGGAGCGTATTGTGTGAGGTATTATTGTAGTAAATAATGAAATGTTATATTATCAAAATCAACACCTAAATCCTGCATTACTGGCTTGGCTAAGCTAATAAGTGAATACTGTGCCAAGTTGTGATGGGAGAAGTTTTTGGACCACAGAAGGTCCTCTCACTGATGTCTAGACACAGGATCATTATACCATTACTAATACCCCTATTGAGGTCAGCTCAGCATGTGAAAAACTCAATATTTAAACTTTAACACAGATGCCAAGTGAGTTTAGTGGGCACGTGCTGTGTGCTAAATATACGTATTAGAAAGTAATTGACTTATTTTCACTGCTGTAATGAAACCGTGCATCTCCAAAAAGCTCATTTTACAACAGAAGGACAAAATGATATCTTTAATGTTATGTTAATGTAAGAACATCTTCCTTGTCTTAGCCAATTTGTTATGAAGTGTTGACACAATATAAATGGCACTTGGTATCCTCAAATGATGCAGGGAAAAATCTTTTGATGACAATAATATGTTAAAACACCTTACAATTTCAGGCCTATTACACCCTAAGGCTTATTATGCAGTAACTACATGGAATACAATTCAAACTGGCTGAGTTATTCTTAAGCTAAATAACTGTGTAATAAAAGGTCCTGGCCATTTAAGTGGCTAACAGTAAACAAAATATTTAGCCATTCAATAGTCTGTCCTCACCAAAACTAATAGATTATTTTATTATCTTATTATGGATTATCTTATTATCGGATGAATATTAAAAGTACAAATGCCTGATAATGTGCACATCTCTGTTGTAAAATGCAGACGTGTGTTCTCTGTAGAGATTGTGTTTATTGGTCAATACAACAATATTTAATTGCATTGTGATAAACTGCATCACAACATACTTTTCTGAGCATATTAAACACACGTGATGCATATAGTGTAATGTGAAAATGTATCTTTTTTAAATCCAATTATATTGTGAGGAAGAGCTCTCGTAAATGTTTTTCTTATGGACACAGGAATACAGTTCAAGAAAAGGACGACAGTATTTCGTCTATGTGAAGCAGCTATGGTAATGAGGAAGGATGTGGATCCTGCAGCTGAAATGTCTGACTCCCTGCCTCATGACCTCTTTCAGGCACAGAGGCCTTTCTCCTGATGTAACTATCAGTCAGAAGGCATTTATCTCTTTATGGATTTCTAAACCACTGGACAAACTTGGGAAAAACCTGTTAATTATATACCATTTAAATCATTACTGCACTGGTGGCCTCATGAAAAAGTGAAATGAATTCATTTTGATTAACAGTCCCCCACTGCATCAAAAGCATGCATAAAGGCTTTAGTGATTACAAAGCTTAGTACTGTACACTCTTAGCAAAGGGTTCTACATAGCACCAAAAAAAACAGTTAGTGGAACCCTTAGTGGTGCTACAAAGAACTCTTTTCAGGAAGTTTCTAAATAGAACCATCTACAGCACATTCTTCATTTATCTGAAGAACGCTTTCACGATACAAAGAACACTTAAGTCATGCAAAGCGTTCTTTGAGTGTTCCTGGTTCTATGTAGAACCATTTCCTTTACTAAAGAACCATCTTTTTTAAGAGTGTAGAACAGATTTCATAATCTAACATGGAAGTGTTGGAGTGCTCTGTTAATGGCATCTCTGGCTATTTGCAGTTGAAAACATGGCTCTTCATTCAAATTAACATTCATAAATAGTTCTTGGCTTGAATGCATAGTTCAAGGAAATCTTTGATTGGTACAGAACCTTTATATTATGTGGGTTCTTTCAGCTTTGGAAAAGTTCTTTGCTCTTGAACATCAGATTTACAAAAATGGTTCTTTAAGAAACCATCCATTGAAAGGTTCTTCATGCAAGAAATGAATTGAAAATTCAGACATTTTCGTTTTATATCTTAATTTTTAAGATTGTTGTTATAAATCTTGAAAACAATTATTTACTGGATGTGCACTGTGAATCTCAAATGTTCCAATCATGCATTCCTGTGAGTGATCATGTTGTGAATCACAGTATGAGTCAAAAGAGTATCGATTAATATTTTTGACCTCATCATGCAGCTCTATGCACAGGCCTGAAAATAACTTTTGATCATAAACTTGCCTGATTTATCGTTCCCTGCACTGAAGCAAACATAAGCATTAAAAATCAAAAAGACTCAAGATAGATCAAGTACACTGAGAGGAAAGTAATTACCCAGTACAGCATCATTGTAATACTGGCATTTAGTTTTATCCAATAGCTTGTGATGAGGCATGCATGTGATTGCCCCCTAATACTGGCTCAGTATAGTGTGAATGTCATTTGAATCCACAGACTTGCAGCTTCTACAACCATTAGTAGTTTAACAGTGCACCATAAGAAAGCTCAGCTGGCACCCTGAAGAGAATTCTGTACTCCCTGCCTTTCTCTTCTTCTTTTTCTAAAAATCACTCACGACTTTGCTGGCTCACTTGTTTCTTACAGACTGATTTATAGCCTTAAACATACCTCATGTTTAGCTTGGTGGTTTCCACATACACTGAACAACACAGAGAAACACCCACTATGAACAGGTCACTGTTTCTAATACTCAACGCTGGCTATGATTCTGCATGGGCAATCTAATCATGATTTAGCAGGATCTCTTAGTATGACAAAGCACAGATAGATGGTTTCATACTAGTTTAATCCTAACTAATGGTTTTTTTATTCTTTTATTATTTTCCAACACTAAGACATGTAATATTATGCTGTGCATTTAAACTGTGAAGCTGGGAATTCCTCACTGATGTCTACGCAATAGAACTGCAGACTTGCATATCTTTTATGTCTTACATACCAATATAGCATCTGCCTCTCCTGGCAAGTTGGGGTTTAGTTTCTCTGACACTACACTGAATTGCATGTAAAATGAGAGGCCTATTCCCAACACAGAGCATTGAAGCCTGGAGCCAGCTGCTGCCCAGTCTCAAACCTGGCCGTGGCAGAACCCGTCACACAATAAACAGACTGAGAGATGTTGACTTGAATGTGTGTGAGAATTTAGCTGTAGGTCACCCAGTCACCCTAAAGTATGTAGGTGAGCACACTGCACACCCTGCTCTGAATAGCACTCTATCCACATACTACGCTTACGGGGATGCCCTAGTTTCTACTGCAATTCATGGTACATTTGTTGTTAATTGCTCATAGTAAAAAGTGTGTCCTTGGCATGTATATGTAAATGATAACTGACGCAGTCTTTGTGAGGTTGCCGGTACATAGTGCATGGCCTATACTATACATGAGAGAGCAGAGAGCAGCTTATCTACTAGGCCTCAGGGGGTTCCTGAAAACTAATCCAGAGCTTAATAACAGATACGGAAAACAACGTCAACATGCTGTAGGAGGCGATAAGTGAGTCTTGTTTTATTATATTTTTGAATGTTCAGGTCTCAAATGTTCCTGATTATTTCTGGTCCCTCCGCATGTCATTTTGGCCCTTTTCTAAAAAGCTTCTGGAACTGGTGGTAGAATACCACCGTTGAAAATGGATGCACATTGATATCGGAACCACATCAGCATCGGCAGACATTTGCTTACAAAAACACATCAGACAAATGGGATTTCTCAAAACTGAAGTCATTGAGACGCAAACAAAGTCATTCAGAGTGGTAAAATGGTGCCTAGTAGAGAAACGTATTTACAATTGTAATGATAGGAACCAAAGTTTGTGATGCCTTATAATCAGCGAACCTACATGTGACCTCTGAGGTTTTATATGTAAAGATAATGGTAAAATTCTTCAAAAAGGGCAAATCTTTTTTTATTTATTTACTTTTTCCCCCCAAGACCCCACCCCATCATTTTGTGTTATTAGTATGCAAAGAATGTTGTTTGTGTTTTTACTATTGAAATTAATAAAAAGTTATTTTTAAAAAAGGGCAATTTTTATCCCAAAACTTTCGAAAACCATGTCAGGCAGTCTATTTGTAACCACTTCATTTTTGCTCTTCTGGTTCCTAACACCACTGCTGTGAACAATTCTGACTCAGCTAGTTTCTCTAAAATGGCACGTTTCACATTAAACAACTCTGAAGCCTCCTTTAAGAGAGGACAGCTAGACTGCATACTTATCACTGCAGTATCCGTTGAGTCTGCATCATGGTCTGGACCCACATATGCATATAAGTAACTGAACTGATCTTGTATCAGCTGCCCTGTCCAGATATCTGTGTTCACTGGGAACACAACCATCTCACATCAACACAGTGGACTACACTGTTCTACACTGATCAGAATCCAACTCGGCAGATCTCTCCTCAGCAGCTAATCCCTTTTATATGCCCAATGAGAACGAAAGTTTGTGGTCAAAAAGAAACAGAATTAGCTCTAATCCTGGTGTTAGAAAATACCAGGGCAGGAGATAAAGCTCCAGCATACTGTTCAAAGGTAATGTTTCTCAACCTCCATTTCCTTGTCTTTGATGAGCTGTCAATACGTTCTTTGCAAATAAGAGGGGTCTTGTGAGACGTCTTGTCAGTTTAGCGTTTTAGAAAAGTATGATTAATTACCATGTAAATAAATCTGATTAAGAATATAACTGTCTTTTTTTGTCCATTGTATGCAACTTTTACAACTACACGCCTAAAGCGGCTGAATTGACTGGCTGTCTTGCCTCCCTTCTGTTCATACTTCATAACTCCCAGCTGAGAACACAGTTTGAGGTTAAATAGACAAAGATTGCTTACTACTGCCTTCTAAATGTGTTATGGCACCAGTCAGAATTTCAAACTTTAGTAGTTTTTTCTGATTTCTTCAATTTTCACGAATTGCTCAAATGACTGTGATCAGGCGATTATGTAATAATTGTGACAGGTCTACTAAATAACCTGCTTTTTGTCCCAGTATCAGTATGGGCTTCGGCTCATGTCTGCAGGAAAAATATCAGATCTTGGCATCGGCCCACAATTCCCATATCAGTGCATCCCTAGCCATGAGAATTATGGAGTCAGGCAGTGCTAACTGCTGCGTGCCACTAGATCTACATCTCAGTCTCCATCAAGATTCCTTTTTAACGTGTATTTTACTGATAATAACAAACCCAGATGGACTCACGGGTGGAAATGCACACAGGTTGCCTATGAAATCTGACAGCTTCCACTCACTGTGTAATGAACCCACCTAGAAAGAAATCTAACGGCCATGGTCTTATGATGCAACTCCGTTAGTTCCTCTGCTTACTAATGTTTGGCACTCAAAAAACAATAAGGCGAATGAAGGCCGTTCACCCAGCTGACAAAGGCAATTTAATTCACCAAACGGAAAAACAATGGGAATGACCACCAAGGAGAGGCTCTCTCTCCCTCCTTACAGGTCACCAAATCGGTGTCAGACTACAGTCAGTAGCTCAGTCTTCTTGATGATTCAGGCCGTATGGCGTTCAATACTGATTAGAAACCTCCTTTGCTAAGCTCTGGTCATCTCTAGTCAGATACTCGCCGCAGGCCGGGCAGCAGCGATAGCCTCTGCTGCACCAGCACCACCAGTCTACAAAAATCTGCAGCACTGATGTTTATTTCAGGCCTTGCTCCTCATATTTACACTTTCCCTGCTTTGCCTCACCCACCCCCCGAGCTCCCCGGATCTAGCTATCTCGGGCCTCGGGCCGATCTCACCGCGCTGCACGGCGGATGGAGCGCAGTGTGGACGGGTCTCCGGTCCGCACTACGCCCCGAAAATGATTCAGCAGCTCCGCGTCCGCGGCTCCTACCTCTCGGGCTGCTGCCCTCCTGCAGGTACGGCGGCGCTGTGGGCGTGACATTGCCCGAGTTCTGTGCTGGCAGCAGTGGGGATCGCTCGTCCGTACCATCGGAGGCCATTATTAGCAGCGGTTACAACGGAGAGGAACAAAAAAACAACAGCCAACACACATACACAGACGCTCGGCTCCACTGCTGTGGAAATGGGGGGCAGCGGAGAACCAGCGCCGCTCCAGCAGCACCAGGAGGAGGCGGGGCCAGTGACGTAAGCGAGGTCCAACCGAGGGGTGGGAAAACATGAAGCCCCCTGCTGGCCCTTACCAGCAAAACAAACGCCCCTTTTATTGCTTCATCTAGCTAGGACTGGCTAGCAGGATTGACCCAGTGTCCTCCTTAGACACAATTCCTGACCAGCTCAGCAACAAAAGCGGTTCTTACTCATAAGCTTCATAACTGTATCTGCACACTTACAGTTTTCATTGGCATATTTAATTGACATGAGAGCAAATGTTGGGGTGAAGAAAACGAGCCTTTTCAGATATTTTGCATACTATACTGTGATCAGATCACCCAGATAATACAGCTTTTCACTGATTATATCATAGTGTTAAAGCCCATTGTGTGCTGCATCCCACTATGAACATACCCCCACAGGACCACTACAGAGCAGGTACTATTTGGTTGGTGGATCATTCTCAGCACTGCAGTGACACTGACATGGCAGTGGTGTGTAAGTGTGTTGTGCTGGTACAAGTGGATCAGACACAGCAGTGCTGCTGGAGGTTTTAAACACCTCAGTGTCACTGCTGGACTGAGAATAGTCCACCAACCAAAAATATCCAGCCAGCAGTGTCCTGTGGGCAGCGTCCCGTGACCACTGATGAAGGACTACAGGATGACTAATACAAACTGTGCAGCAGCAGATGAGCTATCGTCTCTGACTTTACATCTACAAGGTGGACTGACAAGGTAGGAATGTCTAATAGAGTGGACAGTGAGTGGACACAGTGTTTAAAAACTCCAGCAGCACTGCTGTGTCTGATCCACTTGTACCAGCGCAACACACACTAACACATCATTAGAGGTCTTTACAATATCTTTTGGGGGACTAATTTTCAGTGTTGTGCGTGGGAGCGGGCAGGTAACCAGCCCACTGCAACGGTGTATTAGTTATTATAGTAAAACTATTACAATTAATGAAGTCATTCTAAAGAGTTGCAAAGCAACTGATCACATGAACAGCATGCAAATTCTAATCTTACAGAGCCTTCAGTCCAGTGGCCACAGCTGCCAATCCCAGCAAACTTGTATGTTCGCGTATGGTGAAGTTACTTCACAGTGAGTCTGATGACCATGACTGCCATGTCATTTCAGCAGAGAATAATGTATCTGACTATGTCAGATATCGAATGTCGGTGTGCGGGCGGGAACAGGCCAAAATGTTTCGGTTGTGGGTAGGAGCGGGACAAATGATTCCGATTTTTTTCAGAAGCAGGATGAAATCTTGCGCCCCGCCCAGACCTCTAGACGCCACCACCACATCAGTGTCACTGCAGTGCTGAGAATGATCCACCATCCAAATAATACCTGCTCTGAGCTGGTTCTGTGGGGGCCCTAACATTGAAGAACAGGGTAAAAGGGGGCTAACAAAGTATGCGGAGAAACACACCATGGTCTGTTTTTGTTCTGTGATTGTAGAACAACAAAGTGCACCTATATGGTAAATGGAGCCGATTAAATGGGTGCTGAAACAAAGAGATGCTTTTAATGTTTTGGCTGATCAGTGTATACAGTTTGTGACCTTACAATATTTTAATGTTGTTATTATGAGGTCTTTGAGACATTCCCCTTGTATCCCTTTGTATCGCCTGTTTTAGACATCAGTGGATGTTCAAAAAAGGGAATATCTGAATGTCTGGCCTGGTCTACATTAAAGACAGTGGCTGTGGCCAAAACCACATGGTAACGCATGATAGTATGTCAAAGTTGTACACCACAAATAGCAATGCATTCATTAGTACAGCATGCATAGTGTACTGTAAATGCACAGTCAAAGGCACCGTATTGAGGGGTTAGGAAGTTTCTAAGGGCCTGTGACTGACAGGGGCCCTAAAAAACATTAAAACATTAATATTTTTTTCAATATTAAATTATTAACCTATGATCATTAATACAACATTTTAGTTTCAATGTACTTGTCATTTTCTTTTCATGTTTTTGGCAAATGTAAACATTCAGACCGCCAGAGTCCTTAAAGCTGCTAAAGAAACAAACTCACGCTACTCAAACTCAGACTCCCTTGGTGAAAAACATGAAGTCGAAGAGACGACTCCAAGCATTGTGACTCTTAGAGTGCCTTGACAAGACTCGGCCATGACTCCCACACCTGTTGGAGTTGAAGAAACGATTATTTGGAATCGACTTCCCATCACCACTTGCTAGCAGTGAAGTCTGAGTGAAGATGAGTCTCAACCTCGTAATGAAAAATCTGGCTTCCAAAAACAAAAAGGCAGACAGGAGAGAGAACAGTAAGGGCAAAAGTATGTCACTTACTTTTTCACATGAAATGAATTAAAGTGGGTGTAGTCTGTGAATGGTGGAAATTAACCTGTTAGCTTATTCTATCGTGAAATAGGCTACTTCTGTTCTCTTTTGAAGAGTGTTTACATTTGTTTCCTCTTTTAGCCGACATATAATCAAAGGAAGCAAACTTTTAGCAAGAAAAAACTCATTTTTCCCTCCTGCTGCCTGATGCCAGGTCTGACAGATGCAGCTTCAGGCTCAGCAGCCCTCTCTCCCCTTACCCATACCCCTACCAATGAACCAGCCCTGTTTCCCCATCCCCATACCCCTACCAATGAACCAGCCCTGTTTCCCCATCCCCATACCCCTACCAATGGACCAGCCTTGTTTCCCCATCCCCCTACTAATGAACCAGCCCTGTTTCCTCACACCCCTACCAATGAACCAGCCCGGTCTCCCCATCTCCATACCCCTACCAATGAACCAGCCCTATCTCCCCATCCCCATATCCCTACCGAAGAACCAGCCCTGTCTCCTCATCCACCTACCAATGAACCAGCCTTGTCTCCCCATGTCCATACCCCTGCTAATGAACCAGCCCTGTCTTCCAGAACGTGACTGCTGCACTATTTAAGGTGGAACGGGAAAAGTCGAACAAAAAGCTGGCGAATGTCCTGAGAAAATGTTCTCAGAAATGTTACCAGCATTAAAATAGTAATTAGGATATTCTGAGAGCCTAAATCAGTTTATCAGGGGGTCAGCAGTGATATTAAGCTGAGTCTGTTCGATCAGAAAAATGTTAACAGGACAAAACGTATTGGGTTCTGGACATTTTTATTCAACACAGGGGGCGACAGAAGCGGTTTTTCGAAAACTGTATTCATTCTGGCCATAGAGAAATGAAGCTTAGACCCGGAGTTCCCTAATATGGGCATAACGAGGACTACAAAATGACGCACGACTACAGTGGTCTATTCGCCAGCTTCTTTTTCGAACTTTCCCGTTCCACCTTAAATGGTGCAACAGTTACACTGTGGCGCCTCAGGCCGTTTAAGGTGGAACGGGAAAATTCTAATAAGAATCTGAACGGCTGAATTGAGTTTACGCCTTTAAAAAAGCACTTTGTGAGAACACAAACAAACAAAATATTAACTTCTATTCATATTCATTATTGTGTTTTACTTGAGCTAAAAGGTAGCATTTAGTAACTAATTGGTAGCATTTAGTAACCAATTGGTAGCATTTAGTAACTGCCAGGAAGTGTAAGCAATTTAAACCCTGGTGTTTTTTAAATATACAAACACCTGATTGTGCTTTATGTGACTGTAGGTTATCTTTGCATATTTATAGTATCTGTTTTTGTTAACTCTTTTAGTGGCAGTGGACGGACATTCTGCAGAGATAATAACAAAATAATGGAGCCGAAGCACCACCAGGGAGGTACAGGCATACAGTCTTGTAAGTGATGCCTTGAACTTGATTTAAAGGGAATTAAATAAAAATTTGCATTTGAATTATCAAATTATCAAATGAGCCTAGTTGAATGACTTGCAGGCCAGGGGTCTCATTTATCAAACACTCATGCGCACCTTTTACGCATAGAATGATTTATCATTTCGTTTTATGAGCTTGAGAATGCGCAGATGTGGAAGACTACTCCCAACCATGTGCATGCAGAAACCCCTAGTGGTAGAAAAACGGAATCGCGGGGAAACGCACATGTTATCAGCCATTTCAGCATAATTGACAGAATGACTGGCCACTGTTGTGCTCATATACTGTAAAAAAGTGTTTCGTCAGTTCAACCTAAAAACATGATTTAATGTTGTACTAGGCTGTCAAGTAAATACTTTGACTGAAACAAATCAAAGTAAAATTGTACTTCAGATGAACAGATGTTTTTATTTAGGTGTTTTTCTTAATTTACATAATTTATGTCTTGTTTTACTTATTTTGCTTGATTTAATTGCTGTATTGGTATAGACATTTTATGCGTATGTTCTTATTTCTATTTACTGTATTACTGTAATATATTTTGTATATGTCTTACAGGACACCACTGTAAATGAGACCTTGGTCTTAGTAGGCTAACTTGCCCCTGAATAAATAAATAAATAAATAAATAAATAAGTAAGTAAGTAATTAAGTAAATAAGTAAGTAAGTAAGTAAGTAAATAAATAAATAAGTAAATAAATAAATAGACTGATAGGAAGATAGACTTTTGTCAATCCAGTTCTCAAAAAAAATTTGATTTACTTCTGCTGCGTTGCATTTTTTACAGTGTATTGATGAGGTGTAAATAGGTGACAGTTGATGTAGGCTCATAGTGAAGGTACAGACTGATTGTGATGACGTAGACAGAAATGTCGTGCTGTCATGGTGTGAATGAAATTTGGTTGTCAGTTTGCTGAATATTGACCCTCATTTAGAAAAGACATTCATATATGGCTAAATGACGTAGGCTCATAGTGAAGGTACAGACTGATTGTGATGACGCAGACATCACAATTTAGAAAAGACATTCATATATGGCTAAATACACTAAAGTGTTACTGAAAAAAAATGTGACGGTTCACATTTTTTTTCAGTAACACTTTAGTGTATTTAGCCATATATGAATGTCTTTTCTAAATTGTGATGTCTGCGTCATCACAATCAGTCTGTACCTTCACTATGAGCCTACGTCAGCTGTCATCTATTTACACCTCATCAATACACTGTAAAAAATGGAACACGGCAGAAGTAAATCAGATTTTTTTGAGAATTGGATTGACAAAAGTCTATCTATCTACCTATCAGTGTGAATATATGTAGACTTTCAATAGACTGAAAAGACATGCATTAATTATAGGTGTAGATATTTTATTGTAGCCAAGTTGAGTCGTTTTTTAAACATCAGGCATCTTTTCTTTTTGTGTAACCCCTGAACAGTAGATTGTTGTGGGGCAAAGGGGTCAGAACGCACTCTGTTGCAGTGCATGCTGGGGACTGTAGTGCATCTCAGGGTGAAATGGGCTAGTAAGGATAGAAAATTTTGCAGGCCGAATAGGACTGAGTCACGGGCCTGACTTGGCCCCCGAGCCTTGTGTTCGACAAATGGGCACCAAGGGATGCTAGCCATGTTTCTGCACTTACACCGACTACTGCGATTCAGAATTTGACCATTCTTTGCAGCAACACCGTGAAAGCTGTAGCATGGCCCGGCCATTTCTTGCTTAGCCTCAAGCAGGAGACCCCCTTTGTGATGATTAATCAATAATAGACAAGGGTCAGAGACAAACATCTCAAAACAAACAGATAATACTGTTTGAAAAGTAATTCAGTCACAAGTCACTCTGATAATGGACTGAAAGCTTAAGGTGCACCGAGTGAGACAATGTAAAAACCAGAACAGCTTTCTCATCAAAAAGTCTATGTTTATTCAGTTTTTGTGGGCTCCAAGTCTTTGAAATCTTTTGATGCATTTACAGAAGTTAGAACTGTGCAGGTTTACAAATTGACTGTTTTGCATGATCAAAAAAGAGAAACTGTTAGAAACTGTTCTGCACACCTAGACTGATTTTTTTAAATATTTGCAGAAAACTGCTCTCTTAGCCTAATGCAGTGTAGGAAGAACTGAACTCAAATTTCATCTGTTGAGGAATATCAATGCTCTACAATGTGATTACATAGCACCCCCTGCTGGGCTGTGTCATTATTAGCACAGTAAAATGTAAACACCAATACTAATCTGAAAAATGTAAACTCTAGCTTTGCCTCCGCTACCACTGAGTGGAACAAAAAGCAGTGTAAATAATAAATAAGAAGCAATCTTGATGGATTTCTTGAGCAAACAGTGGAAGGTTATTTAAGGAACTCTTGAAACAATGTACATGTATATAGATGAAACAGAATTAATTTTAAATGAAGCATTGTCCAAGCAAAATAAAATATTCTCTTGTATTGTGTCCATTTAGGCTGGTTTCCTCTCAGTAAGCACAGTGGCACTTATTATAATGCTGTTTAACTGCTGTGGACTGTGCTGCAGAATAACTGCTTCAGAATGTTTGCTTAATGTAACATAAGATAAGAAGTGGTGACTCGGCTCAGTGTGAAGCATCAGTGGAAACAAAGACCATATTATTCTTATTCATAGTTGTATTTACAATCCCTTTCCATTACAATTCAACAACCGAACGGAGTTCCCCTTCATCGATGCAGTACTAAAACCAACAACAAAACATATATGTATAATATCCATTTATATGCAATAATATGAATGGACAGTCCCATAAATGTGCTTCCAAAAAGTCAGTCGGTCATATTTATGTGTACCGTTCAATAAAAATTTATTTAGGAAACGTGTAATGTTCAAATCAGCAGACATTTTGAGTGACAGTTTTGAGTGTAATATGCACAGGGGATGTTAAAGTTATCATGTGCGTAATAGTGTATTCTGGCATTGTACCAAGTCAGGAGACCACATGTAAGCCCTCCTTATCAGAGAGAACCAGACAGATGTGAAGAACACACTTTACCACTCACAGCCAATCAGAGGGGTGGTAATCCAGAACTCTCCAATGTTTTGGGCACCAGCCTAGGTGGACACCAAGGGTGTGGCAAAACAAGATAAGCTGTTTATGAAAAATTAGTGTCACTTGCTTGGTTACCACCATGGCTAAACCACCAGACCACTGCAGTTTAAAGAATTAAATCAGTCCCCTGATAACACCTAGAAGGTAGGCCTGGTAAGTTCTTTGTATATTTTCTTTGTATATTTTTAACAACATATAAAGTCTGTATTTTCATTTTAAAATAAGTTCCTTATTTTTGCAAACCAAAGTAGTTCAGACAAATACAATTGTTTCAGTTCACATATTTGTATGTCCATTTGCACAATGTTAAAACCATGCACAAGTTCATATATCATGCCTTTAACCTGTGAACATCCATAACTGAACATTCTCTGAGCTTGCCTGTGCATGAAAATTTTTTTAATGAAATGAACTATATGGTTATAGTTTTTAATTTAACTCATCATATTCAGGATTTATTAAAGAATACCCAAACAAATTTGATAAAGTATGAGAATGTGCAAATTAAAAAATTCTGAGTGCTGTTCAATGTCCATACAAGATAAAGCAATACACCATTTCATCAGTATTAGACCAATCAGAAGTTGTTGGACATGAATGGGTTAAATGTACTCTTTTTTTCTTAACTTGCATCACTTTAGATTGTTTATGTTTAATTAAGATAGTCTGGAATAATAAAAAAAATAATAAAAAATTCACTTGACTAAAATTTGTCACCATAGTTATTGCATCTTATGCAGTCTACCAGTGAAAAGTCCTCCTTCAGGCTATCTAGCAAAAAAACTACAGAAGTATTATAAGTAAACATTCAAATTGTGACTGCAGACCTCTTCAGACCTGTGTTTTCCCTACTGTGTTCTTTATTTCAAAGATGTCAGCTTGAAGTCACATATATGGCAATAATACTTCCCTTTGTGGAATACCTGATTTAGCCTTACAGGGCCATCAGATCAACCAGGTGCCTTGCAGCCATGGCAAAATCCAGGGACTATGGTAAAGTCTGATACTACAGTTTGTACTATATGAAAATACACTTGACAATGTTAATGTTCAGCTTTCTTTAATATTTACTCTACCCATGTTTGTTAGCAGTTCTCTCACTTTAAAGATATTGTAATATTACGGAAAATTTACACAAAACAAAAACATTCTAATGTGACATATTTGTTCTATCTGAATGTTTATGTCCATTAGTTGGAGACTTCCTTGCAGAATTCAAGGAGCAGATCATTGTACGAGCAACACGGGTCAGTGACATCACAGAGGCTGTTGTGTCCGAAAACCTGATCAATGACAGGGCAGCCGGTCGTGTTCAAGCTGCTCACACTGAGCAGGAGGCAATGAGGCTTCTGTTTGAGGCCCTGGAAAGAGAACCTCCTCAACACAGAGTGTCCTTTCATCTGATACTGAGAATGACAGAGCCAGAACTTATTCAAGAGCTAGGTGAGTCTTCCTTAAGGTTAAAAATGACGCCATTATAACAAGTTAGTCAAATGCTTTAAACACAGTTTGTTTAATTACTTTGCAGATAAACTAGTAAGTAAACTAGTAACTAGTAGTATAGCTGTCTGATATCTATATAACTATACATGGTTTAATATCCATGGCTCCAAGGGAATCATAATTTTGCCTTCACTCATGTCCTCTATTCTGTTATCCAACACTTGATTATTGATGTATCCATAAAACAAGTAAAACAGTTTATCCAGCCTAATTTTGTGATCATAATGCAAATTGACAAATAAAGCACAAGATCACAGTGTTGGTGGATGTTGGAGTGGCATTCTTGGTATGTTCGTGACTATAGGCGCAGATGGTAATCTGGTGAACAGTAAAGCACTTATAAAAACATGGTTAGTCATGCTGAAGCGATATCCAATCAAATCTCATTGCCTTTAAAAATGGAATGTGTGCCACTTGTGTGCTTGTGAGTTGTTCTGTTTGTGGGTATTCAAGGACAGATCATGTAAATCGGGTAATTCCTTGTGTGTATGATAATGGTAAATTTGGTGAATGTGTAATTTAATTTGTTCTTTTTTAAACATTCTTTTGATTCTATTATATGATGTTCCTGGTGCACTGACACGTCAACTATCCAACCTATGCTTAAAAGCTATAACTGAGTTGTTTGTTCTTATTTGTTACTGATAAAATAAATCAGCTAAATATATTAGACAAAACAGCCACAAATCCAGGTTGTAGGAAATGGGACAGGCCTTTGCTTAAATCAGGAAAATACCATTTTAGACCTTAGAAATATTGCTATGATTAGGCCATTTCTTTCCCAGAGTGATGAAAAAGTCCATGCATTTCTAACAATTTACACAAAATGCTGCAAGAACAAAATAGAAACAAAAAGTGAAACAAAAACAAAAAGTGCACATCACAGTGACTTTGAAAGAATTGCACTGATTGTGGGTATATTTTAGGATAGCTTTTAAAGTTATTTTACTTGTTTTTAAAGCTTTAAACTGGCACCTGTGTTCCTCACTGGATGTCTGTCTGTTTAGTTCCCACACATGATCCTAGATCTGCAGTTCTGGCTTTCTCCAAATACCATTTGTAAATTACTGAAAAAGTGGAAAGACCTCTTTGTTATTATGCTTCTGAACTGTGGAACTGTGTTACTTTTAACAATGAAGTCAAGCTCACTTTTAAGCATTTTTAGCCGCTACAAGAAAATACTCTAAAAAGTTTATTATTACTGTGTCTGTGTGGGCCACAACAGTACCAAAAGAGCGGGTCCAAGCCCCAAAAAGGCAAGCCATGGGCGCAGATTGGGAAAAACTTCCAAAAGGGAAGACATTTCAGAGGAACGAAGAGTACTCAAAAGGGGAACCCATCCTCCTCTCGTCAACACTGGATAGTCAAGTCAAAGTTCATTTAAGTAGCGCCTTTTGCAACTGGTGTTGTCACAAAGCAGCTTTAACAGAAAAAATCTGGGTCTGAGCCCCCATGAGCGTCAAGAGAAAAAGAGAAAAAGAGAAAAGAGAAAAAGCAGGAGAAGCAAAGTCTGTGATAAAAAATGCAGCAGTGTCATCAGGACGGTCAGTAATGCACAGGTGAGGTTTGCACAGCGTTGTACAGCAGGAAGCTCTATGGTGGTCAAACTGGTCCAGAAGGCTAGCGAGCAGGGGGCACCCGATCAATTCAGATGAAGCAACAGCATCAGACCACACAGGATGGGCATTTATTCAGCTTGACAAAGAAACACTCAGTTTCAGGCAGTTAGTTCTGTTAAGAGAGACTTATTACAGCATACAGTGTTAACAGAGTGCAGCAGGGACTCCGGCAGGCCTGTCTATTACAGCCTGACTAAAAAGGAGAACAGACATGAGAGCTCCCTGAGATGTCAGTGCCCCTCCAACTCCACTGTCAGTAAACTTGAGCAAACACGTGAGAGCAGCGGGACGACAGTACCAACACTCCCAGTTTACCATAATACTTTATGTCCATGAACCCCCAGATCTACACCCTTTATCTAATCGGTCTGTCTGAGTTCTGAACACTGACTGGAAGATTATTCCAAAGCTGGGGGGGCTTTGTATGAAAAGGCTCTACCCCCTGATGTAGCTTTATTAATTCTAGGTACTAGTAGTAAGCCAACACCCTGTGATCCAAGTATGCGCGATGGTTCATAATAAGAGGTAAGTTCACTCAGGTACTGAGGGGCGAGGCCGTTTAGAGCTTTATATGTCAGTTAAAGAATTTTGTGAGGGTGGTCACTCACACCTCATTGCCATCCCATTGATTGAAAACACCTGACTCCTTCAAATTTTCTGCTAATCCTAAAGGTTCACATACATTTGCCACTCACAGATGTGTAATATTGGATCATTTTCCTCAAAAAATAAATGACCAAGTCTAATATTTTTGTCTCATTTGTCATATGTTTCATTTGGTTCTCTTTATCTACTATTAGGACTTGTGTGAAAATCTGTTTTAATATAGAAATATAGAAAATTCTAAAGGGTTCACAAACTTTCAAGCACCTCTGTATGCCATGGCCAGATATCATGCATACCCTATGCATGTGGTTAGGAATCACAGGTTCTAATTGATTCCAACTTCTTCAACAGAATGGCGACAACGGAACAGCAAGCATACTCAGACAGAAGTGGTTCAGTTTTCTGGAGAGAAGAAAAGGGAGGATGATAAGAGTAGACAGAAGGCTGAAACACAGCTTAAGAAAGACTCACTGAAGAGAAGAAGAATGGAGACAAGGCGAGCCATAGAACAGATTGAGAAACTTTGGGAAGGAACAAAACGAGAGAGAAATGAGATTGACAGTATGAGGGAAAGAATCCAGAGACAGCAAGATGAGATTGCCAGGATGACAGTAGAGAGAAGACAGCTGGAAGGAATGTTAGCACAAATGAGGATACAACTGGAACATGTCAATGAAAAGATGCAACAAAACAGGGAGGAGATAAACCGAGAAAAAGACAGGATTGAGCAAATGAGAACTGACCTGCTAGCAGAGAGGAATTCCTTGGAACAAAAACGTGATGAAATTGTCAGAGAGAAACAAAACATAGAAATAATGAAGTATGAGACATTGAGAGCAAAAGAGGAGATGGAGAGTAATCGTGAAGCTACACAGTATGAAATGGAAAGAATGGAGCAAATGAAGACTGTGATACAAAGGCAAATACAGGACATAGAAAAAAAAGTTGAGGAGACCAAACAAGCTAAAGACAAGATGGATCAGCTGAAAGCTGAGCTTGAGGAAGAGAGAAATGATCTAGACAGGAAAAGGGACGATATTAAAAGACAAAGAGAGCAATTTGAACAAATAAAACATGAGATACATAGAGTGAAAGAGGAGATGGAGCAAAGATGGCATGAGACAGAGAAAGAGGATTTGGAACGGAGATCTATAATCCAAAGAGAGAAAGAGGAGCTGACAAATGTGCAAGCTGAAGTTCAGAAAGCAAAAGAAGAGATTGAGAAGAACAAGGAGGAGTCAAAGCGTGAGAAGGACAAAATAAACCAAATGAGAGCAGAAATGCTTAAAGAGAAAAACCTCTTAGAGAAAAGATATCAAGAGACTGTGAGAAAAGAAAAGGAGTTGGAGCAGATTATTCACAAGATTAAAACTGAAAGAGAGGAGTTGGCACTAAATGTAGAGTTGGTAAAACAAGAGTGGAAAAAGGTGGAGCAGGCCAAGGCAGAGTTCCAGTCTCAAATGACATCCATTGAGACCAAGATTGAGGAGATAAAGCGAGCAAATGAAAAACTGGACCGGATGAAACTGGTCATTCATAATGAAAAGGAGGTTCTGGAAAAGCAGAGGGATGATGCACGGAAGGCTAAAGAGGAGATGGAGAAAAGGAGGTATGAGATAATGACAGAAGAGCTGGAGCAAAGAGCTCAGTTGCAGAAAAACAGAGACGAACTGGAGGCGATCAAAAAAGAAATACAGAGAGCTAATGATCTGGAAAGAGCAAGAGTGGAGAGAATGAAAGAGGAGATCATTCGGACAAAGGAGGAGGCTCAACAAGACAGAGAGGCAACTGAACAAATGAAAGCTGAGATAGAGATTGAAAGGGACAACCTTAGAAGAAGACAAGATGAAATACTGAGGGAGAGGCAAGAGCTAGAGAGAATTAGGCATGAGACAGTCAGAGCCAGAGAGGAGATGGAGAAATGCAAGGAAATCACAATAAGGGAAAATGAAAAAATGGAAAAAATGAAGGCTGACATTCAGTCCCAAATAGAGGATATAGAAAAACAGGTTAGAGAGACAACTGAAGCAAAAGAAAACATGGATCAGATGAAAGTGAAATTGGAGGAAGAGAGAGATGAGTTGGAAAGGAAGAGGGACAGTGTCAAAAGAGAAATGGAGCAATGTGAGCTTATTAAATTTGAGATCATTCGAGTGAAAGAGGAAATGGAGAGTAGATGGCGTGAGACTGAGAGAGAAGAACTAGAGATGAGAGAAAAAACACAGCAAGAGAGGGAGAGACTTGAACAACTGAGGGATGAGCTCCAGACAGTCAAAGAGGATACAGAAAAGAGCAAGAAAGAGATATGGAAAGAAAGGGAAAGTCTTGAAATGCTGAAAAGACAAACCGCAGAGGACAGAGATGCTGCAGTCAAAAAGATGGATGAGGTCAAAACAAAATTTGAGGAGTTATCACATGTTAAAAATGAGATAGAAAAAGAGAAAGAAGAGATCAAAAGAGATTGGGAAGTAAGTAATCAAAAGCTGAATGAAATTACACAAATGAGAGATGAGCTACAAAGACAAATGGCAGAAACTGAAAATAAGACTGCTGCAGCCAAGTTAGCCAAAGATGAGGCAGATCAAGCCAAGCTTGCAGCACAGGAAGCGGAGCTGATCTTGAAAAAGCAAAAGGAAGAGATGGAAAAGAGAAGGTATGAGACGGTGAAAGAGGAGCTGGAGCAAAGAGCTGAGATACAAAGAAAGAAGGAGGAACTGGAGCATTTGAATAATGAGATACAAACAGCCCAAACAACATTACAAAAAACAAGACACACTGAAAAAGATAACTTGGAGAAGATTTTGCTAGAAGCACAGGAAGAGAGAATGATTACTGAGCAAATCAAAACTGCACTGCAGAGTGAGATGGTCCTTCAGGAAAGGCGCACAGGCGAGATGGAAAGAGAAAGGCAAGAGCTAGAGAAGCTTCAGTTCCAGATGCAGAAGATGAAGGAGGAGCTGGAAAAGAAGCAGTATGACACTATGAGAGATGATCTGGAGAGGAGGGCTGAGCAGCAGAGAGAAAGGGAAGAGCTTGATAGGATCAGGGCTGAGCTGGAGAGAGACAAAGCAGCCCTACACAGAAGCAGCGAGATGATAAATCAAGATAAAGAAAAGCTGGAGCAGATGATGATAGGAATTCAAGAGCAAAGGGAAGATATAAAAAGAAGACTAGAACATGCCAGACAAGCAGAGGATGGAATAAGACAAATGAGAGAAGAAATTGAGCTTCAAAGAGAACATCTGGAGAGGATTCGTGTGGAGACGGAAAAGGAGAAAGAGCCATATGAAAAAGTGAAGAATGAACTTAACAGATTGAGAGAGGAGATGGAAAGACTTTGGGATGAAGCAGAAAGAGAAGAACAGGAGGAAAGAGAGAAATTTCAGAGAGATAAGGAGGAAATGAATAAGAAGATGGAGGAGATGAACCATGAGATGATGCAGATCCAAGACTTGAAAGTGGAGTTAAAAAGACAGAGGGAGGAGGCAGAGGCAAAACTGGAGAAGGCAAAGAGGGAAATGGATAAACTTGAGCAGCTGAAGGCAGATCTGCAGAGACGCAAAGAGGAGATTGAGAACAAAAATTGCAGAGACTAAGAGTGAGAGGGATGAATTGGAGCAGGTGAGAGCTGAGATACTAAGGCAAAAAGAAGATGTTGAAAACAAAATGCGACTAGCGAAAACAGAGATGGAAAAGATGCAACGAGTCAAGGAAGAAATACAACAACAAAGAGATGAATTGGAAGAAAGGATGCAGAGGGCAAAAAGAGAAATGGAAGAGATGGAGCTCATGAAAAAAGAAATGGACCGGAAGAAAAAAGAGGTTGATCAAAGAATGAAGCAGACCATGAGGAAAAAAGAAGAGATGGACAGAATAAGGATGGAAATACAAAGAGCAAAAGAAGAAATGGAACATAAAAGGGCAGAGACTGAGAAGGAGAGATACGAGATGGAATGTGTTAAAGCCGAGATCCAAAGAGCAAGAGAGGAATTTGAGATTAGGGTAGAAGAGAGAGGTCTAGATCTGGAAGAAAAAGAAGAGATAAATGCTGAGATTATCAGCCTGATTCATCAGATTGAAAGAACCAGAGAAATGATATGGAATACTAAACTTCATATGGAAAACAGGGTGGCAGAAAGTCAACTGGAAGCAGTATACAAAGAGCAGATGAACGCAGAGTTGCAGAGACTCATTGTAGAAGTTGAACAAATCAGAGAGATGCTGCGAAGGGCATAAAAAAGAAATGGAACAAAACAAAGAGGTTATCAGGAGTGAGAAGGACGAGATAAGAATGTTAAAGATCGAGATGCAACGAAGGAGAAGAGACTTGCAATACAGAGAAGAAAAGAATATGAGAGAGCGGGCTGAGTTGGAAGTCATGAGCGCCAAGATACAGCGACAAAAAGAAGAGCTGGAGGAGAGACTAGAGGACATCATACAACAAAATCAGAAGACAGAGCAGATGAAAGAAGAAGTGCAACGGGCTTTGGAGGAAATAGAGCAAGAAAAGGAGGAAATAAGCAGGGCAAAAGAAATGATACTCCAAAGGAAGATCAAGGAAGAGAAGGTAAGCAAATTACAAATTTCTGACAACTGTTTAGTGTCTTTGTCAGTTATTTCATTGATAGTATGAATGGTTATATATAGAAACTTCACAGGAAATGGCAAAAACGTTGTTTACTTTCAATGTAAGTCAATGTAAAGAGTAATGTAAATGTAAAAATTTGAATAGTGACCTAGAAGTAGTGCAAGATCTTAAGTATTTCTTCTTTATTTTACCGGTCATAACTTTTATTTGTTTTAAATTTTTCAAAATGTAGTTCTCATATATATAATGTAGTTCTCATATATATATACATATATATATATATATATATATATATATATATATATATATATCGCTGTTGTCAGAAGAAAACCTTGTATCTCTAAAAAGATAACTTCACAGAAAAAGGAAAAAACCTACTTTACTTTTAATGTAAGTCGGTGGAACCAGATGTTTTTCCAAGTAATTCTGGGTAGTTTCTTTTGGTCCATTCATCATGAAATTTACGCAGAGTGTAAAGGCATTTTCAAATTATGTCAAAAACTGAAAAACAACAAAAATGGAGATACAAGGTTTTCCTTCGACAGCTTTACAAAACACCAGTGTGTAGTCTTTACATTTTCGTATGTTTTATGATGTGAGTTATGCATGCATATTTACACATTGCCAAAATGAAGGAAAGGTCCACTTCTCCAATTCTAATGCTCTGCTTGTGCAACAATGATTAGATGATGTAGAATTTGGATTCAAAATTATATGCTGTGAAAAATGTGCAGAAAGAAATGCAATCAAGCAAACGTTTATCTCAGGTATCCCAAGACGACTACAAAACAGAGAAGTTACAGCCTGGAACAACAGACTACCTTGAAAAACATGAGATGAGAGCTGTTGAAACACTTTCAACTGATCACTATGAAGCTATGATGTCTGATATAGATCAAGAAAGGAATGAACTGGAGCAATACAAAGAAAACATGTTAAAAGAGAAACATGAACTAGAAAGGACAAAGGAAGATGTTCAGATGGCAAGAGATGAAGTTGAAGCAAAGATGGCCAAACTGAAAGAGGAGGAAAAAGAGTTGGAAAAGAAGAAAGTGAGTCTCATAAATATGGAAGAAATACTGCAAACACAGAAAGAGGCCAATGAAAGGGATTTTAATACCATAATCAAAGAGAAGGAAATACTGAATCAAAGGAAGCAAGAGCTTGACAACATGCAAATAAATATAGAAAGACAGAAGAATGAAATGGACCGCACATATAAACCTACAGCGATGGTGACAATGCAGTCTGATATGCAAGTGCAAACTGAAGACTGGGGTAGCATGAGAGAGATACAAATACTGGAGGCAGATAAAAAACACCAGGTCATGATGGCCATGAAAGAGGTGGAGAAAGAAAGAGCAGCTTTAGAGAAGTTTCGTGAAGACATTCTTGATGAACTTGAGCTTAAACAAGCTACAATCCAGAAACAAAAGCAAGAACTAGACACAGACATCCAGTTAAGGAAAGAGGAGAGAGATGAAATAGAAAGGAGAAAAAAGCAATTACACAAAGATATTGACATGATGGAACAAAAGAAAACCAACATGGAAAAACAAATGATGGATATTAGCCTTTACCAAAAAGGTTTACAGAAGGAAAAGGATGTATCTGCACGAGCAGAAATGCTTGGGGATGTAGGTGCTACGTTCACTGACCTTGAGATGCAACAAACTAAGACAAAAGATGATCTGGAAAGGGAAAAGAATGAGTTAGAAATGGCAAAATTAGAAGTAAAGAAAGCATGGGATGACCTTCATGCACAAAATTTAAAAAACAGAGAAAACGAAGCAAGGATAAGAATGGAACTAGAACGAGAAAGAGATGCTCTAAATCAACTAAGTCTCAGTATTGAAACACAGAGACAAGCTATGAAAGATGAACAACATGAACTCAGACTAAGAACGGAAGAACTGGAGGTCCTGCAAAGCGAACTGCACAAAGAGCAGAGAGCAAATGAAGACGCTGTGAAAATGACTATTGCTGAGAAAAGGGAGCTAGAAAAAATGCAGTCTGACATAAATGAACAACAAAAACAACTGACAATTGTCCAGGATATCCAGAAGAGAGAAAAAGATGATCTTGAAAAGATGAAGTCTGAAATTGAAAAGGAAAGCCAAAAACTAAATAGTAGGCTAATTGAGGAATTGAAGAATGAAAGAGCAAAACTTGAAAGTGTGAAGTTAGAACTTAAAAATGTAAAACAAAGGAACATCGAACTGGATACAGATTTAGAACTCCATAAAAAAATGAGGGACACAGATCGGGACTTATTGGAGCAAATGAAATCCCAACTAAAAAGACAATCTGAGGACATTGAGAAGATCAAGCAAGAAACAGAGAATGACAGACTGAAAGTGGAGGAGATGGCCACACAAGTTCAAAAAGAGAGAGAGAATATTGCCAGATTTGCTGAGGAGACCAGGAGGAAGAAAGAAGCTCTAGATGTAATGCGTGTTGAGATACAGAAGCAGAGACAAGAAATTGAGTCAGAGAAAAACATGATTTCTAAAGAAAAAGCTAACATAGAACAAATGAAAATGAACATTGCTAGAGATGAAGTAGATCTTAAAAACCAACTAGTAGATGAAAGACAAAAACTAGAAAACATCCAAAAAGAGATTGACAGTCTTGAGAGCACAAAATTAGATATCTCAAAGCAAGCTGACATGGTGGAAAAAGAAAAGGAACAAATACGACTCAGAAAAGATGGACTTGATCAAAAGCAAGCAGAGATTCGAAAACAACAAAAAGAATTAGATGATATGAAAGACAAGATAACAATGGAAAAAACTCAGCTTGAGGAAAAGAAGGCTGAACTGGTTAAAGCAGAACAAGAGATGAACTATACCAGTGAAACAGTCAGAATGGCAATACATGATCTTGAGAGAGAAAAAGCAGAGTTCATTGGAAAGCAAAAGCAAATAGAAAGCAATCTGAGGGAGGCACTTCAGGAAGAACATAAAAACCTAGATTTTCTGAAGAAAGAGATTTTTGCTGAAAAGGAACTAATTGAACAAAATAAACATGTGTTGGAAAAAGAGAGGGATGACATTAAACAACAAAAATCCCAGCTCAGTGAGAAATTGGTTGAGCTACAACTTCAAAAACAAATCATTGAAGATGAAAAGGATCATTTACAACAGATGAATGAAGAGATACAAAGAAAAGCTGAAAACGTTGAGAAGCTACTTCAAGACAAAGAGAATGAAAAACAGAAGATGGAAGAGACGGCTGCTCAACTTGAAAAAGAGAGAGACGACATTCACTACATTGCCGAAGAGATCAGAAGCAAGAAAGAAGCCTTGGATATGAGGGAGGTTGAAATGCAAAAACAAATACAAGTCATTGAGTTTGATAAAGAAATGATTGATAAGGAAAAGAATGAGTTGAACATAATCAAAAAAGAGGTAAGTAAAACTAAAGAAGATCTTGAAAACCAAATTGCTGAAAATAGAAAAAATCATGAGATGAGCCTGTTAGAGATACAGAAACAGAGAGAAACTCTTAAACAGATGAACCTGAACATTTCCAAACAGGTCAATGATATTGAAAATGAAAAGGAAACACTTAGACTCAGACAAGATGATCTAGAACAACTGCAGGAGGAGACTAAAAACCGACAAAAAGAAACTGATGCCTTGAGAAACACAATCACTGCTGAAAAGAATTTGATTGAAAGGAGGAAGGTAGAAATTGATCAACAAGAAAAAGAAATAAATAACAGTCTTGTTCAGTTCCAAGCAGAAAAGAAGAACTTTTACAGGGAAAAGGCTGAAATAATGAGAGAAACAGAAAAAATGAAGGATGGACTGCAAAAAGAAAGGAAAAATTTAGAGCTTCTGAGGAAAGAAGTACTCAGTGAAAAAGAGTTAACAGAAAAAAACAGGCAGCTGCTGAAGACTGATATGCAACAACAATTAAATTTGGAGAAAGAGTTAGAAAACATAAAGCTCCAGAAGGAAATGATTGAGGATGAGAGGAACCAACTGGAACAAACAAAGGCTGAGCTGCACAGAGAAGCTGAGAACATTGAAAAATTAAAACAAGACACTCAGAAAGAAAGACAGAGAGTAGAAGAAATGACTGCACAACTTCAAAAAGAGAGGGATGATGCTGCAAATCTTTCTGAGGAAGTGAAGAGGAAAGTGGAAGACCTAAATAGGATGCGTGCTGATTTTGAAAAAGAACGAGAGGTACTCAAATCTGAGAAAGACAAGCTCAGAAAGGAAATGCATGATAATGAGAGCTCAAAGATAGAGCTTGAAAAAGCCAGAGAAAATCTAGAAAAACAAATGACTGAACAAGAGGAACAAACTAAAATGATTCTGTCAGACATACAGAAAGAGAGAGAGAAACTTGAGCAGATGAACATGTACATCTCAAGCCAAGCCAAAGATATTGAAAAAGAAAAGGAACAACTGAAACTCAGAAAAGACGAACTGGAACAGATTCAAGTAGAGATTGCAAAACAACAAAAAGAGACGGATGACATGAAAAACAGAATAATGACAGAAAAAGGACAGCTTGAGCAGAAGTGGGATGAACTGAATAAAGAAAAGAAAGAAGTGGATAATATCTTAAAATCTGTTAGTTGAAAAGAGCAATATTGAAAGAGAAAGATCTGAAATTGATGAGCAGAAAACAGCAAATGGAGAGCAAGTTCAGGACTGCATTGAAGACAGAGATGGAAAATGTGGAGCTCCTAAAGAAAGAGTTACTTGATGAAAAAGAAATAATAGAAAAGAGCAAACAGCTGTTAAACAGAGACATGGACGAAGTGGAACAACACAAGGCCAGACTGACCAGAGAGTCAGAGGACATTAAACACAGGAAAGTCATACTTGAGGAGGAGAAGAGCATGTTAGAGAAGATGAAGGTGGATCTAGACAGAGAAGCTGAGAACATGGAGAAAATGAAGCTCGACTCACAGAACGAGAAAGTGAAAGCTGAAGAAATATACACACAGATTCAAAGAGAAAGAAACATTATTGACAGTCTTGCTAAGGAGAACCAAAAGAAGAAAGAAGAGCTGGATGGTTTGCATGCTGAGATAGAAAAGCAAAGAGAAGCTATTAAATTAGATAAAGAGGTGACTGACAAGGAGAAAAGCTGACCTGGAGATAATGAAAGAAGAGGTGAGGAAAAGCAAAGAAGTTCTAGAAAACCAAATTACTGAGGAAAGGAAAAAGAATGAGATGAGCCGGGCAGAAATACGGAAGGAGAGAGACACTGTTGAAAATGAAAAGGAAAGACTAAGACTCAGACAAGATGATCTAGAACGACTGCAGGCAGAAATTATAAAACAACAAAAAGAAATGGATGAGTTGAGGAACACGATCAGTGCTGAAAGGAATCTGCTTGAAAAGAAGAAGGCTGAACTTGATGAACAGGAAAAAGAAATGAACTATATCACTGCTCGATTTCAAGAACAGAAGCACAATTTTGAGACAGAAAAGGCTGAAATTATAGAGAGAAAGAAAGAATGATGGATAAATTCCACAGTGAAAGGGAAAATGTGGAACGTCTGAGGAAGGAAGTGCTCAGTGAAGAGGAGTCATTAGAAAATAAAATAGAGTTTCTGAAGACAGATATGGATGAAATGGAACAAAGCAAATACATTTGGAGAAAGAGTTAGAAAACATAAAGCTCCAGAAAGAAATGATTGAGGATGAGAAAGACCAACTGGAACAGACAAAGGCTGAGCTGCACAGAGAAGCTGAGAACATCGACACATTAAAACAAGAGATGCAGAAAGAAAGACAGAGAGTAGAAGAAATGACTGCCCAACTTCAACAAGAGAGGGATGATGCAGCAAATCTTTCTGAGGAAGTGAAGAGGAAAGTGGAAGACCTAAATAGGATGCGTGCTGATTTTGAAAAAGAACGAGAGGCACTCAAATCTGAGAAAGACAAGCTCAGAATGGAAATGCATGATAAGGAGAGCTCAAAGATAGAGCTTGAAAAAGCCAGAGAAAATCTAGAGAAACAAATGACTGAAAAAGAGGAACAAACTAAAATGATTCTGTCAGACATACAGAAAGAGAGAGAGAAACTTGAGCAGATGAACATTTACATCTCAAGCCAAGCCAAAGATATTGAAAATGAAAAGGAACAACTGAGACTCAGAAAAGACGAACTGGAACAGATACAAGTAGAGATTGCAAAACAGCAAAAAGAGATGGATGACATGAAAAACAGAATAATGACAGAAAAAGGACAGCTTGAGCAGAAGTGGGATGAACTGAATAATGAAAAGAAAGAAGTGGATAATATCTTACAATCTGTTAGGACTGAAAAGAGCAATATTGAAAGAGAAAGATCTGAAATTGATGAGCAAAAACAGCAAATGGAGAGCAAGTTCAGGACTGCATTGAAGAGAGAGATGGAAAATGTGGAGCTCCTAAAGAAAGAGTTACTTGATGAAAAAGAATTAATAGAAAAGAGCAAACAGCTGTTAAACAAAGACATGGACGAAGTGGAACAACACAAGGCCAGACTGACCAGAGAGTCAGAGGACATTAAACACAGGAAAGTCATACTTGAGGAGGAGAAGAGCATGTTAGAGAAGATGAAGGTGGATCTAGACAGAGAAGCTGAGAACATGGAAAAAATGAAGCTTGACTCACAGAATGAGAAAGTGAAAGCTGAAGAAATATACACACAGATTCAAAGAGAAAGAAACATTACTGACAGTCTTGCTGAGGAGAATAAAAAGAAAAAAGAAGAGCTGGATGGTTTGCATGCTGAGATAGAAAAGCAAAGAGAAGCAATTAAATTAGATAAAGAGATGACTGACAAGGAAAAAGCTGACCTGGAGATAATGAAAGAAGAGGTGAGGAAAAGCAAAGAAGTTCTAGAAAACCAAATTACTGAGGAAAGGAAAAAGAATGAGATGAGCCAGGCAGAGATACAGAAGGAGAGAGACACTGTTGAACATGAAAAGGAAAGACTAAGACTCAGACAAGATGATCTAGAACGACTGCAGGCAGAAATTATAAAACAACAAAAAGAAATGGATGAGTTGAGGAACACAATCAGTACTGAAAGGAATCTGCTTGAAAAGAAGAAGGCTGAACTTGATGAACAGGAAAAAGAAATGAACTATATCACTGCTCGATTTCAAGAACAGAAGCACAATTTTGAGACAGAAAAGGCTGAAATTATTAGAGAGAAAGAAAGAATGATGGATAAACTCCACAGTGAAAGGGAAAATGTGGAACTTCTGAGGAAGGAAGTCCTCAGTGAAGAGGAGTCATTAGAAAATAAAAAGAGTTTCTGAAGACAGATATGGATGAAATGGAACAAAGAAAACTACATTTGGAGAAAGAGTTAGAAAACATAAAGCTCCAGAAAGAAATGATTGAGGATGAGAAAGACCAACTGGAACAGACAAAGGCTGAGCTGCACAGAGAAACTGAGAACATCGACACATTAAAACAAGAGATGCAGAAAGAAAGACAGAGAGTAGAAGAAATGACTGCCCAACTTCAAAAGAGAGGGATGATGCAGCAAATCTTTCTGAGGAAGTGAAGAGGAAAGTGGAAGACCTAAATAGGATGCGTGCTGATTTTGAAAAAGAACGAGAGGCACTCAAATCTGAGAAAGACAAGCTCAGAATGGAAATGCATGATTATGAGAGCTCAAAGATAGAGCTTGAAAAAGCCAGAGAAAATCTAGAGAAAACAAATGACTGAAAAAGAGGAACAAACTAAAATGATTCTGTCAGACATACAGAAAGAGAGAGAGAAACTTGAGCAGATGAACATTTACATCTCAAGCCAAGCCAAAGATATTGAAAAAGAAAAGGAACAACTGAAACTCAGAAAAGACGAACTGGAACAGATTCAAGTAGAGATTGCAAAACAGCAAAAAGAGATGGATGACATGAAAAACAGAATAATGACAGAAAAAGGACAGCTTGAGCAGAAGTGGGATGAACTGAATAATGAAAAGAAAGAAGTGGATGATGTCCTAGAATTTGTTAGGACTGAAAAGAGCAATATTGAAAGAGAAAGATCTGAAATTGATGAGCAGAAACAGCAAATGGAGAGCAAGTTCAGGACTGCATTGAAGACAGAGATGGAAAATGTGGAGCTCCTAAAGAAAGAGTTACTTGATGAAAAAGAATTAATAGAAAAGAGCAAACAGCTGTTAAACAAAGACATGGACGAAGTGGAACAACACAAGGCCAGACTGACCAGAGAGTCAGAGGACATTAAACACAGGAAAGTCATACTTGAGGAGGAGAATAGCATGTTAGAGAAGATGAAGGAGGATCTAGACAGAGAAGCTGAGAACATAGAAAAAATGAAGCTTGGCTCACAGAATGAGAAAGTGAAAGCTGAAGAAATATACACACAGATTCAAAGAGAAAGAAACATTACTGACAGTCTTGCTGAGGAGAATAAAAAGAAAAAAGAAGAGCTGGATGGTTTGCATGCTGAGATAGAAAAGCAAAGAGAAGCAATTAAACTAAATAAAGAGATGACTGACAAGGAGAAAGCTAACCTGGAGATAATGAAAGAAGAGGTGAGGAAAAGCAAAGAAGTTCTAGAAAACCAAATAACCGAAGAAAGGAAAAAGAATGAGATGAGCCGGGCAGAAATACAGAAGGAGAGAGACACTGTTGAACATGAAAAGGAAAGACTAAGACTTAGACAAGATGATCTAGAACGACTGCAGGCAGAAATTATAAAACAACAAAAAGAAATGGATGATATGAAAAACAGAATAATGACAGAAAAAGGACAGCTTGAGCAGAAATGGGATGAACTGAATAAAGAAAAGAAAGAAGTGGATGATATCTTAAAATTTGTTCGTGTTGAAAAGAGCAATATTGAAAGAGAAAGATCTGAAATTGATGAGGAGAAACAGCAAATGGAGAGCAAGTTCAGGACTGCATTGAAGACAGAGATGGAAAATGTGGAGCTCCTAAAGAAAGAGTTACTTGATGAAAAAGAAATAATAGAAAAGAGCAAACAGCTGTTAAACAAAGACATAGACGAAGTGGAACAACACAAGGCCAGACTGACCAGAGAGTCAGAGGACATTAAACACAGGAAAGTCATACTTGAGGAGGAGAAGAGCATGTTAGAGAAGATGAAGGTGGATCTAGACAGAGAAGCTGAGAACATGGAGAAAATGAAGCTCAACTCACAGAACGAGAAAGTGAAAGCTGAAGAAATATACACACAGATTCAAAGAGAAAGAAACATTACTGACAGTCTTGCTAAGGAGAACCAAAAGAAGAAAGAAGAGCTGGATGGTTTGCATGCTGAGATTAAACAGCAAAGAGAAGCAATTAAACTAGATAAAGAGGTGATTGACAAGGAGAAAGCTGACCTGGAGATAATGAAAGAAGAGGTGAGGAAAAGTAAAGAAGTTCTAGAAAACCAAATTACTGAGGAAAGGAAAAAGAATGAGATGAGCCGGGCAGAAATACGGAAGGAGAGAGACACTGTTGAACATGAAAAGGAAAGACTAAGACTTAGACAAGATGATCTAGAACAACTTCAAGCAGAAATTATAAAACAACAAAAAGAAATGGATGAGTTGAGGAACACGATCAGTATTGAAAGGAATCTGCTTGAAAAGAAGAAGGCTGAACTTGATAAACAGGAAAAAGAAATGAACTATATCACTGCTCGATTCCAAGAAGAGAAGAACAACCTTGAGAGAGAAAAGGCTGAAATAATGAGAGAGAAAGAAAGAATGATGGATAAACTCCACAGTGAAAGGGAAAATGTGGAACTTCTGAGGAAGGAAGTGCTCAGTGAAGAGGAGTCATTAGAAAATAAAATAGAGTTTCTGAAGACAGATATGGATGAAATGGAACAAAGAAAACTACATTTGGAGAAAGAGTTAGAAAATATAAAGCTCCAGAAAGAAATCATTGAGGATGAGAAAGACCAACTGGAACAGTCAAAGGCTGAGCTGCACAGAGAAGCTGAGAACATCGACACATTAAAACAAGAGATGCAGAAAGAAAGACAGAGAGTAGAAGAAATGACTGCCCAACTTCAACAAGAGAGGGATGATGCAGCAAATCTTTCTGAGGAAGTGAAGAGGAAAGTGGAAGACCTAAATAGGATGCGTGCTGATTTTGAAAAAGAACGAGAGGCACTCAAATCTGAGAAAGACAAGCTCAGAATGGAAATGCTTGATCATGAGAGCTCAAAGATAGAACTTGAAAAAGCCAGAGAAAATCTAGAAAAACAAATGACTGAAAAAGAGGAACAAACTAAAATGATTCTATCAGACATACAGAAAGAGAGAGAGAAACTTGAGCAGATGAACATTTACATCTCAAGCCAAGCCAAAGATATTGAAAATGAAAAGGAACAACTGAGACTCAGAAAAGACGAACTGGAACAGATACAAGTAGAGATTGCAAAACAGCAAAAAGAGATGGATGACATGAAAAACAGAATAATGACAGAAAAAGGACAGCTTGAGCAGAAATGGGATGAACTGAATAATGAAAAGAAAGAAGTGGATAATATCTTACAATCTGTTAGGACTGAAAAGAGCAATATTGAAAGAGAAAGGTCTGAAATTGATGAGGAGAAACAGCAAATGGAGAGCAAGTTCAGGACTGCATTGAAGACAGAGATGGAAAATGTGGAGCTCCTAAAGAAAGAGTTACTTGATGAAAAGGAATTAATAGAAAAGAGCAAACAGCTGTTAAACAGAGACATGGACGAAGTGGAACAACACAAGGCCAGACTGACCAGAGAGTCAGAGGACATTAAACACAGGAAAGACATACTTGAGGAGGAGAAGAGCATGTTAGAGAAGATGAAGGTGGATCTAGACAGAGAAGCTGAGAACATGGAGAAAATGAAGCTCGACTCACAGAACGAGAAAGTGAAAGCTGAAGAAATATACACACAGATTCAAAGAGAAAGAAACATTACTGACAGTCTTGCTAAGGAGAACCAAAAGAAGAAAGAAGAGCTGGATGGTTTGCATGCTGAGATTAAACAGCAAAGAGAAGCAATTAAACTAGATAAAGAGGTGATTGACAAGGAGAAAGCTGACCTGGAGATAATGAAAGAAGAGGTGAGGAAAAGCAAAGAAGTTCTAGAAAACCAAATTACTGAGGAAAGGAAAAAGAATGAGATGAGCCAGGCAGAGATACAGAAGGAGAGAGACACTGTTGAACATGAAAAGGAAAGACTAAGACTCAGACAAGATGATCTAGAACGACTGCAGGCAGAAATTATAAAACAACAAAAAGAAATGGATGAGTTGAGGAACACGATCAGTATTGAAAGGAATCTGCTTGAAAAGAAGAAGGCTGAACTTGATGAACAGGAAAAAGAAATGAACTATATCACTGCTCGATTTCAAGAACAGAAGCACAATTTTGAGACAGAAAAGGCTGAAATTATTAGAGAGAAAGAAAGAATGATGGATAAACTCCACAGTGAAAGGGAAAATGTGGAACTTCTGAGAAAAGAAGTGCTCAGTGATAAGGAGACATTAGAAAATAAAAAAGAGTTTCTGAAGACAGATATGGATGAAATGGAACAAAGCAAATTACATTTGGAGAAAGAGTTAGAAAACATAAAGCTCCAGAAAGAAATGATTGAGGATGAGAAAGACCAACTGGAACAGACAAAGGCTGAGCTGCACAGAGAAGCTGAGAACATCAACAAATTAAAACAAGAGATGCAGAAAGAAAGACAGAGAGTAGAAGAAATGACTGCCCAACTTCAACAAGAGAGGGATGATGCAGCAAATCTTTTGCTGAGGAAGTGAAGAGGAAAGTGGAAGACCTAAATAGGATGCGTGCTGATTTTGAAAAAGAACGAGAGGCACTCAAATCTGAGAAAGACAAGCTCAGAAAGGAAATGCATGATAATGAGAGCTCAAAGATAGAGCTTGAAAAAGCCAGAGAAAATCTAGAAAAACAAATGACTGAACAAGAGGAACAAACTAAAATGATTCTGTCAGACATACAGAAAGAGAGAGAGAAACTTGAGCAGATGAACATTTACATCTCAAGCCAAGCCAAAGATATTGAAAATGAAAAGGAACAACTGAGACTCAGAAAAGACGAACTGGAACAGATACAAGTAGAGATTGCAAAACAACAAAAAGAGATGGATGATCATGAAAAACAGAATAATGACAGAAAAAGGACAGCTTGAGCAGAAATGGGATGAACTGAATAATGAAAAGAAAGAAGTGGATAATATCTTACAATCTGTTAGGACTGAAAAGAGCAATATTGAAAAAGAAAGGTCTGAAATTGATGAAGAGAAACAGCAAATGGAGAGCAAGTTCAGGACTGCATTGAAGAGAGAGATGGAAAATGTGGAGCTCCTAAAGAAAGAGTTACTTGATGAAAAGGAATTAATAGAAAAGAGCAAACAGCTGTTAAACAGAGACATGGACGAAGTGGAACAACACAAGGCCAGACTGACCAGAGAGTCAGAGGACATTAAACACAGGAAAGACATACTTGAGGAGGAGAAGAGCATGTTAGAGAAGATGAAGGTGGAACTAGACAGAGAATCTGAGAACATGGAGAAAATGAAGCTCAACTCACAGAACGAGAAAGTGAAGTTTGAAGAAAAATACGCAGAAATTCAAAGAGAAAGAAACATTATGACAGTCTTGCTGAGGAGAACCAAAAGAAGAAAGAAGAGCTGGATGGTTTGCATGCTGAGATTAAACAGCAAAGAGAAGCAATTAATTTTGATAAAGAGGTGACTGACAAGGAGAAAGCTGACCTGGAGATAATGAAAGAAGAGGTGAGGAAAAGCAAAGAAGTTCTAGAAAACCAAATTACTGAGGAAAGGAAAAAGAATGAGATGAGCCAGGGCAGAAATACGAGAAGGAGAGAGACACTGTTGAACATGAAAAGCAAAGACTAAGACTCAGACAAGATGATCTAGAACGACTGCAGGCAGAAATTATAAAACAACAAAAAGAAATGGATGAGTTGAGGAACACGATCAGTATTGAAAGGAATCTGCTTGAAAAGAAGAAGGCTGAAACTTGATGAACAGGAAAAAGAAATGAACTATATCACTGCTCGATTTCAAGAACAGAAGCACAATTTTGAGACAGAAAAGGCTGAAATAATCAGAGAGAAAGAAAGAATGATGGATAAACTCCACAGTGAAAGGGAAAATGTGGAACTTCTGAGAAAAGAAGTGCTCAGTGAAGAGGAGTCATTAGAAAATAAAAAAGAGTTTCTGAAGACAGATATGGATGAAATGGAACAAAGCAAATTACATTTGGAGAAAGAGTTAGAAAACATAAAGCTCCAGAAAGAAATGATTGAGGATGAGAAAGACCAACTGGAACAGACAAAGGCTGAGCTGCACAGAGAAGCTGAGAACATCGACAAATTAAAACAAGAGATGCAGAAAGAAAGACAGAGAGTAGAAGAAATGACTGCCCAACTTCAAAAGAGAGGGATGATGCAGCAAATCTTTCTGAGGAAGTGAAGAGGAAAGTGGAAGACCTAAATAGGATGCGTGCTGATTTTGAAAAAGAACGAGAGGCACTCAAATCTGAGAAAGACAAGCTCAGAATGGAAATGCATGATCATGAGAGCTCAAAGATAGAGCTTGAAAAAGCCAGAGAAAATCTAGAGAAACAAATGACTGAAAAAGAGGAACAAACTAAAATGATTCTGTCAGACATACAGAAAGAGAGAGAGAAACTTGAGCAGATGAACATTTACATCTCAAGCCAAGCCAAAGATATGAAAATGAAAAGGAACAACTGAGACTCAGAAAAGACGAACTGGAACAGATACAAGTAGAGATTGCAAAACAGCAAAAAGAGATGGATGACATGAAAAACAGAATAATGACAGAAAAAGGACAGCTTGAGCAGAAATGGGATGAACTGAATAATGAAAAGAAAGAAGTGGATAATATCTTACAATCTGTTAGGACTGAAAAGAGCAATATTGAAAAAGAAAGGTCTGAAATTGATGAAGAGAAACAGCAAATGGAGAGCAAGTTCAGGACTGCATTGAAGACAGAGATGGAAAATGTGGCGCTCCTAAAGAAAGAGTTACTTGATGAAAAGGAATAATAGAAAAGAGCAAACAGCTGTTAAACAGAGACATGGACGAAGTGGAACAACACAAGGCCAGACTGACCAGAGAGTCAGAGGACATTAAACACAGGAAAGACATACTTGAGGAGGAGAAGAGCATGTTAGAGAAGATGAAGGTGGATCTAGACAGAGAAGCTGAGAACATGGAGAAAATGAAGCTCAACTCACAGAACGAGAAAGTGAAAGCTGAAGAAATATACACACAGATTCAAAGAGAAAGAAACATTACTGACAGTCTTGCTAAGGAGAACCAAAAGAAGAAAGAAGAGCTAGATGGTTTGCATGCTGAGATTAAAACAGCAAAGAGAAGCAATTAAACTAGATAAAGAGGTGATTGACAAGGAGAAAGCTGACCTGGAGATAATGAAAGAAGAGGTGAGGAAAAGCAAAGAAGTTCTAGAAAACCAAATAACTGAGGAAAGGAAAAAGAATGAGATGAGCCAGGCAGAGATACAGAAGGAGAGAGACAGTGTTGAACATGAAAAGCAAAGACTAAGACTCAGACAAGATGATCTAGAACGACTGCAGGCAGAAATTATAAAACAACAAAAAGAAATGGATGAGTTGAGGAACACGATCAGTATTGAAAGGAATCTGCTTGAAAAGAAGAAGGCTGAACTTGATGAACAGGAAAAAGAAATGAACTATATCACTGCTCGATTTCAAGAACAGAAGCACAATTTTGAGACAGAAAAGGCTGAAATTATTAGAGAGAAAGAAAGAATGATGGATAAACTCCACAGTGAAAGGGAAAATGTGGAACTTCTGAGAAAAGAAGTGCTCAGTGATAAGGAGACATTAGAAAATAAAATAGAGTTTCTGAAGACAGATATGGATGAAATGGAACAAAGCAAATTACATTTGGAGAAAGAGTTAGAAAACATAAAGCTCCAGAAAGAAATGATTGAGGATGAGAAAGACCAACTGGAACAGACAAAGGCTGAGCTGCACAGAGAAGCTGAGAACATCAACAAATTAAAACAAGAGATGCAGAAAGAAAGACAGAGAGTAGAAGAAATGACTGCACAACTTCAACAAGAGAGGGATGATGCAGCAAATCTTTCTGAGGAAGTGAAGAGGAAAGTGGAAGACCTAAATAGGATGCGTGCTGATTTTGAAAAAGAACGAGAGGCACTCAAATCTGAGAAAGACAAGCTCAGAAAGGAAATGCATGATAATGAGAGCTCAAAGATAGAGCTTGAAAAAGCCAGAGAAAATCTAGAAAAACAAATGACTGAACAAGAGGAACAAACTAAAATGATTCTGTCAGACATACAGAAAGAGAGAGAGAAACTTGAGCAGATGAACATTTACATCTCAAGCCAAGCCAAAGATATTGAAAATGAAAAGGAACAACTGAAACTCAGAAAAGACGAACTGGAACAGATACAAGTAGAGATTTCAAAACAACAAAGAGAAATGGATGATATGAAAAACAGAATAATGACAGAAAAAGGACAGCTTGAGCAGAAATGGGATGAACTGAATAATGAAAAGAAAGAAGTGGATAATATCTTACAATCTGTTAGGACTGAAAAGAGCAATATTGAAAAAGAAAGGTCTGAAATTGATGAAGAGAAACAGCAAATGGAGAACAAGTTCAGGACTGCATTGAAGAGAGAGATGGAAAATGTAGAGCTCCTAAAGAAAGAGTTACTTGATGAAAAGGAATTAATAGAAAAGAGCAAACAGCTGTTAAACAGAGACATGGACGAAGTGGAACAACACAAGGCCAGACTGACCAGAGAGTCAGAGGACATTAAACACAGGAAAGACATACTTGAGGAGGAGAAGAGCATGTTAGAGAAGATGAAGGTGGATCTAGACAGAGAAGCTGAGAACATGGAGAAAATGAAGCTCAACTCACAGAACGAGAAAGTGAAAGCTGAAGAAATATACACACAGATTCAAAGAGAAAGAAACATTACTGACAGTCTTGCTAAGGAGAACCAAAAGAAGAAAGAAGAGCTGGATGGTTTGCATGCTGAGATTAAACAGCAAAGAGAAGCAATTAAACTAGATAAAGAGGTGATTGACAAGGAGAAAGCTGACCTGGAGATAATGAAAGAAGAGGTGAGGACAAGCAAAGAAGTTCTAGAAAACCAAATAACTGAAGAAAGGAAAAGAATGAGATGAGCCAGGCAGAGATACGGAAGGAGAGAGACAGTGTTGAACATGAAAAGCAAAGACTAAGACTCAGACAAGATGATCTAGAACGACTGCAGGCAGAAATTATAAAACAACAAAAAGAAATGGATGAGTTGAGGAACACGATCAGTATTGAAAGGAATCTGCTTGAAAAGAAGAAGGCTGAAATTGATGAACAGGAAAAAGAAATGAACTATATCACTGCTCGATTTCAAGAACAGAAGCACAATTATGAGACAGAAAAGGCTGAAATTATTAGAGAGAAAGAAAGAATGATGAATAAACTCCACAGTGAAAGGGAAAATGTGGACTTCTGAGAAAAGAAGTGCTCAGTGATAAGGAGACATTAGAAAATAAAATAGAGTTTCTGAAGACAGATATGGATGAAATGGAACAAAGCAAATTACATTTGGAGAAAGAGTTAGAAAACATAAAGCTCCAGAAAGAAATCATTGAGGATGAGAAAGACCAACTGGAACAGTCAAAGGCTGAGCTGCACAGAGAAGCTGAGAACATTGACAAATTAAAACAAGAGATGCAGAAAGAAAGACAGAGAGTAGAAGAAATGACTGCACAACTTCAAAAGGAGAGGGATGATGCAGCAAATATTGCAGAGGAAGTGAAGAGGAAAGTGGAAGACCTAAATAGGATGCGTGCTGATTTTGAAAAAGAACGAGAGGCACTCAGATCTGAGAAAGACAAGCTCAGGGTGGAAATGCATGATTATGAGAGCTCAAAGATAGAGCTTGCAAAAGCCAGAGAAAATCTAGAAAAACAAATGACTGAACAAGAGGAACAAACTAAAATGATTCTGTCAGACATACAGAAAGAGAAAAATATGTTAGTAGAAATGAAAGTGGAACTGCAAAGCGAAGTGAACAGAATTGAGATTTTAAAGCAAGAGGCACAGAATGACAAGAAGAAATTGGAAGAACTTAACACTCAACTTCAAAACAAGAGGCACAGTATTGATCAGCTTGCTGAAGACACTGAAAAGAGGAAGGATATTCTCAATAGAATTCAGGCTGATATAGAAAAGCAGAGGGACACAATTGAGTCAGAAAAATGCTTGCTTGAAAATGAAAAGAAAGACCTGGAGAAGACTAAAGTAGAGATTGCGAAATCTAAGGAAGACTTAGAGAACCAAATCTCTGAACAAAAAGAAAACTATGCTGTTGCACTTGCAGAAATACAAAAAGAGAGAATGTCTCTTACACAGATGCATGAAACAATCTCAAAGCAGTTTGCTGATGCTGAAAATGAAAGGAAGAAAATATCACAAAGAGAAGATGAGCTAGCACAGCAACAGGCTGAGGTCCTCAAACAACAGAAAGAGATGGAAGATCTGAAGGATACCATCAAGCTGGAGATGAATCAGCTTGAGCAGAGACAGGCTGACTTAGACCAGCTCCAGAAAGAGGTGGATGATTTTATGGAATTCACCAAGAATGAAATGAGAAATGTTGAGAAAGAAAGGGCTGAACTGTTAGAAGAGAAACAAAAAATGGAGAGCGATTTGAGGTCTACTCTCAGAATGCAGTTACAAAATGTGGAGCATCTAAAGAAGGAACTACTTGCTGAGAAGGCATTCATTTTCAATAGCAGACAGGCACTGCAAAGAGATAAAGATGATATTGAGTTGAGCAAAGCCAACATACATAGACAATTAGAGGATATCAGAATTCAGAGACAGATTATTTCAGATGAGAATGAAGTGTTGCAGAAGATGAAGGCTGATCTGCACAGAGAAGCACATGATATTGAGAAGCTAAAGCAACAGCTAGAGAATGAAAAGCAGAGGGTTGAAGAGACAGCAGCCCAACTCCAGAAAGAAAGAGCTTATTTGAAGACCCTCACTGAAGAAGCCAAAAGGGAGAAGAATGTTCTGGACGGACTGCAAGTTCAGGTTGAAAAGCAGAGACGGTCATTTGAATTTGAAAAGGATATGATTGAAAAGAAAACATCTGAATTAATGAAAACTATAGATGAGATGACAAAAGCCAAAGAAGAGCTGAGAAACAAAGACAACTTAGAGAAGATGACACAGAACAACTTCAAGTCGAAAATCAGAAACAGCAGAAAGAAATGGATGACATGAAGAATATCATCTTAATGGAGAAAAGTCAGTTAGAACAGAGGCAGACTGAATTTAATCAGCAACACAAAGAAATGAATGATATGATGGAGTCAATCAGGATGGAGAAGAGTGATCTTGAGACTGAGAAGAACAATCTTGAGAAAGAAAAGGCTAAAATGATGGAGCAGAAGCAGCAAATGGAGAGCGATCTGCAAGATACAATAAGGATGGAGAGAGAAAACATTGAGCAACTGAAGAATGAACTGCTTGATGAAAAGAGATTTATTGAAAACAACAAGAAAATGTTGCAGAACAATATAGCTGACGTAGAACGAAAGAAACTGGAACTGGTTAGGGAGTTAGAAAACCTAAAAACGCAGAAACAAGCTTGTGAGGAAGAGAGGGATGACATACAGAAAGAAAAAGCTGGCCTGCAAAGAGAGTTAGATGACATTGCAAAGCTAAAGCAAGACACACAGAAAGAAAGAGAGAAAGTGTTTGAAATAGTAGCCCAACTTCAAAAAGAGAGAGACCAAATAAGTAATGTTGCTGAAGAGAACAGTAGGAAGAAAGACATTCTTATTAGGATGCAAGATGACATAGAAAAACAAAGACAAGCAATTGAGGCTGATAAAGATATGCTTGAACAGTTAAAACACAAACTGGACAACGATAAGGAAGATATAGCTAGAGCAAAATTACTTCTTGAAACTCAGTTGCTGAAGAAAGACAACATAATGAGCTGACTCTGGGAGAAATACAGAAAGAGAAACAGAATCTTGAAGTGATGAATCTAAACATCTCTAGACAGATCAATGATATTGAAAATGAAAAGGAAAAATTGCACCTCAGACAAAATGAACTAGAACAACAGGAAGCTGAGATTCAGAAACAACAAAAGAAAATGGACGATTTAAGAAATGCTAACATGAAAGAACTGGATGATCTCCAGAAGATGCACAGTAAATTAGATCAACAGCAAAAAAAAGTGGACGATGATATTGAATTTATCAAGAAGGAGAAGCACAACCTTGAGAAAGACAGAGTTGAAGTATTTGAACAGAAACAGAAAGTAGACAGAAGTCTGAGCGATGCTGTAAAGAGCGAGAGAGAAAATGAGCTTCTGAAGAAAGAGCTGTTGGATGCAAAGAAATTAATTGAGAATGAGAAAGATGAGATCCAGAAGATAAAGGCTGAGCTAGCAAGAGACACTGATGCTTTTGAGAAGTTAAAGCAAGAAATGGCAGCAGAGCTCCAGAAAGAAAGGGATAAACTTGCCACTCTAGTAGAGCTGAACAGAAAGAAGAAAGAAGAACTGGATATGATGAATGTTGAGATAGAAAAGCAGAGACAAGTGATTGATTCTGATAAGAATAAACTTGAAAACGAAAAAGAAAAACTTGTGCAACAAGCAAAAAGGAATACGGCTGCTCAGAGAGAACTGGAGAAATCAAAAGATGCTCTCGATCAGATGAAACTGAGTATCTTAAGAGAAAGACAGAATCTCGAGAGAGAAAAGTCAGGTGTGGAAGAACAGAAGCAGCTTATAGAAATCAGCTTCAAGGATGCGCAGGAGAAGGATGCATTGATGAAGGATGAATTGAAGAAGGAGGGAGAAAAAATAGAACGCCTGAGAGAAGAATTACTTCGTGAAAAGGAATCAATTGAAAGAAGCAGACAAATACTGCAGAAAGACATTGATGGCGTGAAACAACAGAAAGCTAACATGGATAAGGAATTAGAAGCGCTAAATTTTCAAAGGCAAAACATTGAAAATGAAAGGGATGAGCTGGAGCAAATGAAGACTGAGTTACAAAGCAAGGCAGAGAACACTGAAAAGCTAATGCGAGAGAGAGAAAGACTTGCACTTCAGAGGGTCCAAGAAGACAGCACTTTGGATACAGACAAACAACAAGAAGAATTTGATAACAAGGTGAAAATGCTTGAAAGCTGGGCAAATGAGTTGGAAAAAACAAACACTGAGTTAGAAAGAAGAAAAGAAGATCTTGAAAAACAATGTGTGAGTGATATAGAGAAAGAGAGAGATACAGCTGAAGATAGTAAGCTGAGCCTGCTTCAACAAGTGAATGAAATAGAAAAGGAAAAGAATCTCATTGAAGTTAAAAAGAATGAGTTACAACTCTTACAAAGAGAAATGCAAAAACAAAAAGAAGAGATGATTAAAGAGGAGGAAAGAATACAAAAAGAAAGAATAAGACTACAGAGAGAGAGGGAAGAATGTGTAAAGATGAGAAAAGAGTCAAAGAATGAAATGGACAAGATCCACAACCTAAAGCTAGAGTTACAAAATCAGACTGAAGCAAATGAGGAAAAAGTGAAAGCAATTATGAGAGAAATGAACAAGCTTGAAGAGGCAAAGGCTCTGCTGCAGAAAGAGACCAAGGAGATTCAAAGAAAAGAAGCAGAGACAAAAACTGACAGAGAAAAGCTGGAGCAGATGAAGTCTGACATTTTGATCCAGAGGGCAGGTCTTGACACCAGGAGACAAGAAATTGAATTGGAAATGGAAGAACTTGCTCGTGTCCGAAATGAAATAGAGAAGCAGAATAAGGAACTAGAGGACAAGATGCAAAAAACAAAACGTGAGATGGGAGAAATGATGCTTATGAAGCTTGAAATTGATGGAAGCAAGAAAGACCTTGATCAGAGGATGAGACAGGCCACAAGAAGACGAGATGAAGTGGAAAAAATAAGGGCAGAAATTGAGAGTGCTAGAAAAGAACTCAGAAAAGAAAGAGACATGGTCAATAAGGAAAAGCAAGAGGTAGAACAAATAAAAGCTGATTTACAAAAGGCAAGAGAGACGTTTCAGCTCAGCATGGTGGAGAGTGACATAGATTTGGGGGAAAAGGAGCAAATAGACACAGAATTACAGAGGTTAGCTCAAGAAATTGAAAGAGCTATGTATGTAGTGCAGAAGACCAAGCATGACATGGAAATCAAGAGTAAGAGCACAGAAATGAAGGCAGATGAAATGCAGCAAATGAATGCTGAGCTGCAGAAGCTGATTCAAGAAATGGAACACATAAGAATGATTTTGAAGAGAATAAATAATGAGGTCAAAACAGTGAGAAAGCAAAAGGAAGAACTTGCAAACTTGAGGCATGACATCGAGGTGCAGACGCATCAAATGAATGAAGCCTTTGAGCAGCAGGCAAATGAGTTACAAAAAGCAAAAGAGCAGATGGAAAACAAAATAAGAACAGAGATGGAGCAAAACAGGGCTGATCTGGAGAGACAAAGACAAGATATAGAACTTGAAAAACAAAAAATCTATGAGGAGAATCAAATGCTAGAAAAAGATAAGGCTGATGCACAGATAAAATCCGAAATCCTAGACAGCCTCTTAGAGGAGGCAACAGTAGAGATGGAAAAAGCAATGAAACTAAGATCAACAACTGCGAGCGAGATGGGAATTGAGAGTGATGAGATTAAAATGTTAGATTCAGAGAGGATACAGACAGGAATGGAAAGATTAGACATAGACGATGTTAAAGATGCAACTTTTGTTGCAGAGCCAGAAGACAGTGAGTATGACATGGAACAGGCCAAGACAGAAATGGAAAAACTGGCACAGGTAAAGGCTGAGTTACAGAGACAGATAGTGGAACTTGAGGACATTAAAGCAGACGCAAAACTTAGAAGGGATGAGGTAAAACAAACTAAGTCTGAGATACTGAAGCAAAAGGAAGATGCTGAAAGGCAACAAGCACCATTTTCAGATCAGGAAATGGAAGATATTAAGAGGCAGAAAGAAGAATTGGAGGACAGGATTCAAAGGACAGCACGTGAGATGAGAGAGCTGGAACTGATGAGGTCTGAGATTTCCATGGAGAAGAAAGAGCTGGACCAGAAAATGAGACAGGTTATGAGGAGAAAGGATGAGATGGAAAGGATGAAGACGGAGATGGAAGAAGCCAGGGAAGGATTAGAAAGGGATAAAGAGATGATTGAACGAAAGAGTTATGAATTGGAACAGATGAGAGATGAAATTCGAAGAGCAAGAGATGAATTCCAGCTCTTAATGGAGAAGGACAGCGATCTAGAAGATGAGTCAGAAACAAATGCACGTATACAGAGACTGATCTTAGAGGTTGTGAGGATCAGAAACATGGTGCAGAATTTGAAAGATTACATGGAACAGAGGACGGAGGACAGCAAAACTGAGACAGAGGAAAGAGAGAAAGTGAAATCTGAGATCAAATGGTTGATTCAAGAAATCGGACAAATAAGAGAAGCTCTTGGGAAGATAAAAGAAGAAATCGAAACCACTAGGAGAGAGAGGAATGAGGCGGAGATGGCGAGGGCAGAATCTGATAAACAGAAGCAACAAGTAGAGATCACAAGAGCAAGACTGCAGCAAGAGAGGGATGAGTTGGAACAACTAAGAGATGAAATAAATAAACAAAAGGAGCATATGGAAAAGAACAAGGAATTACTGAAGATGAAGATTGCAGAAGATTCAGCAAAGGATCTGGAGGATACAGACACAATAGGAGTGCAGTTACAAAAGCAAAAAGAAGAACTTGTCAGAGTCACTGAAGAACTCCAGAAGTGTAAGAATGAACTAGCACTGGTGCTGAGAGATACACACAGCCAGAAGGAAACTGCCAAAGAGTTGAAAGACATTATCAAAAAGAAGAAGAATGAGCTTGACGAGATAACTTCAGAACTACAGAGGGGAAAACAAATGCTTAAAGAGCAGAAATATGATACAGAAAAGGGGAGAAGGATTATAGAGGAGATGAAGAAAAAGCAGGAAACCCTTGAACAAATGAATGTTGATGTAATAAGAAAGAAGGAAATGATGGAAAAAGAGAAAGAAAAGATTAGACTTGAAAAGCAAGAACTGGACATTATGAAAGCTGACATACAAAAACAGAAAGATGATGTGGAGTTACTAAGAAATGGTGTAGTTCTGGAGAGGAATCAACTACAACAGGTCCAAGATGAAATTGACAAACAAAAGAAAGAACTGAGTGATAAGACTGAGGCTACTGCAGCAGAATGGAGAAACCTGGAAAAGATAAAGTCTGAAGTTGACGGTTTGAAAGATGAACTGGAGAAGACGTTCAAAGAGAGGACACGATCAGAAAGGGAAAAGTTAGAGGAGCTAAGATGTGAAATAATCAGAGAAAAACAGGAAGCTGAAAAGATGAAGGAACTGGTCAGCAGGGACAGAGAAGAATTAAATCAAAATAAAGCCAGTTTGGAATTAAAAATAAAAGAAATCAACATATTAAAAGACAACATTCAAAGGGAGAAGATGGAACTGGAAAAGACCAACAGTGAGCTTCAGATGAGACATAAGACCATTGAGATTATCAAGCAGGAAGCACAAAAAGAAAGGGATCAAGCTGAAGGCATGGCACTGAAACTTCAACAGGAAAAGGAACACATTGAAAATGCAATTGTAGAAATTACAGATAAGAGAAAAGACTTGGATGGAATGATTAAAGAAGTTCAACATGAAAGAAATCAGCTGGACGATGATAAGGCTATGCATGAAAAGGAGAAGGCTGAGCATCAAATTAAAAAGAGTGAGTTGGAGAGAGAAAGTGAAGACCTGGAGAACAAGATCATAAAGCTTAGAGAGATGAATAACATCATGAGGAATGAGATTCAGGTGGAGAGAACCAGTCTACAGCAGATGCGGGCAGACATTGTAAATGAAAGAAATGCCCTTGAAAAAGAAAAGGAACACATGGACTTCCAAAGGCAGGAACTGCTGGCACTGCAAATAACATTACAAAAACAGGAGAAAGAGCAATATAAGGTTCTTCTTGAAGAAACTCAGAGAAAGAGAGATGAACTGGAGAAGACAGCTGCGGAGATAGCAAAGCAAAATGAAGACATTGAGATGAAGAAAGCCCTTCTTGAGAAGGAGAAAAAGGACACTGAAGGCAAATGGTTGGAGTTACAGAGGAGAGGTGAGGAGCTGGAACTGCTGATTACAAAACAGAAGGAAAGGGAGGACACAGATAAGAGGGCAATGGAAGAAGAGAGAAAAGAACTGGAGAAAGAAGCTGCAGAAATAACAAGGCAAAAAGAAGAGACAGAAGAAGAAAAGGAGAACATGGTGAAAAAGCAGAAAGAACTAGACATTCTGAAAGAGAAAATACACAAAGAAAAGGATGAAATTGAGGAAGTCAGAAATAAGATGATGACTGCTGAACTTTTACTTGAGCAAAAAGAGACTAAAATGAATAAACAAAAGCAGATTCTGGAGGACAGTCTGAGGAAGGTGACGGAGGAGAGAAGTGATCTGGATAAGATGAGAAAGGAACTAGAAGCTCAAACTCAACAAATGGAAGACATCAGAGAGAAAATGAAACAGGAGAGAGATGAAGTAAATCGTCTGATGAATGAAATCCAAACAGAGAAGAAAGATGTGGAAAATGAAAAGTACATTACAAATAATTTGAAGAATGAGTTGGAACAAATGAAAGACAACTTAGACGCAACATATGATGAGATTGTGCTGGAAAAACAAAAGATAGAAAATGAGAGAAAAGCCATTGAACAGTCAAAGGCAGCTATACAGAGAGAAGTTGAGGACATGAAGAATGCAGTGGAGAAGGTCAGCATGAACAGAGAAAAAATACATGAAACTGAGTCTGAACTAAAAAAGGAGAAAGAGCACTATAATGTTCTTCTTGAAGAAACTCAGAGAAAGAGAGATAAACTGGAGAAGACAGCTGCAGAGATAGCAAAGCAAAATGAAGACATTGAGATGAAGAAAGCCCTTCTTGAGAAGGAGAAAAGGGACACTGAAGGCAAATGGTTGGAGTTACAGAGGAGAAGTGAGGAGCTGGAATTGCAGATTACAAAACAGAAGGAAAAGGAGGACACAGATAAGAGGGCAATGGAAGAAGAGAGAAAAGAACTGGAGAAAGAAGCTGCAGAAATAACAAGGCAAAAAGAAGAGACAGAAGAAGAAAAGGACAACATGGTGAAGAAGCAGAAAGAACTAGACATTCTGAAAGAGCAAATACACAAGGAAAAGGATGAAATGGAGGACGTCAGAAATAAGATGATGACTGCTGAACTTTTACTTGAGCAAAGAGAGACTAAAATGAATGAACAAAAGCAGATTCTGGAGGACAGTTTGAGGAAGGTGATGGAGGAGAGAAGTGATCTGGATAAGATGAGAATGGAAGTAGAAGCTCAAACTCAACAAACGGAAGACATCAGAGAGAAAATGAAACAGGAGAGAGAGGAACTTGATCAACTGATAAATGAAATAGAAATGGAGAAAAAAGACATGGAAATGGAAAAATATGTTACAAATAATTTGAAGAATGAGTTGGAACAAATGAAAGTCAACTTAGAGGTACAATTTCTTGAGATGGAGCATGAAAAACAAAACACTGAGAATGAGAGAAAAGCCATCGAACAGTCAAAGGCAGCTATGCAGAGAGAAGATGAGGACCTGAAGAATGAACTGGAGAAGGTCAGCATGGACAGGCGGAAACTGAATGAGATGGAGACTGAACTACAAACAGAGAAAGAGCAATATAAGGTTCTTCTTGAAGAAACTCAGAGAAAGAGAGCTGAACTGGAGAAGACAGCTGTGGAGATAGCAAAGCAAAATGAAGACATTGAGATGAAGAAAGTCCTTCTTGAGAAGGAGAAAAAGGACACTGAAGGCAAATGGTTGGAGTTACAGAGGAGAGGTGAGGAGCTGGAACTGCTGATTACAAAACAAAAGGAAAGGGAGGACATGGACAAGATGGCAATGGAAGAAGAAAGAAAAGAACTGAAGAAAGAAGCTGCAGAAATAATAAGACAAAAAGAAGAGATAGAAAAAGAAAAGGAGAACATTGTGAAAAAGCAGAAAGAACTAGACATTCTGAAAGAGAAAATACACAAAGAAAAGGATGAAATTGAGGAAGTCAGAAATAAGATGATGACTGCTGAACTTTTACTTGAGCAAAGAGAGACTGAATTAAACAGACAAAAGCAGATTCTGGAGGACAGTCTGAGGAAGGTGACGGAGGAGAGAAGTGATCTGGATAAGATGAGAATGGAACTGGAAGCTCAAACTCAACAAATGGAAGACATCAGAGAGAAAACGAAACAGGAGAGAGAGGAACTTGATCAAATGATGAATGAAATCCAGACAGAGAAGAAAGATGTGGAAAATGAAAAGTACATTACAAATAATTTGAAGAATGAGTTGGAACAAATGAAAGACAACTTAGACGCAACATATGATGAGATTGTGCTGGAAAAACAAAAGATAGAAAATGAGAGAAAAGCCATGGAACAGTCAAAGGCAGCTATACAGAGAGAAGTTGAGGACATGAAGAATGCAGTGGAGAAGGTCAGCATGGACAGAGAAAAAATACATGAAACTGAGTCTGAACTAAAAAAGGAGAAAGAGCACTATAATGTTCTTCTTGAAGAAACTCAGAGAAAGAGAGATGAACTGGAGAAGACAGCTGCAGAGATAGCAAAGCAAAATGAAGACATTGAGATGAAGAAAGTCCTTCTTGAGAAGGAGAAAAAGGACACTGAAGGCAAATGGTTGGAGTTACAGAGGAGAGGTGAGGAGCTGGAACTGCAGATTACAAAACAAAAGGAAAAGGAAGACATGGATAAGAGGGCAGTGGAAGAACAGAGAACAAAACTGGAGAAAGAAAACACAAAAATGACAAGTCAAAAAGAAGAACTAGAAAAAGAAAAGGAGAACATGGTGAAAAAGCAGAAAGAACTAGACATTCTGAAAGAACAAATACACAAAGAAAAGGATGAAATTGAGGACGTCAGAAATAAGATGATGACTGCTGAACTATTACTTGACCAGACACAGACTGAACTGAACAGACAAAAGCAGATTCTGGAGGACAGTCTGAGGAAGGTGATGGAGGAGAGAAGTGATCTGGATAAAATGAGAAAGGAACTAGAAGCTCAAACTCAACAACGGAAGACATCAGAGAGAAAATGAAAGAGGAGAGAGAGGAACTTGATCGAAATGATGAATGAAATCCAAACAGAGAAGAAAGACATGGAAAATGAAAAGTATATTACAAGTAATTTGAAGAATGAGTTGGAACAAATGCAAGTCAACTTAGATGTACAATGTGTTGAGATTGAGCATGAAAAACAAAAGACTGAGAATGAGAGAAAAGCCTTTGAGCAGTTAAAAGCAGCTATGCAGAGAGAAGATGAGGACCTGAAGAATGAACTGGAGAAGGTCAGCATGGACAGGCAGAAACTGAATGAGATGGAGACTGAACTACAAACAGAGAAAGAGAAATATAAAGTGCTTCTTGAAGAAACTCAGAGAAAGAGAGATGAACTGGAGAAGACAGCTGCGGAGATAGCAAAGCAAAATGAAGACATTGAGATGAAGAAAGTCCCTTCTTGAGAAAGAGAAAAAGGACACTGAAAGCAAATGGTTGGAGTTACAGAGGAGAAGTGAGGAGCTGGAACTGCTGATTACAAAACAAAAGGAAAGGGAGGACATGGACAAGATGGCAATGGAAGAAGAGAGAAATGAACTGGAGAAAGAAGCTGCAGAAATAACAAGACAAAAAGAAGAGATAGAAAAAGAAAAGGAAAACATGGTGAAAAAGCAGAAAGAACTAGACATTCTGAAAGAGAAAATACACAAAGAAAAGGATGAAATGGAGGAAGTCAGAAATAAGATGATGACTGCTGAACTTTTACTTGACCAAAGAGAGACTAAAATGAATGAAGAAAAGCAGATTCTGGAGGACAGTCTGAGGAAGGTGACGGAGGAGAGAAGTGATCTGGATAAGATGAGAATGGGACTAGAAGCTCAAACTCAACAACTGGAAGACATCAGAGAGAAAATGAAACAGGAGAGAGATGAAGTAGATCGTCTGATGAATGAATTCCAAACAGAGAAGAAAGATGTGGAAAATGAAAAGTACATTACAAATAATTTGAAGAATGAGTTGGAACAAATGAAAGACAACTTAGACGCAACATATGATGAGATTGTGCTGGAAAAACAAAAGATAGAAAATGAGAGAAAAGCCATGGAACAGTCAAAGGCAGCTATACAGAGAGAAGTTGAGGACATGAAGAATGCAGTGGAGAAGGTCAGCATGGACAGAGAAAAAATACATGAAACTGAGTCTGAACTAAAAAAGGAGAAAGAGCAATATAAGGTTCTTCTTGAAGAAACTCAGAGAAAGAGAGATGAACTGGAGAAGACAGCTGCAGAGATAGCAAAGCAAAACGAAGACATTGAGATGAAGAAAGTCCTTCTTGAGAAGGAGAAAAAGGACACTGAAGGCAAATGGTTGGAGTTACAGAGGAGAAGTGAGGAGCTGGAACTGCAGATGACAAAGCAGAAGGAAAGGGAGGACATGGACAAGAGGGCAATGGAGGAAGAGAGAAAAGAACTGGAGAAAGAAGCTGCAGAAATAACAAGACAAAAAGAAGAGACAGAAGAAGAAAAGGACAAACATGGTGAAGAAGCAGAAGGAACTAGACATTCTGAAAAAGAAAATACACAAAGAAAAGGATGAAATGGAGGACGTCAGAAATAAGATGATGACTGCTGAACTTTTACTTGAGCAAAGAGAGACTAAAATGAATGAACAAAAGCAGATTCTGGAGGACAGTTTGAGGAAGGTGATGGAGGAGAGAAGTGATCTGGATAGGATGAGAATGGAACTAGAAGCTCAAACTCAACAAATGGAAGACAACATCAGAGAGAAGATGAAACAGGAGAGAGAGGAACTTGATCAAATGATGAATGAAATCCAAACAGAGAAGAAAGATGTGGAAAATGAAAAGTACATTACAAATAATTTGAAGAATGAGTTGGAACAAATGAAAGACAACTTAGACGCAACATATGATGAGATTGTGCTGGAAAAACAAAAGATAGAAAATGAGAGAAAAGCCATGGAACAGTCAAAGGCAGCTATACAGAGAGAAGTTGAGGACATGAAGAATGCAGTGGAGAAGGTCAGCATGGAGAGGGAAAAAATACATGAAACTGAGTCTGAACTAAAAAAGGAGAAAGAGCACTATAATGTTCTTCTTGAAGAAACTCAGAGAAAGAGAGATGAACTGGAGAAGACAGCTGCAGAGATAGCAAAGCAAAATGAAGACATTGAGATGAAGAAAGTCCTTCTTGAGAAGGAGAAAAAGGACACTGAAGGCAAATGGTTGGAGTTACAGAGGAGAAAGTGAGGAGCTGGAACTGCAGATTACAAAACAAAAGGAAAAGGAGGACACAGATAAGAGGGCAGTGGAAGAACAGAGAAAAGAACTGGAGAAAGAAAACACAAAAATGACAAGTCAAAAAGAAGAACTAGAAAAAGAAAAGGAGAACATGGTGAAAAAGCAGAAAGAACTAGACATTCTGAAAGAGAAAATACACAAAGAAAAGGATGAAATTGAGGATGTCAGAAATAAGATGATGACTGCTGAACTTTTACTTGAGCAAAGAGAGACTAAAATGAATGAAGCAAAAGCAAATTCTGGAGGACAGTCTGAGGAAGGTGATGGAGGAGAGAAGTGATCTGGATAAAATGAGAACGGAACTAGAAGCTCAAACTCAACAAACGGAAGATATCAGAGAGAAAATGAAAGAGGAGAGAGAGGAACTTGATCAAATGATGAATGAAATCCAAACAGAGAAGAAAGACATGGAAAATGAAAAGTATATTACAAAGTAATTTGAAGAATGAGTTGGAACAAATGCAAGTCAACTTAGATGTACAATGTGTTGAGATTGAGCATGAAAAACAAAAGACTGAGAATGAGAGAAAAGCCTTTGAGCAGTTAAAAGCAGCTATGCAGAGAGAAGATGAGGACCTGAAGAATGAACTGGAGAAGGTCAGCATGGACAGGCAGAAACTGAATGAGATGGAGACTGAACTACAAACAGAGAAAGAGCACTATAATGTTCTTCTTGAAGAAACTCAGAGAAAGAGAGATGAACTGGAGAAGACAGCTGCAGTGATAGCAAAGCAAAATGAAGACATTGAGATGAAGAAAGCCCTTCTTGAGAAAGAGAAAAAGGACACTGAAAGCAAATGGTTGGAGTTACAGAGGAGAAGTGAGGAGCTGGAACTGCTGATTACAAAACAAAAGGAAAGGGAGGACATGGACAAGATGGCAATGGAAGAAGAGAGAAATGAACTGGAGAAAGAAGCTGCAGAAATAACAAGACAAAAAGAAGAGATAGAAGAAGAAAAGGAGAACATGGTGAAAAAGCAGAAAGAACTAGACATTCTGAAAGAGAAAATATACAAAGAAAAGGATGAAATGGAGGAAGTCAGAAATAAGATGATGACTGCTGAACTTTTACTTGAGCAAAGAGAGACTGAAAATGAAGAAGAAAAGCAAATTCTGGAGGACAGTCTGAGGAAGGTGACGGAGGAGAGAAGTGATCTGGATAAGATGAGAAAGGAACTGGAAGCTCAAACTCAACAATGGAAGACATCAGAGAGAAAATGAAACAGGAGAGAGATGAAGTAGATCGAAATGATGAATGAAATCCAAACAGAGAAGAAAGATGTGGAAAATGAAAAGTACATTACAAATAATTTGAAGAATGATTTGGAACAAATGAAAGACAACTTAGACGCAACATATGATGAGATTGTGCTGGAAAAACAAAAGATAGAAAATGAGAGAAAAGCCATCGAACAGTCAAAGGCAGCTATACAGAGAGAAGTTGAGGACATGAAGAATGCAGTGGAGAAGGTCAGCATGGACAGAGAAAAAATACATGAAACTGAGTCTGAACTAAAAAAGGAGAAAGAGCACTATAATGTTCTTCTTGAAGAAACTCAGAGAAAGAGAGATGAACTGGAGAAGACAGCTGCAGAGATAGCAAAGCAAAATGAAGACATTGAGATGAAGAAAGTCCTTCTTGAGAAGGAGAAAAAGGACACTGAAGGCAAATGGTTGGAGTTACAGAGGAGAGGTGAGGAGCTGGAACTGCAGATTACAAAACAAAAGGAAAAGGAAGACATGGATAAGAGGGCAGTGGAAGAACAGAGAACAAAACTGGAGAAAGAAAACACAAAAATGACAAGTCAAAAAGAAGAACTAGAAAAAGAAAAGGAGAACATGGTGAAAAAGCAGAAAGAACTAGACATTCTGAAAGAACAAATACACAAAGAAAAGGATGAAATTGAGGACGTCAGAAATAAGATGATGACTGCTGAACTTTTACTTGAGCAAAGAGAGACTAAAATGAATGAAGAAAAGCAAATTCTGGAGGACAGTCTGAGGAAGGTGACGGAGGAGAGAAGTGATCTGGATAAGATGAGAAAGGAACTAGAAGCTCAAACTCAACACGTGGAAGACATCAGAGAGAAAATGAAACAGGAGAGAGATGAAGTAGATCGTCTGATGAATGAAATCCAAACAGAGAAGAAAGACATGGAAAATGAAAAGTATATTACAAGTAATTTGAAGAATGAGTTGGAACAAATGCAAGTCAACTTAGATGTACAATGTGTTGAGATTGAGCATGAAAAACAAAAGACTGAGAATGAGAGAAAAGCCTTTGAGCAGTTAAAAGCAGTTATGCAGAGAGAAGATGAGGACCTGAAGAATGAACTGGAGAAGGTCAGCATGGACAGGCAGAAACTGAATGAGATGGAGACTGAACTACAAACAGAGAAAGAGAAATATAAAGTGCTTCTTGAAGAAACTCAGAGAAAGAGAGATGAACTGGAGAAGACAGCTGCGGAGACAGCAAAGCAAAATGAAGACATTGAGATGAAGAAAGTCCTTCTTGAGAAAGAGAAAAAGGACACTGAAAGCAAATGGTTGGAGTTACAGAGGAGAAGTGAGGAGCTGGAACTGCTGATTACAAAACAAAAGGAAAGGGAGGACATGGACAAGATGGCAATGGAAGAAGAGAGAAATGAACTGGAGAAAGAAGCTGCAGAAATAACAAGACAAAAAGAAGAGATAGAAGAAGAAAAGGAGAACATGGTGAAAAAGCAGAAAGAACTAGACATTCTGAAAGAGAAAATATACAAAGAAAAGGATGAAATGGAGGAAGTCAGAAATAAGATGATGACTGCTGAACTTTTACTTGAGCAAAGAGAGACTAAAATGAATGAAGAAAAGCAAATTCTGGAGGACAGTCTGAGGAAGGTGACGGAGGAGAGAAGTGATCTGGATAAGATGAGAAAGGAACTGGAAGCTCAAGCTCAACACATGGAAGACATCAGAGAGAAAATGAAACAGGAGAGAGATGAAGTAGATCGTCTGATGAATGAAATCCAAACAGAGAAGAAAGATGTGGAAAATGAAAAGTACATTACAAATAATTTGAAGAATGATTTGGAACAAATGAAAGACAACTTAGACGCAACATATGATGAGATTGTGCTGGAAAAACAAAAGATAGAAAATGAGAGAAAAGCCATCGAACAGTCAAAGGCAGCTATACAGAGAGAAGTTGAGGACATGAAGAATGCAGTGGAGAAGGTCAGCATGGACAGAGAAAAAATACATGAAACTGAGTCTGAACTAAAAAAGGAGAAAGAGCACTATAATGTTCTTCTTGAAGAAACTCAGAGAAAGAGAGATGAACTGGAGAAGACAGCTGCAGAGATAGCAAAGCAAAATGAAGACATTGAGATGAAGAAAGTCCTTCTTGAGAAGGAGAAAAAGGACACTGAAGGCAAATGGTTGGAGTTACAGAGGAGAGGTGAGGAGCTGGAACTGCAGATTACAAAACAAAAGGAAAAGGAAGACATGGATAAGAGGGCAATGGAAGAACAGAGAACAAAACTGGAGAAAGAAAACACAAAAATGACAAGTCAAAAAGAAGAACTAGAAAAAGAAAAGGAGAACATGGTGAAAAAGCAGAAAGAACTAGACATTCTGAAAGAACAAATACACAAAGAAAAGGATGAAATTGAGGACGTCAGAAATAAGATGATGACTGCTGAACTTTTACTTGAGCAAAGAGAGACTAAAATGAATGAAGAAAAGCAAATTCTGGAGGACAGTCTGAGGAAGGTGACGGAGGAGAGAAGTGATCTGGATAAGATGAGAAAGGAACTAGAAGCTCAAACTCAACACGTGGAAGACATCAGAGAGAAAATGAAACAGGAGAGAGATGAAGTAGATCGTCTGATGAATGAAATCCAAACAGAGAAGAAAGACATGGAAAATGAAAAGTATATTACAAGTAATTTGAAGAATGAGTTGGAACAAATGCAAGTCAACTTAGATGTACAATGTGTTGAGATTGAGCATGAAAAACAAAAGACTGAGAATGAGAGAAAAGCCTTTGAGCAGTTAAAAGCAGTTATGCAGAGAGAAGATGAGGACCTGAAGAATGAACTGGAGAAGGTCAGCATGGACAGGCAGAAACTGAATGAGATGGAGACTGAACTACAAACAGAGAAAGAGAAATATAAAGTGCTTCTTGAAGAAACTCAGAGAAAGAGAGATGAACTGGAGAAGACAGCTGCGGAGACAGCAAAGCAAAATGAAGACATTGAGATGAAGAAAGTCCTTCTTGAGAAAGAGAAAAAGGACACTGAAAGCAAATGGTTGGAGTTACAGAGGAGAAGTGAGGAGCTGGAACTGCTGATTACAAAACAAAAGGAAAGGGAGGACATGGACAAGATGGCAATGGAAGAAGAGAGAAATGAACTGGAGAAAGAAGCTGCAGAAATAACAAGACAAAAAGAAGAGATAGAAAAAGAAAAGGAGAACATGGTGAAAAAGCAGAAAGAACTAGACATTCTGAAAGAGAAAATATACAAAGAAAAGGATGAAATGGAGGAAGTCAGAAATAAGATGATGACTGCTGAACTTTTACTTGACCAAAGAGAGACTAAAATGAATGAAGAAAAGCAAATTCTGGAGGACAGTCTGAGGAAGGTGACGGAGGAGAGAAGTGATCTGGATAAGATGAGAATGGAACTAGAAGCTCAAACTCAACACGTGGAAGACATCAGAGAGAAAATGAAACAGGAGAGAGATGAAGTAGATCGTCTGATGAATGAATTCCAAACAGAGAAGAAAGATGTGGAAAATGAAAAGTACATTACAAATAATTTGAAGAATGAGTTGGAACAAATGAAAGACAACTTAGACGCAACATATGATGAGATTGTGCTGGAAAAACAAAAGATAGAAAATGAGAGAAAAGCCATGGAACAGTCAAAGGCAGCTATACAGAGAGAAGTTGAGGACATGAAGAATGCAGTGGAGAAGGTCAGCATGGACAGAGAAAAAATACATGAAACTGAGTCTGAACTAAAAAAGGAGAAAGAGCAATATAAGGTTCTTCTTGAAGAAACTCAGAGAAAGAGAGATGAACTGGAGAAGACAGCTGCAGAGATAGCAAAGCAAAATGAAGACATTGAGATGAAGAAAGTCCTTCTTGAGAAGGAGAAAAAGGACACTGAAGGCAAATGGTTGGAGTTACAGAGGAGAAGTGAGGAGCTGGAACTGCAGATGACAAAGCAGAAGGAAAGGGAAGACATGGACAAGATGGCAATGGAAGAAGAGAGAAAAGAACTGGAGAAAGAAGCTGCAGAAATAATAAGACAAAAAGAACAGACAGAAGAAGAAAAGGAGAACATTGTGAAGAAGGAGAAGGAACTAGACATTCTGAAAAAGAAAATACACAAAGAAAAGGATGAAATGGAGGACGTCAGAAATAAGATGATGACTGCTGAACTTTTACTTGAGCAAAGAGAGACTAAAATGAATGAAGAAAAGCAAATTCTGGAGGACAGTTTGAGGAAGGTGATGGAGGAGAGAAGTGATCTGGACAGGATGAGAATGGAACTAGAAGCTCAAACTCAACAAATGGAAGACAACATCAGAGAGAAGATGAAACAGGAGAGAGAGGAACTTGATCAAATGATGAATGAAATCCAAACAGAGAAGAAAGATGTGGAAAATGAAAAGTACATTACAAATAATTTGAAGAATGAGTTGGAACAAATGAAAGACAACTTAGACGCAACATATGATGAGATTGTGCTGGAAAAACAAAAGATAGAAAATGAGAGAAAAGCCATCGAACAGTCAAAGGCAGCTATACAGAGAGAAGTTGAGGACATGAAGAATGCAGTGGAGAAGGTCAGCATGGAGAGGGAAAAAATACATGAAACTGAGTCTGAACTAAAAAAGGGGAAAGAGCACTATAATGTTCTTCTTGAAGAAACTCAGAGAAAGAGAGATGAACTGGAGAAGACAGCTGCAGAGATAGCAAAGCAAAATGAAGACATTGAGATGAAGAAAGTCCTTCTTGAGAAGGAGAAAAAGGACACTGAAGGCAAATGGTTGGAGTTACAGAGGAAAAGTGAGGAGCTGGAACTGCAGATTACAAAACAAAAGGAAAAGGAGGACACAGATAAGAGGGCAGTGGAAGAACAGAGAAAAGAACTGGAGAAAGAAAACACAAAAATGACAAGTCAAAAAGAAGAACTAGAAAAAGAAAAGGAGAACATGGTGAAAAAGCAGAAAGAACTAGACATTCTGAAAGAGAAAATACACAAAGAAAAGGATGAAATTGAGGATGTCAGAAATAAGATGATGACTGCTGAACTTTTACTTGAGCAAAGAGAGACTAAAATGAATGAAGAAAAGCAAATTCTGGAGGACAGTCTGAGGAAGGTGATGGAGGAGAGAAGTGATCTGGATAAAATGAGAACGGAACTAGAAGCTCAAACTCAACAAACGGAAGATATCAGAGAGAAAATGAAAGAGGAGAGAGAGGAACTTGATCAAATGATGAATGAAATCCAAACAGAGAAGAAAGACATGGAAAATGAAAAGTATATTACAAGTAATTTGAAGAATGAGTTGGAACAAATGCAAGTCAACTTAGATGTACAATGTGTTGAGATTGAGCATGAAAAACAAAAGACTGAGAATGAGAGAAAAGCCTTTGAGCAGTTAAAAGCAGCTATGCAGAGAGAAGATGAGGACCTGAAGAATGAACTGGAGAAGGTCAGCATGGACAGGCAGAAACTGAATGAGATGGAGACTGAACTACAAACAGAGAAAGAGCACTATAATGTTCTTCTTGAAGAAACTCAGAGAAAGAGAGATGAACTGGAGAAGACAGCTGCAGTGATAGCAAAGCAAAATGAAGACATTGAGATGAAGAAAGCCCTTCTTGAGAAAGAGAAAAAGGACACTGAAAGCAAATGGTTGGAGTTACAGAGGAGAAGTGAGGAGCTGGAACTGCTGATTACAAAACAAAAGGAAAGGGAGGACATGGACAAGATGGCAATGGAAGAAGAGAGAAATGAACTGGAGAAAGAAGCTGCAGAAATAACAAGACAAAAAGAAGAGATAGAAGAAGAAAAGGAGAACATGGTGAAAAAGCAGAAAGAACTAGACATTCTGAAAGAGAAAATATACAAAGAAAAGGATGAAATGGAGGAAGTCAGAAATAAGATGATGACTGCTGAACTTTTACTTGAGCAAAGAGAGACTAAAATGAATGAAGAAAAGCAAATTCTGGAGGACAGTCTGAGGAAGGTGACGGAGGAGAGAAGTGATCTGGATAAGATGAGAAAGGAACTGGAAGCTCAAGCTCAACACATGGAAGACATCAGAGAGAAAATGAAACAGGAGAGAGATGAAGTAGATCGTCTGATGAATGAAATCCAAACAGAGAAGAAAGATGTGGAAAATGAAAAGTACATTACAAATAATTTGAAGAATGATTTGGAACAAATGAAAGACAACTTAGACGCAACATATGATGAGATTGTGCTGGAAAAACAAAAGATAGAAAATGAGAGAAAAGCCATCGAACAGTCAAAGGCAGCTATACAGAGAGAAGTTGAGGACATGAAGAATGCAGTGGAGAAGGTCAGCATGGACAGAGAAAAAATACATGAAACTGAGTCTGAACTAAAAAAGAGAAAGAGCACTATAATGTTCTTCTTGAAGAAACTCAGAGAAAGAGAGATGAACTGGAGAAGACAGCTGCAGAGATAGCAAAGCAAAATGAAGACATTGAGATGAAGAAAGCCCTTCTTGAGAAAGGAGAAAAAGGACACTGAAGGCAAATGGTTGGAGTTACAGAGGAGAGGTGAGGAGCTGGAATGCAGATGACAAAACAGAAGGAAAGGGAGGACACAGATAAGAGGGCAATGGAAGAAGAGAGAAAAGAACTGGAGAAAGAAGCTGCAGAAATAACAAGACAAAAAGAACAGACAGAAGAAGAAAAGGAGAACATGGTGAAAAAGCAGAAAGAACTAGACATTCTGAAAGAGAAAATACACAAAGAAAAGGATGAAATGGAGGAAGTCAGAAATAAGATGATGACTGCTGAACTTTTACTTGAGCAAAGAGAGACTAAAATGAATGAAGAAAAGCAGATTCTGGAGGACAGTCTGAGGAAGGTGATGGAGGAGAGAAGTGATCTGGATAAGATGAGAATGGAACTAGAAGCTCAAACTCAACAAATGGAAGACAACATCAGAGAGAAGATGAAACAGGAGAGAGAGAAATTCGATCAACTGATGAATGAAATAGAAATGGAGAAGAAATACATTACAGATAAATTGAGGAATGAGTTAGAACAAATGAAAAGCAACTTAGAGGTACAAGTTCTTGAGACTGAGCTTGAAAAACAAAACACTGAGAATGAGAGAAAAGCCTTTGAGCAGTTAAAAGCAGCTATGCAGAGAGAAGTTGAGGACCTGAAGAATGAACTGGAGAAGGTCAGCATGGACAGGCAGAAACTGAATGAGATGGAGACTGAACTACAAACAGAGAAAGAGCAATATAAGGTTCTTCATGAAGAAACTCAGAGAAAGAGAGATGAACTGGAGAAGACAGCTGCAGAGATAGCAAAGCAAAATGAAGACATTGAGATGAAGAAAGCCCTTCTTGAGAAAGAGAAAAAGGACACTGAAGGCAAATGGTTGGAGTTACAGAGGAGAAGTGAGGAGCTGGAATTGCAGATGACAAAACACAAGGAAATGCAGATGATGGTCAAGGCAGCAATGGAAGAAGAGAGAAAAGCACTAGAAAAAGAAATGAATGAAATAAGAAGGCAGAAAGAAGAGGCAGAAAATGAAAAAAGTGACGCTGTGAAGAAGGTGAAAGACTTAGACATACTAAAAGAACAAATGCATCGAGAAAAGAATGAAATGGAGGAAGTCAAAACAAAGATGATGACTGCTGAAGTTCTACTTGGCCAGAGAGAGGCTGAAATAAACCAACAAAAGCAGATTCTGGAGGACAGTTTGATTAAGATGATGGAGGAGAGAAGTGATCTGGATAAGATGAGAATGGAACTGGAAGCTCAAACTCAACAAATAGAAGACATCAGAGAGAAAATGAAACAGGAGCGAGAGGAACTTGATCAATTGATGAAGGAAATCCAAATGGAGAAGAAAGACATAGAAAATGAAAAATACATTACAAATAATTTGAAGACTGAATTAGAACAAATGAAAAGCAACTTAGAGGTAAAATATGGTGAGATTGAGCTTGAAAAACAAAAGACAGAAAATGAGAGAAAAGCACTGGAACAATCAAAGGTGTCAATACAGAGAGAATCTGAGGTCATGATGGATGTAGTGGAGAAAGCCAGCATGGACAGACAAAAACTGAATGAAGCTATGAAGGAACTAGAAAAAGAAAAGGATCAATACAAGATTCTTGTTGGAGAAATTCAGAGAAAGAGAGATGAAGTGGAAAAGATGTCTGCAGAGATGGCAAAGCAAAATGAAGATTTTGAGGCAAAGAAAGCCCTGCTTGAGAAAGAGAAGAATGACATTGAAAGCAAATGGTTGGAGTTACAGAGGAGAGGTGAAGAACCAGAACTGCAGATGACAAAACACGAGGAAAAGGAGGACATGGATAAGATCGCTGTAGAAGAAGAAAGAGCACTGAAAAAAGAAGTTACAGAAATACAAGGACAGAAAAAAGAGGCAGAAAATGAAAAGCTACATATGATGAAGAAGGAGAAAGAACTCAGCATTCTGCAAGAGCAAATACAAAAAGAGAAAGAAGAAATAGAGAAAATCAAAAGCAAGGTGATGACCGACAAACGTTCACTTGATCAAAGAGAGACCGAAATAAATAAGAGAAAGCAAATTCTAGAGGATAGTTTGAGGAAGGTGATGGAGGACAGAAGTGATCTGGATAAGATGAGAACGGAACTGGAATCTCAAACTCAACAACTGGAAGACACCAGAGAGAAAACGAAGCAGGAAAGAGAGGAACTTGATCAATTAATGCATGAAATACAAAAGGAGAAGAAAGACACCGAAAATGATAAGTATGTTACAAATAATTTGAAGAATGAGTTAGAACAAATGAAAGCTGACTTCAAGGTAAAATATGATGAGATTGAGCTTGACAAACAAAAGATAGAGAGCGAGAGGAAAACCTTTGAGCAATTAAAGTCCGCTATGCAGAGAGACATTGAGGATATGAAGAGTGCTTTAGCCAAAGCCCAAATTGACAGACAAAAAATAGATGACATTGAAACTGAACTAGGAAAAGAGAAAGAGCATTATAAGTTCCTTGCTGAAGAAACACAGAGAAAGAGAGATGAACTGGAGAAGATGACTGCAGAGATAGCAAAGCAAAACGAAGACATTGAAACAAAGAAAGCCCTTCTTGAGAAAGAGAAAAATGACATTAAAAGCAAATGGTTGGACTTACAGAAGAGGGGTGAGCAGCTGGAATCACAGATTACAAAACACAAGGAAGTGCAGGACATGGGCACAATGGCAGTGGAAGAAGAGCGAAAAGAGCCAGAAAAAGAAATTCAAAAAGAAGAGGGCGAAAAAGAAAAAGATGACGTTATGGAGAAGTGGAACGACTTAAACATCCTAAAAGAACAAATACAAAAAGAAAGGAATGAAATGGAGGAAGTAAAAAACAAAATGATGACTGCTGAACTTTTACTTGAGCAAAGAGAGGCTAAAATGAATGAACAAAAGCAGATTCTGGAGGACAGTCTGCAGAAGTTGATGGAGGAGAGAAGTGATCTGGATAAGATGAGAAAGGAACTGGAAACTCAAAAGCAACAAATAGAAGACAACATCAGAGAGAAAATGCAACAGGAGAGAGAAGAACTTGATCAATTAATGCATAAAATACAAATGGAGAAGAAAGACATGGAAAATGAGAAGTATGCTACAAGTAAATTGAAGAATGAGTTAGAACAAATGAAAACTGACCTCGAGGTAAAATATGGTGAGATTGAGCTTGAAGAACAAAAGATAGAAAGTGAGAGAAGAGCTTTTGAACAGTCAAAGGCAGCTATGCAGAGAGACATTGAGGACATGAAGAATGCTTTGGAGAAGGCGAGCGTGGACAGGCAAAAATTAGACGAAACTGACACTGAAGTGAAAGCAGAGAAAGATCATTATAACATGCTTCTTGAAGAAACACAGAGGAAAAGAGATGAACTGGAGAAGATGACTGCCAAGATATCAGAGCAAAAGGAAGACAATGAGAAAAAGAAAGCGCTGCTTCAGAAAGAGAAAAATGACTTTGAAAGCAAAAAGATGGAGTTAGAGAGGAGAGTTGAGGAGCTGGAACTGCAGATTAAAAACCAGAAGGAAAAGGAGGACATGAACAAGATGGCAATGGAGGATGAGAGGAAAGCTATAGAAAAAGAAATGACAGAAATAACAAGACAGAAAAAAGAAGCAGAAAAAGAAAAAGAAGACATGGTGAAAAGGCAGGAAGAACTAAGCTTTCTAGAAGAGCAAATACAAAAGGAGAAAGACAAAATAGAGAAAGTCAAAAATAAGGTGATGACTGACAAACTTTTACTTGATGAAAGAGAGGCTGAATTACACCAACAAAAGCGAATTCTGGAGGACAGTTTGATTAAGATGATAGAGGAGAGAAGTGATTTGGATAAGAAGAGAATGGAACTGGAAGCTCAAACTCAACAAATGGAAGGAATCAGAGAGAAAATGAAACAGGAGAGAGAGGAACTTGATCAGTTGATGAATGAAATACAGATGGAGAAGAAAGACATGGAAAATGAAAGGCACATCACAAATAATTTGAAGAATGAGTTGGAACAAATGAAAGGCAACTTAGAGATAAAATATAGTGAGATTGAGCTTGAAAAACAAAAGATAGAGAATGAGAGAAATGTTTTTGAACAGTCAAATGCAGCTCTGCAGAAGGAAGTTAATGACCTAAAGAATGTTCTAGAGAAAGTCAGCCTGGGCAGGCAAAAATTGAATGAGACTATGATGGAACTAGAAACAGAGAAAGAGCAATATAAGGCTCTTGTTGAAGACAGTCAGAGCAAGAGAGATGAAATGGAGAAGACTGCTGCAGCACTAGCAAAGCAGAGTGAAGATACTGAGGCAAAGAAAGCCCTTCTTGAGAAAGAGAAGAATGACATTGAAAGCAAATTTTTGGAGTTACAGAGGAGAAGTGAGGAGCTGGAATTGCAGATTAAAAACCAGAAGGAAAAGGAGGACATGGACAAGACGGAACTGGAAGAAGAGATAAAAGAACTGAAAAAAGAAATTACTGCGATAAGGAAGCAGAAAGAAGAGGCTGAAAAAGAACCAGAAGACGTGGTGAGGAGGCAGAAAGAACTAGACATTCTAGAAGAGCAAATACACAAGGAGAAAGACGAAATAGAAAAAGTCAAAGACAAGATGATGACTGACAAAGTTTTACTCGATCAAAGAGAGACTGAGTTAAACCAACAAAAGCAAATTGTGGAGGACAGTTTGAAGAGGATGAAGGAGGAGAAAAGTGATTTGGATAAGATGAGAGTGGAGCTTGAAGCTCAAACTCAACAGATGGAGGATAACATCAGAGAGAGGAACAAGGAAATAATGGAGCACCTAACATCAGAACTCAAGGAAATGAGAGCTAAACTGGATTTAGAACAAGAGGAATTTGAAGCTGAAAAACAAAAAGTACACAACGAGTGGAGAGATCTTGAGCAGTCAAAGGCAGAGACACAGAGAATGGCTGAGGAGCTCAAGAATGTTCTAGAGCAGACAAAGAGGGAGAAGGAAAAGGTGGAGGAGATGAAGACTCAACTTCAAACAGCAAAAGAGGACAAAGATGGTGTTTCTGATGAGATAACAAAGAAAGAACTTGAACTGGAGAGGATTATTGCTGAGACAGAGAACAAAAATGCCCTTCTTGAGAAAGAGAAAAATGACATAGAAAGGAAATGGTTGGAGTTACAGAGTAGATGTGAGGAGCTAGAACTGCAGATTAAAAACCAGAAGGAAAAGGAGGACATGAACAAGATGGCGATGGAAAATGAGAGGAAAGCTTTAGAAAAAGAAATGACAGAAATAACAAGACAGAAAAAAGAAGCAGAAAAAGATAAAGAAGACATAGAAAGCAAACTGTCTGACTTAAAGAGCGAAAATGAAGAGTTGGAACTGCAGCTTAAAAAATACAGGGAAATGGAACACATAGACTGGGTGGCAATAGATAAAGAGAGAAAAACATTTGAAAAGGAAATGATTGAGCTAATGAAAAAGAAAGATGATATGGAAAAAGGAAAAAGAATGTATAGAGACAAAGCTGTATGAGTTGAAGTCTCTGCAAGAAGAAACAGAAAAACAGAGGAATGAAACTGAAAAAATTAAAAATGAGCTGATGGACATGAAATCACAACTTGACTCAAGAGAGACTGAAATAAACAACCAGGAGCAAAGATTGAATGACAGTTTGAAAAGGATGATGGAGGAGAGGAGCGAACTGGATAAGATGAGGACTGCACTTGAAGCTGAACAGCAACAGATGGAGCAAATCGTCAGTGAGAAAGTAAAAATGGAAAGTGAGAAACTTAATCAGTTGATGAATGAAATACAAACAGAAAAGCAGGACATAGAAAACAATAAGGAGATGATGCACAATGTAAAGAAAGAACTGGACAAACAACAAGAAGAGATCAAGCTCCTTAAAGAGGAAACAAACAAGAAAATACAGAAGCTTGAACAGCTTGAACTTGATATTCAACAAAAGGAAAATAAGATGGTCTTTCAACAAAAACAGCTGCAAAGAGAAAGAGAAGACCTTGATAAAATCTTGCTGGTCATGCAAAAGGAAAGTGAAGAAAATGAGAGACAGAAAAGGGCTTTAGAAATCCAGAGAGAAGAATTCAAACAGGTACAGCCTGAAAAGGAATTAACTCTGATTCTTGATACAGAACTAGTTGCTTCAGCTGTGCAGATACCTGTAATGGTGCAAAGTGACACAAAAGACATTCAAGACAAACGGACAAAAATTACAGACATACAGATGGAGCAAGACAAGCCGGAGGAACAAGATCATCGTGTGGAGATTATAACAACACAGCTAACCAAGCTGAAACAAAGAGAAGGCGAGCTAACCCAAATCAAAGATGAACTTGAAAAAAGAATAAGTAATTTGAGGGAAGAGGAGAAAACTGTGGCTTTGGAGATACTGAGGCAGAGAGAGAACTTGGTCCAGATAGAAGCAGAGACGTACAGAGTGAAAGAGGAACTAAACACTCAAAAGGAATTACTACACGACACGCAAGCTGAACTGGACCAAATCAAAGTTGAAATCCAAAGACAAAAAGATCTAATGGCAAGCACTGATGTTGGCAAAGACATAACACCAATTGAAATGCGGCAGGAGAAGATTAAAGTAGACATTCAGACACAAACGAGTGAAGACATTGAGGTAACACCAAGAGTACCATCTCCTGTGGCGATAAGGGAAAAAGATCCAGTAATTGTTGCAGAACAACTTGCAAAGGATGAGACTGATAACCTTTTACAGTCCTTCAAGATGGAGAAGGAAAAACCTGACATGACCAAGATGGAGATAGAAGATATGAAACAAATCATCGAGCGAGAGAGGACTGAACTAAAGCAATATAAAGCAGAACTGGAGAGACAACAAGAGGAGATATATGCATACAAACAAAATATAGAGAATGAGAAGACAGAATTAGAAATGACAAAGGATAAGATGACAAAAGCCATGGAAAGCATGACAGATGAGACAAAGAAGACAAAGGAGAAGTTAGAAGAATTGCAACTCCAGTTTCAGAGACAGAAGATGGACTTGGAAATGATCATAGATGAGATCAGGAAGAAGAGAGAAGAACTGGATTTGATCAATACGGAGATACAGAGAGTGAGACAACAGATGGACATGGAATCCAGCAAAGAAATAAGTACTGAGCAAATCAAGATTAGTCTATATAAAGACACAGAAATTGCAAAAGACAGACTTGAAGACACTAAAGATGAGATGCAGAAAGAGCAGGAAGAACTGAAGATCAAGGAGGAGACTGTGCATCCTGTTGAAAAAGATGCCATGGAAGAGGATAAAGAAGTACTCACATCCACACCAGAGCACCTGAGGATGAAGTCTGATACAGTTAAGGAAGTGGCATTAGATGGTGATGGTTACAGAAAGAGTAAGGATGAGACACAACGTCAGATAGAAGAATTGAACAATCTAATGGAAGCACTAAAGACTAAAGAAGAACATCTACAAAACATAAAGTCTGACCTTCACAGAGAACGAGTGGAGATCAACAGTATCAGAGAAGCACTGCGTACAGAGAGAGATGAATTGAAGCAAATGAATCTTGATATGGATAGACAAAAGGAAGAGTTACAGCATGTCCAACAAAACATACAAAATGAGAGAAGTGAACTAGAATCCAGGGTCAAAAGCACTGAGGACACAGAGAACATCATAATGGAGCTTATTAGAGAGAAAGAGAGAGTTGAAGAAATGGTGGCTCAACTTACCAAAGAGCAGAAAGAATTCAGAAACATTGTAGATGAGACAAATCAGAAGAGGATTGAATTAGAACTGATTGATAAGGAACTTCAGACCAAAATGGAAGAAATGAAGCACAGCATTGCTCTAAAAGGTCAGGAGTTGGATGACATTAGAAATAGAACAGAGATTGAAAACCAACAACTGCAGAGCAAAACAGCAGAGCTTGAACATATGAAAACTGTGCTGTTAAATGAAAAAGAAGAAATTGAAAATGTGAAGGCACTGTTAGAGAAAGAGAGACACCACCTGAAACAAATGAAGGAGGAAATAGAGACACAAAGACAAGACATCAAAATGACGACCAAAAGTGAGCAAAGAGATGATATGGACCAAACCAGGACTGCACAGGAGAAAGATGGAATTGTACCGATAACTGTGGTTGAAGAGAAAGAGCAATCTATAGACGAAAAGGACACGGCTGAACTGAGAAAGGATGAGGCAGTGCACTTAATGGAGTTGTTGAGAAATGAGAAAGAGCAAATACACAAGATTAAGGCTGAACTTGTAAAAAGTCAGAAGGAAATTGAGAACATGAAGGCACTGACAGAAAGAGAACGGGAGAAGTTTGAAGTGGAAAAGGCTGAAGCACAGCAACAGATAGAGCATATGGAAAGTAGTTTGGAAGATTCCAAAAAGGACAATGAAAGAGCAAAAGACATGATTAATCAACTTCAAGAGGAAAGAATGAACAGTGAGGCAAATCTTGAAGAAGCAAAGATAAAGATTGACAACTTGAAGCTCATGAATGATGATTTGGAGAGCAAGAAAACAGAATTAGAGAACCACAACCAGCTCCTCAAAGAGCAGAAGAGGGATTTGGAAATTAAGTTGCAAGAGTTACAAAAAGCTGATAAAATGGACATTAGTTTGAAAATACAAGGAGAAAAGGACAAGATAGAGAGGGGAGACAGACAACAAGAGGCTCTAGAGGAGGCTAGAAGAGAACTTAAGATTCAGAAAGAGGAAACTGACAAAGAAGCTACAGACTTAAAAATCAAAACAGATGAATTAATGATCCTTCAAGAAGAAATGAAAAAACAAAGGAATATCATTGAAGAACTGAGGGCCGCCATGACTGTGGAGAGAAGTGAGCTTGATGAGAAGAGGGATGAATTAAATAAACAAAAGCAATATATGGACGACATGGTGAAAGCCTCAAAGAGAGAGTTGGAAGAGGCACGTGCTGAAATTGAAATGCAGAAACAGCAAATAAATGAACATATCAAGCAAGCTGTTAAAAGTGAGAGGGATGAACTTGAAAATCTCCAGAATTACCTACTGAAAGAGAAGAGGGATGTTGAAAGTACAAAGGGAAAGATAAGCAAAGAAATGGAGGACATTGATAAAATTCGAACCCAGTTAGACAACCAAATAGGAGAGATGGAAGCTGAGAAACAGATGCTAAGAAACAGAGAGAATGACCTTAAAGAGGCTCAGTCTGAGCTACAAAATAAGACAAATGACGTAGAGAAACTCATGGAAGAAGTAAGGAAAGAGAGGGAGAAACTAGAGATGGTGGTTGCTGAACAGCAAAAGGAGAAGGAGGAGCTTGAGTTTATCATTGGGGAGACCAAGAAGAAACAAAAATACCTAGAAGATGAGCTAGAAAGCCAACTACAAGATGTGAAGAACACCAAGGACATGCTTGCAAAGGAGAAACATGATCTGGATCAAATGAAGGTGGAAATACAGAGAACACGAGATGGGCTAGATAATATTTTAACAAAGCAGCAAGAAGAATTTCAGTCCAGGGAGAATGACATCCAAAGAGAAAAAGCAACTCTAAAGAAGATGAAGGCTGACTTAGAAAGGCAAACCAGTGAAATAAACTGTGAGAAAGAGGATATGAACATCAAGAGAAACAGACTTGAGCACTGGGAAGCAGAACTACAGAAACAGCAGTCTGAGATTGAGGTATTTAAGAACACTATGATAGCTGAGAAAGTTCAACTAGAGAGAACACAGGCAGACATACAACAGCGTCAATATGAGATGAACAACATTTTGGAAGAAACCAGAAAAGAGAGGTATGCAGTTGAGCAGGTGAAGCATGAAACTGAACAGAGAAGAAAGGAGATTGAGAGCATGATGCATGAAACTCTGAGAATAGAAAAAGGTGAATGGGATCAGTTACAAAGTGAGTTACGACAAGAGAAGAAAGAAATTGAGAAAGACAAGCAGACGCTGAAAACGTTAATGGATGAGCTTCAACAAAAACGATCTGATTTAGATAAAGAGGAGGAGAGGATTAAACTGGACAGACAAAACATTCAAAAGGAGGCAGACAGCTTGGAGCAAATGAAAGCAGAAATGCAAAGAAAAGCTGAGAATATTGAGAAATATATGAAAGAGACACAGACAGAGAAGCTGAGAGTGGAAGAAATGGGTGCTCTCCTCAATAAAGAAAGAGAAGACTTTCAGAGGATTATCGAGGAGACCAAAAGGCACGAGGTGGAAACACAAAGAATGCAAGCTGAGTTAAGAAGACAGAAACAAGAGCTTGAAGTCAGCATGCAGTTGCTTCGGGGTGAAAAGAATGAGCTGGACAAGAGTAAAACAGACTTTGAGACACTGAAGGAGAATCTGGAAAAGCAGATAACAGAACAGAGGGAAAAGGATATTTTGGCAAAGACAGAATTACAACACCAAAGAGAGGTTTTGGAACAGCTAAACACTGATATAATGATGCAAAAAGATATTATGGAACAGGAAAAGAGGAAAACAAGACTCAGGGAACATGAAATAGAAACCAATCAGAAAAAGCTGGAAGAACAGCAGAGGGAAATTGAGGACTTTAAAGGTACTATGATGCTGGAAAAAACTCATCTTGAGAAGAGACAGCAAGACCTGGATAACATGGCAGAGCAAATGAGAAAGGAGAGAAATAATCTAGAGACCATGAAAAATGAAATTGAAGAAAAAACACATGAATTAAATGAAAAAATTCAAGAAATAGCAAAAGAGAAACGTGAAGTGGAAACAACTAAGGCTGAAATAAAAAGACAAACTAAGACTATGGAGAAAGCCACGGAGGAGACAATGAAGGAAAGTGAGAGGGTGGCAGAATTTGCACCCCAGCTTGGAAAGGAAAGAGAAGAGCTTGAGAACATCACCAGAGAAGTACAGAAGAAAAAGGCATATCTAGATCAACTGAATGCTGAGATACAAAGATGCCAACATGAAATGGTAAATAAGAAAGACCAATATGAGAAAGAGATCAGTATGATGCAACAGAAGCAAGCTGACTTACAGAGAGAGGTGGATGAGTTAGAAGCCAAGTCAAAACAACTGAGGAAAGAGACTGAGAAGACAATGCCAGAAAAAGTTGACGAACAACTGCTCAGAAGCGAAACTAAGGAAGAGGAAAGGGATGTAGGACAAATGGAATGGAGAAAACGAGAACTAGAGCTATTGCAAGCACAGCTCCATAAACAAAGAGATGAACTGCTAGACCTACAGAACATAGTCACAAAGGAGAAGAATGAACTCAAAACAAGGCAGATTGAGATAAGTCAAAAGCAGCAAGAGGTGGATGATACCATAGAAGCCTTGGGAAGAAAGAGAGACGAGATTGAAAGAGAGAGGTCTGAATTTGATGGAGAGAGAAACATGTTCAGGACAAGAATGCAAAGAGAGAAAGAGGAACTTGAAAAACTGAAAACTCTTATTCAGAAGGACAAGGAGGAAACTGAAGACTGTAAAGAGAGCCTGAAGAACGAGAAGAGTTGTATTGAAAGTGACAGAGCTGATCTAGACAGACAGAGGAGACTAGTAGAACTTGCACAACAAAATATACAACATGAGAGAACTTTACTGCAACAGGAAAAAGCACTGACGCAGAAAGAGACAGAAGATATGGAGAACAGAACAAAGAGAAAAAAGATTGAATTAGATGAGATGGACTTCCAGCTTGAAGAGCGCAAAAAGGAGACGGGCAACATCACTGAGCAGATTAACAGAAAGCAAAAGGAGCTGAAGATGCTGAACAATAAAATCAGTGAAAAGCAACAAGTCATAGAACATTATAGACAAATCCCAGTAATGCTTGAGCAAGTTGAAGAAAAAGAGAGCCTCCTATTACCTGAGGCAGGTATAAGTTTTCCAAAGGAAGAAGCTGAGATACTTGCAGAACAAGAATATCCTGAAGACAAAGAGAGGCCATTGGAAACAAAAGGGAGAAAATGGCTACAAGCAATAATCAAAACAGATGCTCAAACACAAACTGATATGGAAGATCTAGAGGAAAGCTTTGGCAGTGAAAAACTGAAAGCAGAGCAAGACATAATAGTTCGAGAAAAACAACAAGCCTCAAGTGATCCAAGGCAAGTGGACTATGAAGTTCCCCCACAGAGAGAAGAAATAGAAATGATGAGGAAATCGATGAGGTCAGAAATGGAAGAGCTAAACCAAATGAAGACGGTTGTCATGAAAGAGAGAGATGAACTGACACAGGCAAAGGCTGACCTTGAAGTGAAGGTTGAGAATCTTGAAATGATTCTGGAGGAAGCTAAGAAGGAGAAGGAGAGGGATAAGGCTATGCTAATCCAGCTTATGAAAGAGAAGGAGGAATTATTCCTTGCCATTGCTGAGAAAGATAAGGAGATGGAGAAACTCCATATCACATTGCAGAAAATGTCAGAGGAACTGGAAAAGACAACAGCAGAAATTGAAGAAGAGAAGAAGAAACTAGAGATCGACAAGGGCTTCTTAAGGAAAGAGAGAGATGAATTTGAACAAATGAGAGCTGGAGCACCAGTGAAGAAGGTAGAGAGGATAAGAGAAATAGATGAACTTGAAGAACTGAAAGACAAAGCAGACATGGAGCAAAAGGAATCTAGCAAAGGTGTTCCAGAAAAGAAAATGACAGATGAGGAAGAGGTGCAAGCACTTGAGAAAGAAAAGGACAAAAGGACAAAAACGGCTAATGCTGAGACACAAACTTCTGCAGGAGAACCAAGGCAACAAGAACTTTTCTATGGCATAGCAGAGCCCATAAGAGATGACCTCTTAAGATCTGACTTAGAAAGACAGAGGGTTGAGCTTGAGAACAGGACAAAAGAAATAAAAACAAGCAAACTAAGACTTGAAAATGCAAAGGCCATGTTGGAGAAAACAGAATACGAATGTAGTGCTGCTGAAAAAAGAAGGAAAGAGATCATTGAGAATATTCAAATGAAAAGTAATGATCTGGAGCAGATTAAGGCAGAGAGCCAGAAACAGAGAGAGGACATGGAACATTTAACACAACAGTGTCAAAGCAGAAGACTTGAACTGCAGCAAATAGAAGCCAATATACATCAAAAGGAGAGAATGAGACGAGAGTTGACTGAAGTGAAAATCGAAACACAGGGAAAAGAAGAAGGCAGAGAAAAAGAGATCACAGTTAAACAAACATACAAGGAGAAAGTAAAGGATGTCTGTATACAGTGTAAAATGGAAAAACAAATGGAGGATGCAGAAACTATCACAGAACTTGCAACTGATGCTGAAGTCGTGGAGAAAAAGACAAGCATGACTCAGACATGTGATACAGATCTATTAACTACTGAAGATCAGACATCTGACAGAAACCTTCTCACTTACAAAAGAGAGATAGAAGAGATGACTAGAACAATAGAGGATATGAAAAAGGAGCTAGAGAAAAGATTGCATGACATTCAGAGGAAGGAACTGGAGAGAGCCGGAATACAGAAAGAGAAAATCGAGCTGGAGCTGAAGAAAGCTGAAATGGAAAGGTACAATGAAGCGCTTCATCGAGAGAGGGAGACAGACAAACAGAAAGTTATGGAGAAGGAGAAAGAAATCATTCTGTTAAAGGAGTGTTTGCTGATTGAGATTGAACAGCTCAAGGGCAAGAGGCTAGACACAAGCACAGAAGAATACCTGCGGAGGCTACAGCAACTCGTCAGCGAAACAGCGATAAAAATTGAAAGATTCAGGCGGGTGACAGACAAAGCTGTACAAACAGTGACAGAGGAGCGCACAGGAGAAGAAGAGAGAGGGACAGATCAGCAGGTAGAGGTTGTCAGAGTGTATGAGTGGGCTGGACGAGAGGAGGCTGCCACCTCTGCTGTGCATGTCCTGGCTGAAGCGGAGGAGGAGGGGGAGAGAACTGAACCACTGAGAGGAGAGCTGGCTGTGAGCATGTCACGGAGAAGGTGGCTGCTGCGGTGGATCAGGCGATGCTGCTCCTGCTGCTGCCCGAGAGTGTCTGAAGAAGAAGAGCAGGACATTCTGTAATCTTTACTCAAGCAAGTGTGGCTCCTACAAACCAAGTGCACTCAAACCTGCGGACATTTCACAAGCTTTAAAGCTATTTACCAGTTACACATTATTATTCTTGTGACAATATTTAGTTGGAGTCAAAAGAAAACCTCATTTTTCTTGCTTCATTCAAAATACACTTCAGTTTTTTAATTTTTGAAGTAGTTTTTTTTTTTTAATGCTGTCCTTTCCATTGTGTAAACATTTCATGACGAATGGAGCAATACAAATTTTGAATAGCAAACCTTTTTAAATTGCATTTACAGACATTAATAATGTTTTTTTTCTTTCTATAACGTTACCATTTCTGAGACATGTGGTTTTCTTATGACTGTCATGATTTGCTAAAGAAACAAAGAATCTTAAATGCCATTCAGCAGATAAATGAATGTTAAAATTATTTGAGGATGAGTGCGTAACATTTTCAGGAACATATTTAAATGAAAAAAAATTACATATGCTATAATGGGAAAGTGACTACTAATGTCCTACAATTTATATTTTGTACAGAATGTTTGCAATCTTGATTGTGTAAAATTAACTATAATTGACCATAATTTATACATTTAAATACATATTTGTGTTCTTTCCCCAGAATTATTTCTATAGGACAATCTGGAAGCTGGATCAACACATTTCAAAACTGTTTACATTGATTTCGAGCAAGCCATTTGTACTAGCTTTTGTTATTGTATGTGTTTTTACATTTGAATTATTCTGAGTCAATCTTGACCAAAATTGAATGATTTGACTGGAAATCTTAAATTGAAAAATGAATGATCGCTTCCTTTGTTACAAGGTTCACGGTATTATGTGCGTCTGGCCCAGATGGTGCCCCCACTGAAAAAACTGCACTGTTCTGCTGGGATTAAGGCTCAGGCTATGCTGAGGGTCACCAAGAATTGGACATGTTCTAATTTGGGTGGAAGGACAGCAGGATTTCTCTCCTATGTTGCCTGAGACATACCAGCCTGACTATCAGATCATGCTGCAAAATTAAGCATTTAGCATACTCAGAGCGTGTGCAGGTGTTTCACAATGCTGTATGGCTGGAAGTCAAGAAACAATGAAAGGCTGCATAGTCATCGGAGGATGCATGTGCCAGCCTTCACCATTCCAACCTGGTACTGTCTGGTGATGGGGGGGGAAGATCTCTGACTATAATTAAATTGGGCTAATAAAAACATGACAAAAATGACTCACCAAAAACTTGGGAACCAGCACAGCCCTGAGAACATCACAAATGGCCAAAAAGCACATTGTGCAGCACTAAGCCGTGAGCATAAAGGGATGGTGCTGCAAATGTACCTGAACAAAAAAGGGAGCTGTGTAATATTATTTTTAAAAATGAAATTAATACTGGGGAAGAAATCAGATGTGGATTCATGTAATAACATTTTATACAAGAGGGAGTTTTAACACATTTGTTTAATAATAATATCAAAATATATAATATTATCCAATTGTTTTACCAAAATATTGTTAATGTATCCTGATAATCCCAAAAATTGGAATAAATGCGATTTTGAATTCAGACCTGTCTGTCTCTTTTTTTAATAGTAATAATTCACTCGCATGCTATACATTTCAGAATAGTAAAATATCAAAACACTTGCTTTGTTCTGGAAAACAGAGTTTAACATTTAGCTTGTGCCTGAAAACTTAATAAAACTGATCATATTTTCAGTGTTTACCTAAGTAGTCTTTCGCAACAGGCACTACTGTTATGAAGATTTAATCAGTCCTTTTATGCTTTGGATAGGTCTAAAGACCAGTTCAGACAATAGATATACAAGTGGCAGGTTATAACCCCCACCTCACAAATTTTATCACAAATTAAATAACAATAATAATAATAATAGCAACAAAATGTAAGTCACTGCCATGATTAACAAGAGAAATGACAAAAAAATCATAGCATCACTTACAGGGGTTTAAGTCAACTTACTGCATATCAGTTTGACTTGTGACACTGAACTTTTTGGTATCTCAGATGTAACGAGTCCCCATCGCAGGCATATTCAGGGATTTGAGAAGATAATAAACCGATGGTCAAACAATTCCAGAATGATTCCACCCCATTGTGATCCAACAGTGATATCACTGTTGACAAACAATACAGACCCAAACATATTTACTGTTCAGAGCTTGCGATTCTGTAGGCCAGCACTGTTTCAGCTTCTAATACATTTATAACTGCTTTCATTAACAGTAGTTTATGTGGATATGATCAGTAGTGTACCTTGAACATTTAGAATGGGGTGGCCATGAAAGACTCAGAGATTTTACTGGGGTGGCACAGTGCTAAGGAAAAAAAAACATAAAAGTAGTATTACTGTATTAGATGACAAATAAATTGATGTGTTGTTTTTTTCTTTGTGAATAACTAAATTTGTCATTTGTATTACATCAATACAACTATTTGCTGAAAGTGAACTTAACGACAAAACCATGTTGATGTAACATATTTTGGTCATTCATGAAAAAGTGATACATTTAAATCAAGTAAATTAAATGCATCACTTTTTTCGGCTAACATTAACTTAAAGAAAAACATTTCACAGTGACAGGTCATAAGAGTTATTCATTTAGGTGACTTTAACTACAGGTTCTATAATGGAGTCAAATGATTAGAAAGCAAGTCAGGCAGCACTGTATAAGGTAATCTACAACATATGCATGCATCCAACTGTGAAAAGATGTTCGTTAGCATGACAAACGGTTATAGCTGACTAATTTTTGATAGCTAATTCATCTTACGATCGCATAGACCAGGGGTTCTCATGCTTTTCCACTTTAAGACCCACCCATTTATCACTGGAAAGCATGAAGGCCCAAATTAGGCTAACATAAGCTTAGTTTTTATCAGAAATCAGGCACAATGGTGGTAAATTAAGCAGAGTTTCTACAGTGCATTTTTTGTACACTTGCGAGGGAGCCACTACTGAAGCGGATAATTTGGTATATTTTGAGTATATGAGTAAAAAATAGCTGAAGCTGCTTTGTGCATTGTTGTTGCAGAGCTTGTATTAGTATTGTTTACTGTTTTAAAACATTTTTTATTTCATTCTTAAATACATTTTTTTTCATTGATTTTTATTACAAAGTGCCACTGATGACCCACTACAGACCACTTGCACCCCCTCAGTATACTTCACAGCTCAGTTGTGGACCACTGCCCATTGGCTGAGAAAACATGGCATAGCGTACTTAATAATGTAGCTCACAGCAGCACTGCTGAAGGGACCCAGCACACATTCCCTTGCCTGTTTGCTCAGCAAATTAAGTCTATCACAGCAAGATATGATAATTATTAAATGCAGCGTCATCAGACTCTCATGACTGATTGGTAACTAGCCTGATGACAGATTTACATCATAAAGCAGAACTGATGCTTTTTTAATGATGGCGGACTCAAAAGGGTGGCTATGCTTCGTTCCAGGGTGGCACTGGCTACCCCTTGGCTACGCCTCTGGATATGATTTTAGGAGTCTGTAACTGTATCAAACATATAATTAGATTTGCATAATTTGAGACAAGTCGATGCAGTAGGTAGTACTGTTGTGCATATTAATATCGGTTCTATTATCCACAGTTCTTTAGTAGTTTAGATTATGTCCCCTGGGTTTTATTACAAATCTGCACAAATGCTTCCATTGTAAAATGAAAACTTGCCCCTCTCTGTCTGTGGTTTCAGCTCTCCTTAGCACACTAGCTCAGTAAAGTCTGTTGGAACACTGACAGTATACAGTACCATGCAGATACACCAAACTATTATATTTCAACCCACATTCAAAATCCAACCACAAAGTAATCAAAACTATCAAATGGGCGACAAGCTAGAGGCAGTTACATTCAACGATATGCTCATCTAGCTAGTGGTTATGTACTACTAGCTAAATATCAGACTCAACTGACCCATCACTAAGACCTGCCACTTGGTCAGTGTTACTACGTCTGACAAGCTTTCAAACTATGTAATTTGCAAAGTTTTGCATGGAAAGACGGGATAGAAGGAGTCTGGCTGCTTCCTGTACGTCGTATTATTCAAAAACGTGACTGCCGAACCGCTAGGGGGCACACTCGAGCTAGTCTGCAATGACTGTGAATAAATGGCGGTAATGTCTACAAAAGGGAATTAAACATTCCCAAACTTTCAAACAGGGACTTCCTATAATTTCGAAAAAATGGAGGGCTGTATTACACAAACAAAATAAAAACCCACCACAGTCCTTTTCTGCAGCAAATAGGGCTTAGGCCAGAGGTCGGCCTAAAAATCAAACCACCTTGGGACACATTGTCCATTTTAACCATCTTGGCTGTAAATATGTCTCAGTATGTGCTGATGTCCTAGTATAGGCTAAAAATATAATAGGAACGAAAACGCAGACGTACGTTGCTCTGCTTTAAGCTTTAGCTCAGCTATAGCTGCTTTTTTACGAGGCTGAAGTCAGCTTCTCATTCGCCCTATTCTTGAATTTTCCCGTTCCACCTTACATGTAACTTCAACCAGAATGTAACTGCTGCACCATTTAAGGTGGAACGGGAAATTCTGAACAAGAAGCTGGCGAACGAGAAGCGACTTCAGCTTCGCGACTTTTTAGTGTTTGACAGTTTCTCGTTGCAGATTAAACGTATCAGGAAACCAACTGGAGAGCTTATAAACGCAAATACGTCCGTTCGTCTCCAATTTAGATGTTCGTCTCAAATCTTTCTCTTTGCCGTTTCGTTAGCTACTAGCTAGCTACGCCAGGCCAGACTGTTGCTTGCGTTGCTATGGTAACCAGCAGTCTGCGCGCAAACCTTCAGGGTTAAAGGTCGGTGAATTAGCAGTTAACTCCAGCTTTTAAGACCATTTAAAACTGTATTAGAACGACAGCAGAGCTTTATTTTACTGCAAAGGAGAATTATTTCATTTTTACCTAAATCTAATTCTGCTGTGGAGCTGCAACCGGGCAGTCAGAGAGCTGCATGCGGCTTCGGAGCTGCATGTTGCCGACCTGGTTTAGGCTGAATAACGCTAACATTCCTGACAATGAGTGCTGACTGCTTCCTGAGCCGATTTGGTGAACAAACTACACTTACAATTTTGCACAAAAGCTCCACAGGTTTCCATTGATTTTGGACTCTGGCGAGCATCTGATCAACCTGGGTGGGAGGACAGAGTGGGAGCTCCCCTACTAGAAATTCTCTGCCTAAGAAATCGTTGAAGAAGTGAAGAAGTTTTTATGTGTTTTATCCCAATTATGCTGAAATTAACTTCATTGTTAAGCAATACGTATTTTCGTTCCAAAAACATTGAAAAATCTATGGACAAGGAGGTATTAAATCCTTACTGCTTACAAGACTGCATTTTCTTGTGTAAACACCAGGTGGCAGCAATGCACAGTTGATTAGAAAGGAGACCGTCAACTCCCTTCTTCATTGACATACAGGACGTTGTTATTAAAATTGAACAAAACACCATCTAAAAATTCTCAAATACCGGTGATTATGAGTACACATGGCAAAACCTGAACTTTCTCCTGTGTTTCTTAAGAGAAATGAGAAATGAGAATTACTTACAGGGTGTTGAGACGTCTTTAAGTCACTCCGACCAGTGTGAGATCCTAAACGTCTTGGTGCCACGAGCCAATGGCACTAATGCAAGATGATAAATCTTTTTGATCTTAAATGTAAAAATTGCTCTTAAGAACTTAATCTTGCACAGGTGGAAGATTCAGTGAGGAACACCTACAGCCATGCTTAATGGGACTGTAGTGCCACAGCGAGTGAGGTGAAATTTGATGACCTAACGGATTTCCACCCCGTTGTGACGTCATGGCTTGCGAACCGTAGATTTATATATAAAGAACTCGATTGTTCGTGACGTCGCAATAGACGCTGCAATATCTGACAATAGATGTGTCTCTGAACTCATCACAGTATTCATGTACAGTGCTGTAAAAAGTATTTGCCCCCTTACCAGTTTTTTTTTTTATTTCTGCATATTTGTACCCCGTTGTGACGTCATGGCTTGCGAGCTGTAGGTTTATACATAAAGAACCAGATTGCTTATGACGTCACAATAGACAGTGCGCAGTGAATGCTTGTCTATGAATGAAATGTACTCATATAAATGTACTCAGTGGATCTGATCCACTATTTCGTAAATATGTGAATCTCTGAACTCATCGTTGCATTCATGTACAGTGCTGTGAAAAAGTATTTGCCCCTTCCCAATTTCTTCTATTTTCTGCATATTTGTCACACTTGAATGTTTCAGACCATCAAACTACTTTTAATATTAGACAAAGATAAACCAAGTAAACACACCATGGCGTTTTTAAATGAAGAGTTCATTTATTGAAGCTGTTCAGCCCTACCCGGCCCTATGTGAAAAAGTAATTGCCCCCTTAGCTATTAAATTAAACCAGTTAATCAAATTCAGTGACAGTTGGGTTCAGTTTTACTAGAAAATACTCTAAGCTCTTGAGACAAGGAACTACAGTACAGGGTCGTGCACAACTCACAACATGTAAACACTTCACTTTA